GTATTTGTAAGTCTGAGAGTTTGGATGTGTATGTTTACCATTTTATGTCTATCTTGTATATTATTATTCAACTTGTACCAAATCATTCAAATATGCAGTTCTGGAATTCATGGTTTCAGTCATTTTTTAATTCCTCTTTTCCAATGTGATTGTAGATTCTCCGATGTCAAGCTCTTACTGCTTTTTGAATATGTAATGAGACGGTTGAAAATTAGATAGTACACGGTCCTATCAATTACGTTGCGACCATCATAAATTGACTAAATTATATCATATTGTTTTGCTCGCATTATTATCTGTAATCGCTCCTTGCTGGCGTCTTTGGACGATACTAGAGGCGACCTTACAATCTCATCTATGCCATCCAACGCTCCGAGCTGATATCCTCTACCGGCAATAACAAATATTCATGAGATGGTTAACACTGATTGTCGATTCTGGAAAGTGGTTTACAGGGAATCATGCACCACGGGACGGAGAGTTAAACGGCATTAAGGTAGATTCTTCTGAGAATCTTGACATAGATCTTGAAGACAATCGCTGCGTGTGTGTAACAGAACTTCTCTAATAAGTTCGGGAGGGGTTCAATCTATATTACTGGGTTCAACATAGTCGAGTATTCGTTTGAGAATCTCGGATGTCGTTGATCTTAATACTGAGTGTGGATTGTAGAGGAAGGTGAGTGGCAGAACTTGAAATTATGACTAGCTTCACGAGGGCTTTGGATCGAAAGACACTGAAGGATAGATCACATGTGTATTGAACTCTTTTGTGGGCGGTGTCCATTAACTTGTTGTGTACATCTTGGGGTTGAGTTCTTGTAGTTTGGTTGGGAGATAGGTTTTGGTAATGAGAGTGTGAATCATATTATACTTTTCGTTGAACAAAGGTACAGAAGTTCTTTAATCTAGATGGACATCTGTCGGTACCATTAACAGTTCCATGCCCCGAAATGTAATGCATAAAGTAAGTGAATCCGCTACCCCGCTCCATTCAAAGATGGGTTGATCTCCACTACCACCTGGGCAGTTCTATATACTTTAATTTGGCTAGTGAGATTCAATTACTAAAGTCCTCCAAGTGACATTGTTCATCACAACAAATGATATCGGTAGGTCGGAGCGTCCATTCCACGATCTCTTTATATGAACCTTGCTGCATCCTAACGACTCGAAGTCATCAAACATTCGCGGGTGCTCTAGAGCTCTTGACATGGTTTGGAAAAGCAAGGTGTGTGGTCAACGTGTTATCCTAGCAGTTGGGTAGGTAATCATTGTGGGTATACACGTCCACTACGAAGGGTTTGTTCGATCGACATCATCACCCGAGGTTTTGAGAACCTTCATTGTTATTCGAAGTAATCACTGTTGTTCCAATTGTCGTCAACTATACATATTCCGTCTCATGGACAATGACAATGATACGATCGCTCGCAGAGATATTCGTCGCGTTCGGCAACACCATCGATAGACAAAACAAAATTGATGCTGCAAAGCTTCCTTTCCACCATTTCAATGGCTTGGAAGAGATAGCAACATGAAGAGCAGGATGAGTGGGACTTGTGCCAATCTCATCACCAACCTTTTCTTCCAAAATTTCTGGCCCCCTCACCCCCCCAGGATGGCATTCCACCAAAACGTTTGGTGATCTGTCACCTATCCAATCTAGGTAGGCGACGATACTACCAAATATATGAAGAGATGCTCTTATGGTAAGATCGTCATCGTCTACCACACTTGCCAAAAAATTTCACTCGCAAGAAGTGCAAAAAGATATTGAACAGAGGGGGATTCGAACCCCCGCGGGCTAAGCCCATGAGAATGCTAGTTGATTTTACATCAACCAAGCTGTTGAGCTTGAGTCACACGCCATAACCACTCGGCCATCTGTCCTTCATGCTTGATACGATAAAGGGAGCATATTTCAGTACATACAGCAAAAGATTGAACTGTAGTGAAGAGCGAATAGCAAAGCATCGTTGAGAAAAACTTTTAAGAAAAAAAAGGTGCCGGGAACATCCACAAATGGGTGGATGGTCCCTGGCGGGGCTTTCTGCGCTAGAGGAAAGTCGATGGATACTCTGAGGGCTCCAAGGGAAGGAAGAGCATGACAGGAGATGTTCGAACTTTATAGTGGAGCCCGGGAGCAAAAAGATTCCGAAAAGAAAGTTCTATTGAAGGGAATTGAGCCCAACGGGGGGGTCGAACCCCCAACCTTGTGATTAAGAGTCACACGCTCTACCGATTGAGCTAGCCGGGCAGGCTACGATGATAGATGTTTGTTGGAAGGTCTATCGCAATATGGCGAATTATTGCTAAACCTGATGGATGAGAAAAATCTTTGCAAAGTTTTTGAGGATAAGCGAGGGGGTGTTGGTGGTGAGAGCACAGACCATAAAGTTCAAGACTTTAGTCGTATGCACCATCACTGTACTTACTCAGTTCTCAATTTTGAATTTGAAATAGTATTCAGATGAGCGTAGTATCACTTCAATGATTTTGAGTTTTATAATGGAATTTTTCGTAGAGAGTCATGAGACAAAATAATATCAAGTTTTAAGTTTGAAAGAGCGATGGCATATGAATGCTAAATACGACAATCACTCCCACCAAGAAAGAATATGGTCGTCCACAGGAGCTTAGATATGTATGTACCCCTCACAACGCTAGAGATACCAGTGTGCGCAATGACAAAATAGCGATTGCAAAAATCGCTCATCGTGTGGTGAAATGGTTGCGCCACTGACAAAAATGCAAAAAGAAACATACAACAGTAGGGATTCGCTGGTGGTCACCCACCCAACTACTAATCAACCGATCTGAGGCTTATGTATGGCAGAGCGGACGGGATGCCCAGTTCTCCTCAGTCTATGGTCGTATGTGCCAGAAGACACCCAAAGCAAACCTATATACCCTCTTATTGTTGAGCCCACGCATTCAAAATCAATGTTTCGTTTGTTGTTGTTGCTTTCGTATATATGGTGGTATTATGGCCTTATAGGATTCTTTCCTTTCTTCGTAAGGTGCCTGCAATGCTACATGGCATAATTCCTTAGTTACATTCGATAATTGTGGCTCTCGTATCTGCTGGAATTAATCAAGGAATCTAATGTTCAAGCTTAGCCAGGTTGTTTGTAGGAATGGTAGATTTGATAATATAAATCGTGTTCAGTTACCTCAGTACCCTGCCTGTCTTTATGAATCGGCCGTTGAGAATGAACGGTAGCTTGGAGATTCCGTTCTCAAACATACATGAGTCTAACATTTAAACATGTTGTTTTGGCGCAGTTCTTCCTCGGAGATTCTGGAGTGCACGGGGAAATCAAATGGTTTTACTAAATTGAACATCTTGCCATTTTCAGATGAACTGTTGTAGACTGCTTACACGACTTCTTGATGCTGCTCAAGTGAATTGCATTCGTTGTTGAAGGATAATCTGAAGCCTTATGCAAAACACTCTCAGTTGTGTCGTGCTCTTACGAATATGCTTTATGAGTTCATTAATCTACTCCACTATTTCTACTTTGGTAAGGAAATTGGTTCGTCTAGACATTGATATATCCCAGTTTTGGAATCTCGTGAATGCCCGCGGGACCCTTTCTCAATGTGATGATATGATGATCGTTGCTACACGAGGAAGATCAGACAAGTCTAGTATCACCATTGGATTTTTGTGGAAGTGCCGAGTCAGACTATCATCAGATTTCTCCGGGAACTACAGACAGAAACATCTGAAGTAACTCCCGATGTTAGAGATTTGATGTGATGAAAAAAAAGAAAAGACGCTGAAAGATTGAATTGAATCTTTTCTCATCATATCGTTCCTTCTTCTTCATCGTTCTCGAAGGATGCTCCATAGAGAAAAATTCCCAAGTTTCTATTTTCAAACCATCTGGCGATGGATCGATGGTTATGGCTGTGTACTTGTAATAATCATTAAATCTTGCTCCGTTTTCCATCTTGGTCTGTTTTCTGAATCATAACCAACCAAGCTTCGTAAGTCCCTCTTAAAGTACTATTCTTGTTACAGACTAAGGAATACAAGCGAGAAAAGACAACTTAATGGAGAACTCCCTAGTCTCCATCTTCAACACTTGACCAATCATTTCAATAAATTCACGAAACGGTACCTGAATGTGGATATCTTTCTAGAAAGCCTCCTGTCCAATAAATACAAAGAATCGTCGGACTTTCCCAAAGTAAGTAGCAACAGTGGCTCAGTCAATCTTTACCCCTGAGCTAGGGCTTGTCAGTTTCGGCGTGGTCCCCAAGCTTTTTAACTCCTGCTTGGTCCATCTTACCCACGGCCCCACTAGAACTTCTCAATCCTTGGCGAACCCCTGGTGATTCCAGACTCTGAGTCCCGAGCAAGTAATCTTTTTTTCTTTTTCGACATCAAGTTCCAATGGCTCATCCCCTGTTCAAAAAGATATCCCGATAACCGTGTCGATTCTGATTCTAATGTCTTCATACCACGCACACTCGTTCATCTCTTTGCTTTGTCGTTTTGTAATGTGACAAGCTTTTTCCGGTTTTCTACCAACGATTTTCAGATTTCTCTCCTTCATACAATCGTTTGTCCCACTCATATCTGTAATTCACGCATTTTATACACTCAAAAAGCATTATCATATGCACCAACCTTCATTATATCTCTTCCTATACACCTGCTCTCTTTTACCCAATCTTCAACATTTGCACTGTTATACAAAGGCTAGCTTCTGCAGCTTTGACCATACTTCTATTCTATTCTTTCCAGGTAGACCCTAGGCCATATTATCATTATACAGCTTTTTCACATACTCTTCTAAGTCGAGGCCCCAAACTTTCGACACCTAATCATAGAAACCGCTCATCATACAATTGGAGCATCATCCCATTACAAATTTACAATTGAACATACATCGACGTTGAATAGAGAGAGAACCTGAGTTTTTTGAGTTTTGGGATTCCCGACGGTATACAGAGGCGGTCTTCCGCGTGTCAATACACACCGTCGCCATGATGTTACGGCCAATTTCAACCCTCTCAACTCTTTCCTTAGTCTTAATAGGAACTCTGCCGGGCAGAGTCCTCGCAGCCCAAACTCTCACGACAACAGGTTATACATCATGTTTGGCCGATTCAAATATCTCAGTCCAGAAGATGGCTGTCACGTACAATAATGACGCGAAAACAGTCACCTTCGATGTGGCCGGATCCAGTACCAAATCTCAAAACGTCACGGCTGAGATAAACGTTACTGCATATGGAATATCAGTTTATTCAAACACCTTCAACCCATGTGATTCGACCACATTTGTAGAACAATTGTGTCCGAGTGAGTTTTATCCCCTTTTCAACGAGTCGGAAGAATCACTAGAACTAATGCTCCGATCAAAGTCCCCGTGGGAGTTTTTGCTGCCTCTGGAACACAAGCAATTCCAGACCAATATGCCTCGATGATTCCCGCCATTGCTTTCTCGGTACCTGATATTTCCGCCATAGCTACAATCGAACTCAAGGACTTGAGCACCGCAGAAGAGGTTGCTTGCGTGCAAGCAGATGTCACTAATGGTAAAACTACTGCTGTGGCCGCTGTATCATATGTTGCTGCAGCTGTAGCCGGAGCTGCTGCTGTTGTAGGTGGAGTTTCAGCACTCGGTGCCGCAGCCAGTGGAGCAGGCGGAGGAGCGGCCACTAGCCCTTCGTTCACGGAATGCATGACGTGGTTTCAGGGCATGGCTATGAATGGAATGATGTCCGTCAACTATCCTCCGGTCTATCGACAATTCACCAAGAACTTTGGATTCAGTACTGGTATTATTCCTTGGACCGCCATGCAACAATCGATTGACAGTTTCCGAGCTGCTACTGGAGGTAATTTGACGACTGATAGTGTTACATATTTGAGAAATGCTACGTTGGTATTCTTAGATGGATCAACTGATACTCCCTCCAAACGATCATTACTATACCTTCGAGATGTTGTTACGTCAATCAATGGAACGGATGATGCTAGTGACACCACCACTACGACAGCAATCATCGAAGAAAAAGTAGCGGGAATCAAGGCCTACATTGAAGAACTTTCAGTTCCACAAGCCAACACTTTCATGACAGTTCTCCTTATCGTTGCTTGTGTTATAGCCGCTATTGTCGTCGCAGTACTTGCTTTCAAAGTCCTCCTCGAAACCTGGGCCCTCTTCGCATCTTTCCCAAAAAGTCTTACCGGATTCCGAAAACATTACTGGCAAACTATGGCTCGTCTCACCGTTCAATTGATTCTTGCTCTCTACGGTGTATGGGTTCTTTACTGTATATTCCAATTCACCAATGGCGATTCATGGGCTGCCAAAACACTTGCTGCTGTTACATTGACTATCTTCACTGCTGTGCTTGTATTCTTCGCCTACAAAATTTCCTCGGCGGCAAAGAAGCTTAAGGAGAGAGATGGAGATGTGTCAGGCTTGTACGAGAAGAAGGACAATTGGCTCAAATACAGTATGTTCTACGAGAACTACAAGAAGGATTTCTGGTGGTTGTTCGTCCCAGCTATCATCTACATGTTCGCAAAAGGATGCGTGTTAGCAGCAGCCGATGGACATGGTCTCACTCAAACCGTTGCTCAACTCATCATCGAATGCCTCAGTAAGTAATCCCGTGCAACACTACAGGACTCTCGTTCTAATTCTTTTACCAGTGCTCTCACTTCTCCTTTGGAGTCGCCCTTACGAGAGAAAATCCGCCAACGTGATTAACATGTTCGTCCAAGCCGTCCGTGTCCTCTCTGTCATATGTATCCTCGTCTTTGTTGAAGAACTTGGTATCGCCGAAACCACCCAAACTGTCACCGGCGTCGTCCTTATTGCCATTCAATCAGTTCTCACTGGTACCCTCGCCATCCTCATTGGTGTCAACGCCGTCATCTCAATCATTAAACAAAACCCCCATCGAAAACGTCGCAAGGAAGCTGGTAAGTCTTTTCTCTCCCCATCCAAACTTCTCAAAACTAACCTCTCTCTAAGAAAAACTTAACCGCGACCTTGATAATCTCACTCCCCTCGACGCCCGCAACTCTCTCCTCATGGACTCTAAATCTAGCATTCATTCCTATGAGGCCGATCCAAAACACCCATATCTACACTCCACTCACGAGACACATGAACCCTCAAGTTTCATGAACGAGCCCGCGAACCCATATTCGCGCAGCCAAGAAAATCTCGTCGGTGGAGCCGCGCCAGTGGCTGGAACTGGGCATCAGAGCCGTCAGCCTACCGTCCCGAATATGAATATGGGAGGTGGAAATTCCGGGGGAGCTTATAGGGGGATGGCTTATTAGATCTTTGTTTCATCCCTATAGCGGAAGGAAGAACAGAAGAAAAGAAGAAATGACAGGTGTCTTCACACAGAAGTGAAGCACAATAGCATCCCATCTCATCTCATCGACCAATTGGCTTGCTAGCGAGCCGATGGACGAAAAAGAGAGAGAGGGTATATCATTAGTATCATAAACAAGATAACGATTTCCTTGCGTCACTTAGCGGTACAAAATTCTCTATTTATTGCATAGGGTTCTCTTTGTACAGGTACGGGAGGGAAAGAGAGGGATGTTGGATATATGTGTGGAGTGGGATGTGTGGTTTATTTGAGTTTGTTTCATGCATATATGGCACATACCCTATTTCCTTTTATTCATTTATCTTTTCTTGACTCTTTTTTTATAGTTCAGTTTTAGTTGGGTGATACTAGCATTTATTCAATGAGAGAGATATTATTACATGGTATCTATGTATATGTAGTCCTTTGTGAGCTCTGTGAGTTGAATAGTTGGATTTATGCATTTGTAACTGGATCAACTTACATCCTGAAACCTTGATACGTGAATCTTTCTATGCAGCATCTTAGATCACGTTCACCTCAGTATTCGATGTTTGTTGCTTGTATATTGTTGTCTGGAAGTAGTCATATCTATTTCAACTTGATCTCTAAGTTTTAAGGCAGACTAGCCTTTCTTCACCACAGCTAACTTCCTCCGTGGTAGCCACCGATCAAAAGCCTGGTCCCTACGTCGTCTTATAGAAATCACGTTACGTCGACTGCATGATATTGCGTGAAAGTCAGTCCAAATAAACATCATCACATCAATCAATCCGGCCAATTGACATGGCGCAAGATTGACATTGACTCAACATTGTGAATCAATCTCAAAGATACTTTGAAGAAGCGCAAAATTGTAAAGTTAATTAGTTATTCAATAAGCAAACGTCATTGTGATTCACCGAACGAAGAGGAGAAGGTTGAATTCGCTTCTTGACCAATGGTAGCAATGTTTGATTAACTGGAGAACGATTGTGTACTGGTAGGTCTCATTATGCAGTAACGTTCGCTAGGTCGATCTAGTTATGTCGTAGAGCTTAGACTGTGGTTACATCGAGCCTGAAATCACGATTGTTCTTTGCCTTCCTGACTAGGTAGATTGCACTTCTCTGTCAAATATGGATCTTACACGAAGATGAAAATCGAGTGTGTTTAATCTCGATCTCAATCCTCTTCGTAACCAGCAGATCTCAAGGTTCTTGAGCAAGGCCCCAATGGTCTATGGTGCGATGGCCTTGACTCGTACTTAGGCCACAACAGTCTTTTGAATTACAATGTTCGGGAAAAGATTCCGTCAGTCGAGTAACGGTGCTGTAATGATAATGCAATTGTTTGATTTTCCAGAAATTGTGTCCAACGAAATTGTTCCCCAACGGCTTTGATGGTGTCACAACAACGGCATTAAGATTAGCATGACCACAAGAAATCACACCTTGCCTGCACTTGTAGAAAGAAGTGCATGAACAGCGTGCCGCCGAGACTATCGAAATTCAGAATAAGGTTGGCACGTTACTCTCGAAATGCAAATAGGGCCACACTACTGGCCACCATTCGTGGGAAACAACATGGTGCAAGCTTGCAAAGATAACCCCAAATTCAAGACATGAGATCACCAATCCACGTGATAAGTGTGGTGTTTCCGTATGGGCGGGCTGCATGAGGGCAGATCACTAGAATAGATCATCAGTACTATGATCAGAAAAATGATGTATTCTCGGCGAATGAATCATGAACTACCGGCACTTTCGATAAGTCACTTCGGCACATCGCGAAAGCTTAGACCCAATCACATGTTGGTCATTGTCTTCAACATCTCTTACTGGCCTGGCCGCGCGCTTCTAGAGAAAGATAAGAAACCAATACCTTCACATCTTATTGATGGAGTTGATAACAAATAAAGTTGTAATGAAAGCGCTTACATCAATGAACTCTATTGTTAGAGATATCAATATTTGACCTTGGCCACCACGTTGAAATATTTAGCTGTTTTTCCTTTTTAATATTCTGACATCACTCCTACTTGAGTTTCGTTTAGAACTGAAATGATTTAGCGAAAGATGAAGGGGAAGCTTGAACTGGAAAACAGGAAACTTCCTGTGTACAACTCAAAGAAGTGCTGTGCAAAGAATCTGGATCAATGTTATTCGCAGCAAACCCTTCAACTGAGTCAACTCGTATTTTGGGCTAAATTCCCCCAAAAAGAATGCTTGTGCGTGGAGCGTTTTTAACCCAACCAATTAATTCTCATAGTACAGTTAGTACCTAGACAGCCACTTCCGTGATTTCTACAACATCAGAAAACTGAGTGCGGTTTGTCCTAGATTCTAATTAATTCACTGCTCATTCAAACCGGTGTGATTGTTTTTTGAAGTACATGTACAGATACCCTTGTTGTCGGTCGACGATTCGACATATTGACATGTCGTTGAAACAAATCATTCCCGTACTCAGTCTGAGCGCATTGCTGCAGGCAAAAAGTGGATGAACCAGCCAATGAAAAGAAGATGAAATGTGCTTGGAACTTTTGATATTGGACCAAGAAATCAATGTGATAATAATATATCCCTAATATTTACTCGCCTTCTTCGTCGCTCGGTCAATCAATGGATGGATGGTATGACAATTTAGATCAATGGAGCCGTAGCATTTTGGTACCGTGATCACAGTGTTCAATAAAGGCGATAAAGGCTGGCTCAGTCAAATCTGTTAGGCTTTCCAGGTTCTTCTCTCTTCTGTCCCTCTCGTCAATTGCGTATCGCATGTATGACTCGAAAAGTCGCAAGCTCCGTTCATAACTTCAACATCCCCATCTGCATACACAGAGTGAAAATTGATTTCTCAAACATCGGATAAGAAAGAAGAAGTTTATCCAGAGAATATTCTAGTTGGATCCCGGGGGACGGACGTTTTAATTTATTGATTGCTTGTCGATGGATAGTCATACCCGGATTGTCCAATATAGGAGTACGAGAAGCAATGTTTGGATAAGGTAATGAAGTCAATGCGAAAACAGAAATGACGATGCTATTCAGATGCACATATAAATACATTACGGCTTAGATTAAATCATTACAGGCTGAGCTAGCTAAGCTGGCTGAGTAACAAGAAGTTGTCTAACAAGCACCAAAAGGTTTGCAAAGTGATTCTAAATTCTACAGAGTAAATTCTAAATTCCAAGTGAGCAGTGAGCAGTGAGCAGTGAGCACATGGAAGTAGTTTGGGGGTGGCTAGGGGGGAAAGAATTGGATATCGGACAGCACGAAACACCCTTGGATGCTTGGCGCGCTAAGAGAAATGGAGAGTGGATTTTGAATGCTCAAAATGTTCATGCAGGGTGGGAGGTCTCAAACCAAAATAGCCCCTTATTTGAATTAGTTGCATGAAACTAAACTTATCAAAGATTAGCAGAGAGATTTGCTACTGCCCAATCTGATTAAAGCAGGTACGGAAATGCTAAAAACAGGGGTATGACTGCAAGAGTTCAATCTGTATTTGGTTGGAAGGGGAAGAAGAAGGAGGAGGAGTGAGGGAAAAGGGAAAAGGAAGAGGGACGATCAAGAACATACTCTGACTGGTCAATACTGGAAGGGAGATCATTTGAAGAGAGAGAGAGAGAGCAAAAGAGTAAAAAAAGAGAGGGAGAAAAGATCTTACCGCAACATGAGAATCAGATTAATCATAGATCTATACTCCGTGCTAATGTTCACAAATTCATCAATCTGCCTATTACATTAACCATACCATCTCGTCTCACCCAGAGGCAAAAAAGATCGTATCATACGCATCTTTATCGATCCTTCCCTTCTCACACCCCAACCTTGCCAGCTCGTCCACTATCTGCCTGCTTGCTTGGCGATTGTGTCCAGTACTTTTCGTCGTTTTTCTCTCCCTCTATCATTGTCCTCTACCTCCCTACCAATTTTTGGATATCTTTCAATCATTTCACGCCTACCTAATATCTACACTTTGATTAATCTTTCTTCCCCAATTTTGGGAACCGGCAACGACTCTTATGAACCCATATAGAACATTTGATGGATAACGACAACGACCTATGACGAACCAAAAGACATACGAAGTTCCACTTTCTACCACACATCATACGGATTCATACCAGAAAGCTTCTCCGTTCTCCACTCAGGTATTGAAATCCATACATATTACATACATATGAATATCGCGTGCGTCGCATACAGCAATACATCCATAGGTCCCATCCATACCATCCATACCATCCATACCCATACCCATTTCCAACCCAGAATCCCCGTCCTTCGGCTCGAAAACGAAATTGAAGAACCTTTCATCCATTCAAGGATTCATTCAACTCCTTGCCAGACAAGCCCATTAAGCCCACCAAAGCCTGAGACTTCTACAATTTCATTCCATCCTGGGTTTGGAATCATTGATTGCTTTTCTTTGGATTCTAGGAATACCATCCATCCATCTACCGGATCATCGAAAGAAAATTTGATATTCTTGCAATTTAGTATCTATCTGTGATAATACATTCGAAACCAGACATATAAAGCCCACTTACACAAATCGCATTGAGCGCTTCAGAAACAGAACATCCTCGGCTTTTATACTATTGTACGTAGATCAAAACAGGGCGGGTCCTCGCTCGTACCATTCGTGGCCTGCCCCAGGAAGCGGACGTGATTGTTCGACAGCCGGTCATCTCCTATTATACCGTGGGTGCCAGATACCATACCGATCTCATCAGTTGTCATACTGGCATACTTGTTTGTCCCATTCACGTTTCGATTGCTGTGCATTCTTTGCAGTTTCTTTTTTCACTTGAGGCGCCATTCACCATCTCAAGAGTCGCCTTCGTTTTATGATCTGAGAAAATAACGTTGCAATCTTGGGTCCTTTATCTACACTTAGTTGTTTCAGCTTGCCCGCACTTTTAGAGGATCTGTTGCCAAACGCCTTACACTTCGAAATCGGGACGAACTGAATCTTCATTACAAATTCGCCTTGATTGGACATCTTGACGGTGACTTCTTACGGGCTTTCGACGCCTCTTGTTAAAGCATTGTAGCTTGCTGGAAGACATACCCGTCGTTGACGACTCTGTTCGAATTCCAACACCCACCGAGACCTGACCTCCGACACTTGGTTTCGTCGCTTTGACAGCATCCTTTCAACTTATCAATTGATAGACATCTTCTACACTTTTCTTACTTGGCTCATAATGTGCCAAGATACATAACGGAAACGAGGACGAACCTTTTACCATTCGTAGCGTCGATCGGCCTACCCGACGACCTGAATAACGAATGAACACGACCACGACTGAGCAAGATAATAATGGCTCTACCAAAACCAAAATATTCTCTGGATGATTCCTGTTCGATATTATATAACAATACATTATACGCATACAACAGCGAAGCGTTTCAATCGCTATCATTAGTCCAAGGAGCGAATTGGACGCAATTACCCCAAGGAGAATCTGTATCGGGAGGAGTTTGTGTGAAGGCAACACCTGCTAACGGACAGGATGCATTGTATATTGTCGGTGGAACGAGCAGTAATGCCACAAGCCTGTATACGGGTCTTCAGCGATATAATTTTAATGATGGAAAATGGGACACCTTAACTACAACAGTGCTAGTCGCTCAAAATCGACTATGGCACAGCGCTGTGTACTTGAATGCATCGGATTCCATTTTAATGTATGCAGGAAGTCAAGATGGTAGCAAAGATCCATCATCTCAAACCTTCACGATTTCCGCGTCGCCTCCATATAATGTCCTGTCATATGGGGCTTCTATTACACCACCTGTACCCGCTGTGCAGCCTCTATTGCTTCCATGGTCATCAGACTCGGCAATCTATATTGGCGGTACTGACACGAATACTGCCGTGATGGAATTCAATCCAACAACGGCCTGGGCTAACACAAACAGCAGCTTGGCCACTCCGATATACAACACTTCAGCAGTCAAAGCAGTTGTGATGACAGGCGATGACGGAAGCAAGAACCTTTATACTTTTGATATGACAGTTGCACCAAACACTGTGAATAGGACCGTTCTGGTTGATGGCTCTGGAAGTCCCGTGCAAAGCGCGGAGGCTATTGTGTCAACGAGTACCTCTACAAAAAGAGCTACGCAAGAAGTAAAAAGAAGTAGTCTTACGGAAGCTGACTGGCCTGCTTATAATGGTACACTAGCTCCAACATCTACCAGGACATCATATTCGGTCGCGATGGGCGCAGCTGGACAAGTAGTAATATCAGGTGGAAATGAGGATGATGTTCTTTGCATTTTTGGAGCGGGAACGAATTCTTGGGTTAATGCAACATCAATGTTGGTCAAGTCTACCACGCAGCAAATCATTATACCATCAACGTCCTCGTCGATTGCAAGTTCTTCGGTACCTACGAGTACTGGTAACACCACTGCAGCAACCGCTGAATCGACTGATAAGGTTGCCGACACGTTTCCGGTGAAAGTATTGGGTGCAGTACTTGGGTCTATAATTGGGGCCGCTCTACTACTCATTGGTGTGTTGATCCTTTTCCGATGGCGACGGAAGAAGAGGGATCTCAAAAACGCAGCTGCAAATGGATATCCTCTCGAAAAAGATGGGTTAGAATTTTCGGATAGAGGTCTGGCAAATATGCACTCATCAATGCATCCGCCGCGACATGGACAATCGGCATCCCAGGGTTCATTTTCATCAATGGCCATCTTGATGGGTCGTATAGGACATCGAAGAGGAGAGGACGACAAAGGTAACGGGAGTGCGGGAAGTGGCAGCAGCAGTCAATTTAACAAGAACTACAAAACTACAATAAATGAGCCTACATCACCTGATCGGACTTACGCTCAAGATGCATTGGCAAAGGAAGTTTCATTCGGTCAAGATACGGTTACACCACGACCTAGAAATCCTGGAGCGCAGAGACGAGGCAGTACAAGAAGATCATCGGGATGGAATCGATATTGGTCTGGTGGAAGTGCAATGACGAGTTTCTTGGGTTTTGGAGAATCAAAACAAAATCTTTCTAATAGTGACGATGACGCCGCTTCACGATACTCGGATGCAAGGCTGCCTACACAGCTTAATGCTTCCAGACTTCCAAGTCAGATTACCACAACATCCGCTTTGGTCCCTCCATTGAAGATTCCGATTCCAGGAGATACTCCATTATATCGGGTGGCTACCAATAGTCCTACTGTATCCACCGCCGGGTCTCATTTTCCAGTAGCAGCAGAGATGTCTGGCAAGATTGAAGGGATCCGACCTGACTCTTATGCAAGTAACGCTTCATCTTATGATGGAAGATCTGATGCCTACTCGAGTGGAGTTCCGGAAAGTGTAAATGATCCGGACTCATGGGCAATGGGCAATCAAGGCTGGTCTCAAAACAGACCAAGTAATGCATACACTGTTAGCGTATACACCACCAACAGAGATACTGTTGGAGGGAACAATTTCTCGCTCCAATCACCTCAACCGCCACCACCCACTCAACGACAAAACCAACCCTCGATCCCTTCGGATATGAGCTGGTTAAACCTCGGTACCAAAACTCGAATATGATACCCTCTTTTTTTGTACTGTAATCTCGCATTCCAAACTCTCACTATACCTATGTTCTTATCTTTTCTTCGTTGACACTAGCGCTGCTGCATTTTCATGTCCTTGTTTACAATATATCCCGTATTGTTGCATATGCTGGGGGTTCTTCCTTGCACGGCGTGGAAATGGTTCATTATTGTTAAAAAAATCCGACAAGTCCGCGTCTGGCGTTTTTTCCTTTTCACCATATTTTTCTGGACTCGTTTCCACAAAATTCCCTCTCATGTTCTCCTTACTCGACTTTTCGTCCAACTTTCTTGATTTCTTGGATAACATTACTAGTACTACTACTACTGCTTTTTTCTCGTTGGCGAATACTGATGTCTTGTATGACATTGTACTGTACTAGATCTTGATCTTGCATGATCGGAGTTATTATCTCTTTTCTTTGGATATTTGGGTGGAGGCAGAGAGTGTACCTTGCCGTGCAAAGAAAATCTCTTGGGGAAGGGGGGTGTAGGAGATGTTGCATTATGGTATGGGCCGTTATTGGAATGGATATAATGCTTAAATTTTGAGGGGGTGATGCGGAGGATGGGGAGTCGAAAGTGGCAGAGTAGAGATGAATGTGATGGTGGTTCGTTATACCTGTCGTGTACGATGTAGTGGTGTGTAGTGAAGAAAGGATTTAGTTGTTGTTGTTGTTGTCGCGAGGCTGGTGATGAATGAGAATCTTGCGTATTCAAGAGATATTATGTTGTTCTCTGTATGTGTGTGTTTGTGAATGACTTTGTGTTTCTTGATGTGAGATGATGATCTGTATATGTATATTGTTTGAGTTACTAGATATCTATACTTTAAACTTCTGTATCATTCCTCTTTACTTTTCCCTCTTCTTCCTTTGGAGACTGTATCGTTGGTATACATAGTTATATCACCAGTCTACCTATTATCTTGCATTTTGCATTTCTTCATTCCCCTCTCTTTAGTTTTCTTTTCTTTGCTTACCTAGGTACTCATACTATAGCAAATCCGTCTCTACTTCTAGAAATCATCGCTAATGGGACAATATTCAATACACGGACAGATACGAGAGCAGAGTTTTCCGTGTTCTGATTTCCTGAGATGAGAAAGAGGGGGGTACTATTGGTTTTGGTGTTGGGGTTTGATTCTGGGATTTGCGTTGGGGTTCGGAATGTATTGCAGGTAGTTATTCTTTCGGGGAGGGGATGGGGGGTTGATTTAGAGTGTGTGATTTATATTTCTATATGTGTATATATATGTATATATGTATATATGTATATATGTATATATGTATATATGTATATGTGTATATATGTGTATATATGTGTATATATGTGTATATATGTGTATATATGTGTATATATGTGTATATATGTGTATATATGTGTATATATGTGTATATATGTGTATATATGTGTATATATGTGTATATATGTGTATATATGTGTATATATGTGTATATATGTGTATATATGTGTATATATGTGTATATATGTGTATATATATATATATATGTGTATATGTGTATATATGTGTATATATGTGTATATGTGTATATGTATATGTATGTATGTGTGTATATATATATATATGTATGTGTGTATGTATGTATATATGTATATGTGTATGTGTGTATATATGTATATGTGTATATGTATATATGTGTATGTGTGTATGTGTATATATATGTATATATATGATTATAGCTGTGGATTACAGTGCTGTAAACAAGTTCTAATAATCAAGTACCGACCGGCGAATGGATACTCGATTATCATGTGAGTACGGTATTACGCGATCGAGGATATGGATGGATACAATTCGCTGTTTAACATTCGATTTCTGGAGTTCAGATGAAAGCAATTATATTCTCAGAAGTGTTTGAGATGTGTTTGGGTAGTATTTTGTATGCTATTCTTGATATGGTATGATATGATGGGTGGATGGTTAAAAAGCGGTTGATGGAGATGGATATGATTTGACTGATCGTGCATTTTGATATAACGGTTATTTCGCAATCCTAGCATGAGATGGGATTGGTGATTTGTTCATTACGAGGATAGAACGAGTGTTTGTGGATCAGGTGGATTTGGAAAGTTGGGATAATGAATAGTGTTTCTTCAGTCATGTTTTGGTGGGGTTTAATTTGTTTGTTTATTGTATGTCTCTTGATTCTCTTCCTCGCTTTGGTCTGGGTGGTTGTGGACTTTGGGGGGTTCTTCTTGGTTGATTATCTGTCTCTAAATCTCTGCTCTCTATTATACAATCGTGTTGGTGGTTGCGTCAGCGAGAGAGCAAGAGGCGTGCATGGTTAGAGCCGGATGAGGAATCGAATGGATTTTGCGATTTATCGCTATCGTCTGCGTTCCAATCTACTTCGAAGCCTCCTCGCCAAGACATGACTCCGATGCAAGTTCCAATTTGCGTTGCTCTAACTGCGCTTGTTCGTCTTCGCAAAGTTCCATCTTTTGATCTGGAATATGATGGTGTATGATACACATACACTATGAGAGTTTGACAGTTGACGAACCCAAGAAAGCAAAAATGACATCTCGGCATTATATCGCCTGATTAATTCCCGCGACTCCAAGCAAGCCTCCTAGCGACTCAATCCTATACTTCCTCTTCTTCAACCCTCCAAGAACTAACTCAATCTCAGCAGCCGAATACGATCGTCTATCGTGCATGATGATGATACCTCCCGGTCTCGCCATACTCAAAACATGCTTCGCGTTAATCCTCGCATTATGGATTTGCGGATCATGAGGGTAGATACTCCCCAACGCAACGCGATAACCCCACTGTCTTGCCTTCTCCAGCATTTGAGCATTGAAGAATCCGGAGCCGGGACGAAAATACTTGGGCGGGATTTTAGAACCGGAAATCGGACGATTGGGCGGGAGGAGATCCTCGACTTCTTTGATTTGACGCTCGAGCTCAGAGATGGGGAGCGAGATGGATGGCTCGTCGGCCCAGGCGTGGTTTCCTAACTCGTGACCTTCGTCGTGGATGCGTTGGATGAGAGAGGGGTGCGAGGAAACTTGGCTTCCGATAATGAAAAAGGTGGCTTTGGCGTTGTAGATCTTGAGTAGATCTAAGATTCGAGATGTTTCTCCCGAAGGTGCATCGTCAATTGTTAAGGCGATGACGCGGTGGGAATTTGAGAGAGGGATTTGGAATAGGACGTCAGGATACTTCCATTGGAGGTAATTGATGACGAATTGAGGGGGTTTGTAAATGGTATATCCTAATAAGAGGACTATGAATAGAATAGCTAGGAGGACCAGGAGAATCATTTTTATCATGTGGAAAGATGAATGATGGTGTATTCGAGTCGGTAAATCATAGGAGTCTACACCGCGCTCTTCGTCATCTATCTTGACATGCTTTGTAGGACCTGATGCAGACCAAGAGGAGGCACTAAAACGCTGGATTCTGCGTATGAGACCATTTATTCTGAGACGCATTGGAATGTAAAATGTTGATGGCAAGTCTTAATCATGCTTAGAAGCGTTTTGGTTCTCGGGTAGTAGATTTCCTTGCTCTATCTAGGTCCATAGGTAGGTTCCTGTGTATTGAAATAGGGGATAACGTTTTGTTCCAAGTCAACACCTGATGTGGCTGAAAGCATTTACCTAGCCTGCCCGGGCAGCACCCTTCTTTTTAGCCACATTTATGAGCCACCGATCTTATCGGACAACCTTATCTAACCTTGGAATGTCCCGAGGTTTCCAAGGTTGTTGTTCATCTAGTCATCTAGAACCGTTTCCATGGATGATGGGGATGACATTGATTGTTGGGCTGTAATGATTGATGTTTTATTACTCTATTACTCTATTACTCTATTACTCTATTACTCTATTACTCTATTACTCTATTACTCTATTACTCTATTACTCTATTACTCTATTACTCTATTACTCTATTACTCTATTACTCTATTACTCTATTACTCTATTACTCTATTACTCTATTACTCTATTACTCTATTACTCTATTACTCTACCTCATCCTGTATCAGATTCCATGAGTAACTACTAGGTAGCTCACCATCGCATCGCACTAGCGATGACATTCTTCTAGAAGAAGGGGCTCACTCTTCCGTATTGACTTTAAGCTAAAGATTCGGAGCTGTCCGAGAAAGTATGATGTTAATGCTCATCAGTGACTATGTATGTATGTATCGAGCAATTGCTTACACTTGAATGGTATGGCTGTCTGCCGGAACTTTATTTGGTAGACAGTGGACACCTCCCTAATGGATCAACAGACCGTCATCCTGTCTGTCTACTCTATGTTCCATCCCATCCTGTTGCTCGCCAAGTAATAATCGCCTAATAAGACATGAAAGAGGTCTATCTTAAATATAAGCTTAAACCTCATTTCTGTTCTTCACAACGATTAATGAAATTTGCCTGGCAAATTATCAACTACCGGTGTACTGGTGCTGGTGGTATGTATGAACCTGAATGCCTGTCATCAATGTGAACCTTGGAAGTTAGCAAATTCGTGGGGAAACGATGACATTCTTGTTAAATGCGGTGTGAGATTTACAGCTGACATTCCAATTCCTTGGCATCTTTTTCTTCAATTTGCCTTCCAAGTACGAGGTAGCTATTTGTGAACCTATTCCCAAGAAGCTCAAGGCAGTTCGATACGTAAACCGTACGGCACAGCCTCGTCTTCAATGTACATGCGCATGTACATGTAGTCTTATCGTACAATCAATCCAATCCAATTACATATCAACTTGACTTGCCCTTTATTGGCGCCTGAAATCTGATCCATTTCACGACGAGAATCTATCCACGTGTGGTGTTCATGTTTCTTGGCTTCAAACGGTCGTTACAAACAATTTGTGCTGGAGAAGAAAATGCGTTAATTATCACAATCTCATCTTACCCTACAAGCCTAAGGAGATTTTGAAGTTATCGGGTCTCTCTCAGGTCTGTTACTCTGCGAAATTTTTCCATCCCATGTCGAACTTTAACTGATTTCTGCCCAACAGGTATCATCCAAAGGTGTGATTCGCATCTAGAGTGTCTCACATACTGTGATCGCCTCAATAGAGTGTTGGACATCCATAGTACCTTTGCCGACTTTAACAAGGCTGCGAAACCACCTGAGGATACTTTGAAATTCCCATTGCAACGAAGTTATCTTTCGAGAGGTATCGAGACACACTCTCGTCACCATTTATTCAACAAATTCGTTTGCCTGTGATCTTTTCGTCGCAACGAGCTTTTCAACATGACGACGGAGAGTCTTGACACCAATAAAATCAAAGAATGGCGATCTATAATCACACTCATTGTTTTTGTCATGACTAGTAAGTGCTAAAATTTCCTCAAGCATGCTGCTTTTCCAGGAAGGGGTAGTTAGTTAACTTTACATGAATCACATAGATGTCATTGTCCTTTTCCCTTTTCATGTTCCAGTATATGTTCCCCGAAAATTACACAACGCTTTTCTGGACACCTTAAGTCATTTGCGATTGATCTCGCCAAGGGAGGAAGATTGTCAGCATGGTCACCAAGATGGCGAAAGTAGAAACGTCACGCGTTTCGTTAAATTGAACTTCCCTTTGAATTTCGTGACAGCACCTTTGATAGCAGATCTCTTTCTACTCGCTATCTTGGCAATCGGCCGACAAGAAGTACACGATGGGACAGTTGGGGCAAACAGTATCAATCCGATTGATATTATGGTTTTCTTCATTACCCTAGCATATATTGCCATTTCGATCGATGCTTCTGGTCTCATCAGATATTTAGCATTCAAAGTGCTTCAAAAGGGAGGTAAAGTTGGACATAGACTGTTCTTCTTCCTTTACGCATTCTTTTTCTGCCTGGGGGCCTTCATCGGAAATGATCCCATTATTCTGTCTGGTACTGCATTCCTTGCTTACTTGACCAGAGTATCGAGTAATATTATTCACCCAAGAGCATGGATCTTCACTCAGTTCGCAATCGCCAATATCGCCTCGGCTATTCTTGTCTCTTCTAACCCAACCAATCTTGTTCTAGCTGGCGCATTCGGTATCAAATTTATCAATTACACAGCGAACATGATCGTTCCAGTAGTCGCAACAGCGATCGTTTTATTCCCATTCTTACTATATATCGTCTTTGCTGATGAGGCTTTGATTCCACTTTCGATCAAAATGCACGAGCTCTCCGAGGAAGCCAAGGCCAGGAAGCCTGTAAATCCGAATATTCCTAATGCTAAAGGAAGTTCCGGTGAGGAACAGGAGAATGAGCCCTCAGAAGATAAACAACTTTCTCTTGAGGAAATTATGAATCCTTTTGTCGATAAAAAAGGCGCAGCATTTGGAGCTATTCTCATGGCTATAACACTTATTATGGTTCTGGTTCTCAATGCTATTAGTCAGAGCAAAGGCGAGTATCCAGTGTTCTGGGTAACTTTGCCAGCGGCCTTTGTGATGTTTGTTTGGGAGATTTCATTAGGGTGGATTAACCGACATGAAACACGCGAGATCGCTCGCAATGGAAGACACGAGGTCGAACTTGCCCGAGCTGAGCGAGCGATCAGAGAAGAGCAAGAAGCGAGTCAAGTCATTTTGGAACAAGAGAAGCGAGATATTCAAAGTCCGAATGGAGCTTCTTTAGGGCTAACAAAATCTCCCGAAGAGTTCGAGATGAAGCTATTGGAAGGCGAAAATGGCCCAAGGAATAGCCAAACCCCCACGCTTTTGGTATCGGAAAGTTTCAATGAGCAAACCCCAAAACCGAGTGATCCCTTGGACTCATCCATCTCAACCCTTGTTCCAACAGAAGACAATTTGCAAAACAGTCGCTCTTCGACCAGTGCAATGAGCACACTAGATGAGAAGAAGGAATCAAAGCTTGCGGAATCTCCTGCTTCCCCACCAGGAGTATTAGTTCCGCGGATAAGCCATGGATCGGAGTCGAATGACCGAGCAATATCCGAGAAAGCTTCCCGCAAGGTCGAATTTCAAAAGCAGCGTGGACGTTCAACATTAGTTTCGCTCTTCGGCGAGGGATATCTATGGTGCCAAGAAACATTTCCAACTGTCACAGCAGTAGTAGCTCATCTTCCCTTCGCCCTTGTTCCATTTGCCTTCTCAATGTTCGTTCTCGTACAAGCATTAGTGACCAAAGGATGGGTTCCAGTATTCGCTTACGGCTGGGATCACTGGGTTGATAAGACCGGTACTATTGGGGCTATTGGCGGTATGGGATTTCTCTCCTGTATTCTCTCTAACGTGAGTATCTCCTCATCAATGCCTGGGCCCTCTCAAAACTAATCTAATCCCTTTACTATAGTTCGCAGGTACAAACATCGGCACTACAATCCTTCTCTGTCGCATAATCCAAGCATGGCAAGAGATTCATCGTGACAATGGTCTTCCTATCAGCGACCGCACTTTCTGGGGAACAGTATATTCGATGGCTGTTGGTGTAAACTATGGTGCATTTAGTACGGCGTTTAGCGCATCGCTGGCTGGCTTGTTGTGGAGGGATATTCTGGCAAGGAAACATATTCATGTTAGAAGGCTAGATTTTGCAAGAGTAAATTTACCGATAATCGCTATTTCGATGGCGGTAGGGTGTGCGGTACTTGTTGGACAGATCTATGTGGTGAGGGGTAATGGTCGTTATGATGCGTGAGTGGCTTTAGATTGTGGAAGAGGGGGAAAATAGATTTTTATTATGTATGTATGTATTATGATGACGAAAATAGATTTGCATTTCTTGCTAGTATCATTCAAAGGCTGGAAAGATCATTGTTGTCCCGAAGAATTTTGATAATTGCTTAGTTGTTGATTTTTTGATTTTGATGCAGACTTTGAACTTTGTGATGATATTACAGAGTTATGCGACTCATTGAATTCTTCTTCTTCTTCTTCACATCTCGGATCCCAACTTCACTCCCTATCTCGGGATCCCCATCCAAATTCCCACTAACACAACGCATCCCAACGTCGTATATCTCATGACTAACGAAGAAATTTGCACACTACATTTCAACGTATATACAGCCATCCTTCTTCCGATGATTTCATCATTTGACGGTGCCGTGTAAGCGATGCGACGGAACTGAGATCCGGAGAGAGAATCTTTGGAGAAGAATGGAGTGGAGATGATTTATTTTGGATGTTTGAAGAGGTTTTTAGGAGGTGTATTGGGTTTAAAAAACTCTTCTTAAGGCTTGTTCTTTTGGAAAATTGGAGGGCGGATATGAGAATTATTTTCGAGGAATGAATGAAGTTGTATGCGAAGATGAGGTTGAAAAACTGCATCTTTGGGATGGAATGATTTTGTGATGAGGTAGATTGCTTTGGGAGCTTTACACTGGGGAGTATGGAAATTCGGTGGTTGTGTGGAAGGGTTTGAGAATAATGGGCAATTGGGTTAAATACCTACTGTTGTTATAATTCCGAGCTAACTTGAAGGTTATTCTACTTTGCAGATTGTCATCTTGGATGCGGATATCTAATAAGGATTTAAGTGTCAAGTGCTGTCTGATTACTGGAGATTTTACACTATGAGGGCCAGATGTCTATCGCATTATGCACGAATTTATAATTTCTCCTTGACTCGGAAATAAATCTGGAGTGTTTTCATCTGATCACCACGAGATGACACTTGATACGAGACTCCAGAATAGTGCACTCTGGGTATCCAACGGCACCATTAATATAATGTACTTCTCAATATATGGAATCTCGAAGGACGCTCTTGTAGTAACACTGGGAATAGTGTATATTATGCTCATTCATCACCCAATATTCCTAGCATATACAAATCGTATCTTTGGAATCTGCCACCCATAACCCCTTTCCCGACGAGAAAATAGACGCTCCAAACCTGGATACATTCCTCTATCATCCAATTGAGGAAATCTCAATCCATCATCCCTATCTACTTCTCTCTTCACATCCTCCAACCTTCTCCTCACTCTCTCTTCCGCATCAACCATCTCAAACGATACCTCCGCATCTCCTTTCCCCACTCCCTCTCCACCCTCCACATCAAGCACAAAATAAACCTCTTCCAAAAACTCAAACAAATACAACACGCAAACTAATCCATACCAACCAACCTTAAATCGCTTCCTCCAATAATAACTATCCTCCTCATAATCCAAAACTGCATAATCCAGCGCCACCTTCCGCACATCCTCGTATCTCTGCAAATGGCTCTCAGGATAATCGATCGATAGTTTCTTCACCGTTGAAATCCCTTTGAACCAGAAAATATCGGTATTCCAATTTACCAAATCGCTTCCGGGAGAGGCGAGAAAAGATGTCGAGCTGAAAGATGCGGAGGTTGGGTGTCGAATCGGGGGTTGGGGATGAATATGCATTCGTTGGAGAGTTTCTAGCCAGCAGGTTTGTTGGTACATAGAGCGGGATTCGTGGGATATGAGGAGCGAGGGATGTAAATGGGGTGAGCGGGATAGTGTTAGAGGCCAGGGATCTGAAGCTGTGGGTTGGGAGCCGAGAGCGGTGATGTGGATGCGGGGAAAGGTGAAATAGATCGCCCATATCATGACGCGGATTTCGGAGGGGAGTTGGGAGAAGAAGTGGAATTGTGGGAGAGGTTTGATAGGGGGTTTGGTCGGAGATGAGCGGAGGGGAGTGAGTGTGAGGAGTTTCGAGAGCTGGCGAGGATGATATGGTGAGAGGAATGTCTTGATGGATCGTTTTGACTTTGGATGGAGGTTTGGGAGGACAGTGTCTTCTTGTTTAGTATGTGATAAATGCATGGTGATTATAACAACCAGATGTAGACAGTTGAGGCAACGAGTTCTTGAAGATTATTATGATATATAATGTATTGAAGATCAAATTGTACAGTTTTGAAATCAAAAGCATCCAGAGAATCTTCCTCAAACATTCAAATAGCATTCGTCAAAATCCCAGTTGCTCAAAACACGAAAAGAAGCATCTAAAATAAGGAATTCAAACTCAACGCACGCCAATGCATCCCGATACTTATAGCCAAACGCATCCCAAATTTCTCTCCTAATCATCCTCTCAGATTTCCTCAGGCCAGCTTCGACGTGGATGATACATGCATATAGTGTAAGCACTAACATGCACCGTTCCGGGATTTTCCAAACTCGACCTCTCGGAGGATTTATCTTGATCCACAGTTGGACGGTGATGCATGTAAGACATATGGGAAACACGTGGCACCCATGCATCTCTCGTGCCATTCATGACTGATCAGAGCATACCGCATCTTGCAGAGTCTGTTGAGATGAACTTTTCGGGGTTGCATTTGCTTTGAGAATGCAAGTCGAGCCGAGAGGAAATCTTTGTTGGTTTTGTTTACCGAGATGGATTAATATTCCCGGGCTAATGATAGTGAATTAGTATCAATTAACACGTTTTCTCTTTACTCATTTACATCGCTATATTGTATAGTTGTGCAACTGCTCCTCTATTTCTTGTTGACCTGTCAATTCATATCTATAATTTATTGAAACTGTACGCTTATTTCTTCTCCAAAAAGCTTTCAGAAGGCTTCAAAATATGAAGCAGAGATATAGTTGATAGAACAAAAGCTGTCTTCAACCCCTATCTTTTACATCGTCAGAGGTTGCCCTCAAGCTGCATGCTAATTCCAAGAAGATTGTTTCAGGCTCATAAATATATGATCTCATGAACCTATAGCGAGACGGGAAAGTAATAAATTAATTTATTTATGAAAAGTAATATCAACACACTACTATGTAGTTTATACAGCGTCAGAACCAAATATTGAAAACGGTATCCACAATACAATCAAAAAAGCTTAAGTGCCATTCCTGTCTACACTCTCCGGTTCCTCCTAATCCGAAGTCTTCATACCTTCAAAAAATACATCAGTGGCTAATCCAAGCACCCCTAGTACACAGGAATCTTAAATGCATCAAAAGTGTAAGTCCAGCTCTCAATAGAAGCCTCATCATTGACGCAATCGAAAGTAGTGCTGTTGCTCTGCCAGAGAGGACGAGTTGGCCACTGACAAAGCATTTGTGTCTCGCCTGCATATGTACCCGAAGATACAGTTGCATTGAGAGCAGTTGGCTTGACTCCATTCTCAACCCAATCGATCATAATTTCCATATTGTCCTCGGGATATGGACCAGGCTGAAGAGAGTTAGTTCCGCAATGGGCTGCACCAGGAACAAGGTAGAATTGATACCAGTCCTGGAGTGCCTCTAGACTCTCTTCAGCAGTAGCATTGCTGTACATGGCGGAACGAACAGATTGCCAGTAGTGTACAGATGAGGCGGATGGAATACTTGGATCAGATTCACCGTGGTAGTGAAGCAACTTACCCCCAGAAGATTGGAAATTAGTTAAATCAGGAAGGGCAGTTTGCAAGCTGTCCATATATCTCACCATACCAATGTTCATCCACTCAACAAGGGTATCGTAAGTAATATTATCAAGGTCAGAAAGATTGTCGAGATCGAGCAATTGAACGTACTTGGTGACATACGCTCCTCCAGTAGATGGAATGCTAAGTTCCCAGGATCCGGTTTCGTTGTTGTACGTGGTAGCGGAATCTCCAAGATTCGAAGCGATCTGCCAGGAGAGGTATGCACGCTCATTTTCGGAGTTGTGGAGACCGTCATAGATGGCTTGAGCGACAGCGATACCCTCAGCAGTCACTGTTCCATTCTGGGCAGGTGTAGTGCTGGTTGTGCTACCTTGTGCACGCTTACTAAATCCGAACCCGAGAGAAGAGGAGGTAGTTGCTGCGCAGTAGTATGATTCGCCGATAATTGAACTGAGGTTGAAGTTAAGCTTGCAAAGATCTGTGCGAGAAACCACACCGTCTGTTCGTCCATCGAGAGGATCGCAAGCAGCGATGGTAGCATTCACAATTTTATCCATTTCGCAAGGTGGTGGGTAGTAATCCAATGTGTGTTCAACTGCGGATGAAAACACGTGATGAACTTGTTGCTGCGCGAAACGGAAAGCTGGAGCACCTGCAATAACTCCATCGTATTCCTCTCCCCAGCGTTGAACTTGACTCATACCCTCTCTTCCTCCATCAGAACATCCTTCATAGTAGGTGTAGACCTTTGTGTCATCAGACAAGCCGTAGAAGCCCTTCGTAAGCGTCTTTCCAACCAGGGTCATCTCACCTAATGCTTGATACCCAAACATGTACGTCGCGTCCCAATTAATAGATCCGTTGCCATATAGAACTACCTCATCGTAACTGTACTCAAAAGCATCGTACCCTGCATCAGTGGCACCACCAACGGCACCATATGCAAGCCCTCCAGTTGCATCACTAGAAAGGGAATAACCACCTCCACCAGCGACATGGAAGCGATTTTCAAAATCGGAAGGACTTGGGAAAGCATACTTTATGACCACCTTGTCGCCCTTTCCAGTGTGGGTGTAGGTGACTGTAACATTGCAATAGGTGTAGGTAGTAGTGCTACCCATACCAGCAGATGCATTATAAACAGCGCCCGCTGTAACGGCTGAAGGGATCAAATCGATACCTAGCAAGGTTCCATTTGCAGGTATAGCGGCCTGAACATTGGATACAGTGCATACATCGGAAAGCGATGCAGCATTCACTGTCACCGCAAGAGCTGCAATAGCTGTGCGCGAAGATTGGCGCATATTGATGTATCGAATCAAAGTAGGTATTGAACGGTAGGAATAAAAGTGAATTAGAAGAAAAATTAGAACAGGTTAGAACAACGAATGTAAAGCAAGTGCCGAGAGTAAATCACATCGGTACTTGCAAACCATTATATATACATTATTACAAGCTTAATTGAGGTATTAAACGGGGCCGTTAATCATCATGATCTCGAGATGAAGACGACCAGGAAGATACCGTCGCCGCGTCATGTGTAGACGTATAGGTCGACCAGTAAGATTAGCTCAAGGCATAGAAACAAAAATAGGTGATCGTCTTGTCAAAACGAAACGAAACAAAAAGTCAAGCAGTTCCTTCCTTAGCTACATTCGACTACACCTCTCTTCCTAGTTTCGTAAGCTCCATCAAGAGGATGTCACTGCACAAGCTTAAAAACGCATATTACCCCGGTATAGGGCTGGGGTGAAATATCCCTATTATTACGAAGTAAATGTGGCGTGCTAGTACTGTAACTACCGTGCAGGGTTACGTAATTACCTAGCGAAGAATTGGATTTAGAGTGTGTAGACTCCACTTAGTCCACATTGCATGGTGGATCGAGATAGGCCTTATATAGACGACGATGTCACTGAATGTGAACTATTGGTGGCTATTCTACTTCTTGGCAGTGAAGTAGTACTACATAGTTATAGTATTGACGACTTCGGGACCGAAGCTCTGGGTCAACTTGACCGCAGCTGTGATTGTACAGTTGTGCCGCGTGTCGCTTGTCCTCTGAGATCACTGGCTTCAAGCTTCATGCCATATCATGGTGGCTGATGTTGAAGACTTCTATGCTAGATTAGTGTAGATGAATCATTTCATTATTCACTGCAATGTGTACAAGTTATAAGGTATAAAACTAATAACATACTAACGTACTAGAATCCCATGAATTCCCAAGTGTCGCAGCTGCATTCTTCGAGCACATGAGAATATTCGATACAATTTTCCCTTCCTTAATAAGCGATATTGAAGCTATCTTCATTGAAGTTTACTTGAATCTATTGAATCCCGGTATTTCCATATCTTTTTGGTAGTGTAAAAATCATATGATAATAACATGATTTTCATGATGTGATTTTCGATATCACATATGAGAATGCGTAATAGAAAATGCAATGCGCTTCACCACAGTGGGACGTATGTTCAATACTTGTTATACTACTTCAGTCACCAAGACTTGTACTACATGTGGACCAAAGATAGATACATATTTGTCGATTTGAATGTCATAGTTTGGATAAACTTCAAAACAGGACGAGAGCAACCATAAGGGAACAGCCGATATTCTGCAAAGTGACCACAAAAAAAGGCGAAGCAAATTAAGCTGGAAGGCTTGCCATGGAAAGGTTGCAGACATGTAGACACTTCTTTGATTAGCCTGCCTTATTATGTGAAAAAGGGCAGCGAGTTTCCAAACTACCTTCACCTCACAATTTGTACCAATCGGCATAAATATCAAAAGCAATGAATGCATGAAGTAATAGCCTTGGTCTAGGCTCACCCCTATCTTACTGGTGGGCGATGAAAATAATAGTGGTGTCAGTGAATCAAGTCGGTCAACCGCCAACGCTCAGAGTAGAGAGACGCGTTTATGGCGCAGAAAAACTGACGAAACTCTCTTTTCAGCTTCCAGATCTCGGATACGAAATGAGTTGCAAGATATTGTCTCAACCCCGTCAGGTTAAGCAACTGTAATAGATTATGTTGCCCCATCCACGAGCGAAAATAGATTGTAACCTACAGAGAATCAAACAGATACATTCTATTTTTGGTTCGGTCACTTTTGCCCAACCCGGAGCACATATTGTCTCGAAGCGACTGCCATAAAAGGTTGACAAGATCGTAACACTGTAGCAAATATAGGAAACACCACGTTCAACTTGGTTTGTGAAGTGCTGCCGGGTTTTCATCACCAATATCATAGTAATTGGGGCTATTTATTAAATCTATGGGCCACTAGAAGTGAACTCGTGTAGTTTTCAATGTCCAGCAACAGTGATCATTAAACTTGCCTCATCTTTCACACAAGAGTGAAGCAGTGTATGCACTATACAGCATAATGCAAACCACGAAAAGTGGTTTTTCAGATGCATTTCCAAGTGTTCATAACGAGCACAATGGATTCATTATCTGGAACGGCATGAAAACTCTAGTAATCCAAGACAAACCGGTGTCGAGACTGTTTATCTGTTTCCCGCTTCTGATTCTCTAACGTTCAAAGTGGGTGATGGGTTATGGTAGCAGCTAAAAGGTATGTGAAGTTACTGATAAGTAAAATCTTTAGAGGGAGTAAGAACTGATGTGTAAATGTTTAACAGAACTTTAGATATTATTGCTATTAGGAACACACATTTAGGGTACCACACGCCAGAGCTTCCCGTCTAGTACTAATATTTATCTCCTAGAGATTCACGATGAGCGAGATAATCGAGCAAAAAAAGACGATATTGAAGCCAGATTGAACAAGGGTATTAGATTAGCACTAAAAGCCAGACTATACGATTCAATAGCCTCTTATCTGCGAAGTCAACTTTCTAAGGGACATGTAACGGATGAGTTTCACCACCATGACAGCAACAGTGACTGCAGCCATGAAAGGCATAATCGCAATTAGGATCAAGTTCAAACAAGTTCAAAGTTTGGTCATTCTTATTGGTGTAATAGGAAAGCCGATACAAAATTTGGTTAAGAGAGTATGCGCAACGACTCGTACTTGGAAAATACGTTATATTGAGAATACCAAGGCTTCATTTTGTTGGATCTGAGAAATACTCGACATCTCTGCTCACAACTTCTTCGGCGATAAGATTTATCAATACAAAACCGATCAAGAACCCCGTTGGTGAGGACAATGCAAAAATAGACTTAACAATATTTATTGAAATGTCGGTTCGAACATCTTAGGAATCATCTCAATGATTCAATACAAACTAAGCAACCAAACAATAGATTCTGATATTAAGTAATTACAGAATGTATTTGTTACAAATTTTGTAGATTGAGAAATATTCTATTAGTTCATGCACGTACAAGAGTTACTAACTTTGAATAATCGATCAGGATAGTACTTTCCAGCCTTAACAAACAATCGAACGTGAGTCTTTAGTACAACAAGCAACAAATACAAGACTAGTGAGATCCAGTAATCTACTAGGCCATCGGTTCCGCGACTCGTGTCGATTAGCAGTAGTTCAGCTATACTTATACAGAGGAATCAAATATAAGATGGAATTAACTAGTGATATGGAAATTTGGATATTCTCCCACGGGTAGATTTGTATTCAGATTGAAAACCAGGAGAAGAATCGGGAACTTTTAAACTTATATAAACAAACATTGATGATTGAAAACTGATATTGTAACCTGTCTAATTAAGCATCTTAGCAGTTACATCTATAGATTTAAGCGATATCAGCGGTGCTCTATAAGTAGGTATTATACGGAGATCTAAATACTGTAATTGAAAGACTACTTACTTTATTCTAAGCTTTAATCTTTTGATTAATGCTCGAATAGATAGTATGTAATACAGAGTTCTATTTAAATTTGATTGAAAAGTAAGATACAAAAGCTTGTAAGCTTTCGTAGATGAAATACTGATTTCTTTAATTCTCTCAAATATAGCATATCTCATACAAATAAATATCAAATATAAGAGAGTTACTTCTAGTATCGAGCTCATGACTATCCCTGAGCCCTGTTGTATTCTTGTGCGCCGGCTCAACTAAGATAATTTCTCAGGAGATACTTCTTCGATTTCTCTCCATTTTTGTACCTAGTAATTTACAAGTTCTACTCGATTAGATTATTATGCTATTGATGTTATGTATATGAGGGTTAATTTTTTTTCAAGGATAAGAACTAAGAAAGTGTATCTCTATCAAGATTACAGTAACTAAGCTTTAATTGAAAATTTCCACGCGCATAGACAGAAGGGGGGGGGAGGGAAGAGGCCGATAAACAAGCGAGCGCATCTCCCACTACCTTAATGTTCATAACAAGGTAAGGAAATCATATGCCGAGCTTTGTGTTGTATGATACTTAAATTTACTTTAGAAAATTCTACTACTTTCATTCAGCCTATAATCATAATTAAATGATTGTGATCACCTGAACTTTAGGATATGATTTCAGTTTCTCAGATCAAACACCTCCATCTTACATATACGGATATGCAGCCGCCTCTAAAAGGAGATCTGATCCCGTAGGATGGAGCGGTATTCAATGACGCATGCCAATGTTTTAATAAACTCAATTCCTTGATACAATCAATCAACACTCATCACTGTGAAAAAATATCACATGCCCACATATTTCACTAAGACATGCAGTTTACTCCACGTTTTCCAAGCAACTACTTGTGTTAGATGGATATACCAACGTGTATGTACATAGAAAATATGCAGGGGTAGAAGAACAAATTCATTCTATTGACCTTCTTTACATGAAGAAGGAACACTAAAATATCTGGTGTTCTCACCCCACTCTATGAATGGATATGCCACGTACGTAGTATGCATGAGAGCGGGATGGAATATGATCGATGTAACCGTTTTACACGTCAGTATTCCGACAGGTTGGAACACATTTTTCTCCGCTGAGCCCCGCATATAAACCAATCAGCCCGAATTGCGTTTCTTCAGACGTTGAAATTTAGATGAAGTGAATTAGTCGATTTGCTGGAACGATGCCACCCTCATCTAGCTAATGCAATTATATTCCCGATAAACCGTTTAAACTTTAGCGCCGTTGGTACCGTTGATATCGGTGAGGTTTTTGGTAAGAGCATTGCCGGAAGAAGGAATAGCAACAACCAGTAGCATGATCAAGATTGAAAACAGGTTGGCGTTAGCTTCCAAGGTGATATTTAGGGCTGCAATCGAGGTGTTGAAAAGTCAATCGCAATACCTGTAAGAATATAAGAAGCCCAACCGTTTAGAAACCCAGTCCAATTCACTAGTATTATCCTGAACGCTTTACTTTGCTTCTTTTTCCTGCCACCATGCCTACCGAAGAGATATTTGCGCAGTCCCCTCCCTTCCCCAACGATGTTCCAACAGCTGAAATCCCTATAATCTCATACAAAGCCCTGCAGAGCAATTCCTCTTCTGAATCTGAAAGGCTCTTCGATTCTTGTAGAGAGCATGGTGTTTTCTTGCTTAACCTGCGTGGCTCTGAGGAAGGAGAGGCACTTCTGAAAGATGCCGAATCCATGTTCAAGATTAGCAATGCTACTTTTGATCTTGAGCAGAATGAGCTTATGAAATACGTTAGCGACCCCCCTCGGGACCTCAGAGGGTAAGTCCACAAGCATAGCTTGTTTTAACTTCGCAAGGAAAAACATAAACTGACACCTTGATTAGCTACAAACCGGTTGGAACTCTGAAGACTGGCGATGGCAAGTTCGATGCCATTGAAGTTTACAACGTCAACCAGGACGACGCACTTGGTCTTGAGCCAAACCCAAAACCCGATCCTTATCCATTTGTTGAGAACAAACGTTCGGTTCAGTCCTTTTTCCGCCGTGCACACTCTGGAATCTGCGCTGTTTTTTCTCATCTCGACAATCACCTTGGACTTCCGTCTGGAACCCTAGCTTCTACTTGCCCCATTGATAAGCGCTCAGATACATCCCTTCGCATGGTATTTACACGCCCCCAACCCGTTGTTGACCACCGTGTTGCGTTCGCGAGTCATACCGACGTCGGTTTGATAACCATGCTGTTCAATGTTGTTGGCGGCCTTCAAATTCTCCCTGCAGGTGTCGAAAACAAGAATGAGAATTGGTTATACATAAAGCCACAACCGGGCTGTGCAGTGATCAATTTGGGAGACACTTTGGTCGAACGTACTGGCGGTGTCTTATGTAGTGCTTTGCATAGAGTTATAACACCTCCCGGAGAGCAGGGAACGCATGTAAGAAGGAGCTTAGCATATTTGGTCCGGTGCGAAAATGATGGGAGTATGAAAAGGTTCAAAGGTAGTGGCATTCCAGCCTTAGCGAACGAAGAAGTTGATCAGTCGAGATCTGTACGAGAGTGGGGTGAGTGGAGGATTAGACAGATCATGAACGGGGACTTAAAGCCACAAACGATGGGAGGAAAAGCATTCGTCGGAACGCCTCTTATCAGTGTATAAGCTTAATAACTGTTACGGAAAAGTAAACGAATCTAGCAAAGCTCTAAACAACCTTATATTTCCATTATTCGATGTGTCATAATTGAGTGCTGACTGACAGCAAATCGAATCTTGTAAATTCAAAACACCTCGTACTTAGAAGTGTATATTTAAAATTATACTCTAGGGAAATTTGTGCCTCCACTCAAAATACTAGGTGCCTGGAAGTTATTCAGAATCGATTACTGTACAGTCTAGAGTTTGAGTTTAGATTTGAACAGGAAACTGCTTCGTCTTAACTATCATCGAATCTTACAATACTATCCAAAGATGTGAAAAAATACCAGAATGAAGAGTGCTTGAGGGAGCAATGTCGATTCTTGAATAGCGGGCGTAGAAATAAAAAAAAATCGTTGATTAGGCCCGCCAGTTGTAACCCTTTTCTGTAGCATCACCAGTTTTACAATCCACAGCAAGATAGAAAAGAGACACGAGTTGCAACTTGCTGCACCTTAAGTGGGACTCGACCTTGACTGTAACAATATCTAATACTGTACATGATTTGCTCTCGACTGTTTTAATTTCCATAGAATTGAAAGATTGAGTTGGAACTAGAAATATCGGAACCCTCCCAGCTCTGGATGAATTCAGTGGTGTAGCGTCGCATCTAGTGGCCGCGTTCTCGAGAAACAAAAATTAGAGATTGAAATTGAGGAACTCGCGATTTTGAGGGAACGTAGTAATGAGAGTGATGAAAAGTAGATCAAAAAGCGCCAAGGAGCAATAAGGTCAAACAAAAATAATGGGTTCTCTTGATGGGAATCAGAAAAAGAAAACGTACTAAACCTTTAAGCGAAAGGAAAACTTCTAATAGCTAGGTTTTGGTGCTGACATTGCGTTCTGGATGACGAGAGAACTTGACGAAAAGGACTTTGATTGGCTCAGAAGATTGCCGAAAAGGGGCGTGTTTTATCATTTCAAGAAACATGAAAACAAACGTAAAAGCTTTGACGAGATCCAGATTCATGTTCGATTCCGAAACAGCTAGATTCAGGCTCATCTTCAAAACATTCTCGGCTGTCTCGAAAATTGAGTAATTTGTTCTCATTGCATTTATTCGATTATTCCTCATCAAGTCGATCGATCCTCTCCCTTAGTTTCCCGATCTCCCTAGGCGTAGTTTTGCAACAACCTCCCACAATAATATCCTTCCACAACCCCCTGTCTCTTGCCCTTCTGACAATCTCAAAAACCGCCTCATCCCACTGCAAATCTTCTTTTCCGGGTGGCTCTCTAATTTCCCATACTTTGGTAGAGGTATTGTAGACTTCTCCCTTAATCGTTCCATCGGGATACACTACCAAAGATGGCCATTCACTGACATCCCCTTTCTCGATTAAAGCCTTGACTTCTTGCTCAAATTCCAGTATCAGAGATTCAACTTTTCCGACTTTGGTACAATTCAGACCGATTCCAAACGGTACTGGAGAACCGTCTTTGTTGCCCAACATTGCTTGTACAATTTGTTGTACAGAGCTTCCACCGGGTAAGCAATTTCCTTCGCCAGGAAATACACACGTGATCCAAAATGGCTTGCTTCCAGCTGTTCCACTGTTCGAATTTTCAACCTCTCCCATGGATTTTCTAACACCCTCAATTTCCTCCAATAATGGGATTGTTTCAAATGCCACATAGTCAACTCTATCCCAGCATTTTGGATCTCTCGAGAAAACCGAAATTCTCTCATGGTGCCATGAGCTCAATTGCTCGCTTGATTTATGGTCATCATCATATTTTCCCGTATATTCTTGTCCCGGAGTCATGATCGCACCGTATGCTCCAAGGCTTAGTGCAATTTTGCCATTTGAATCTTTTTGGGTGGAGAATGCATCGGAAGCGATATCTACAGCGCTTCTCATGATGCTATTTACCTCCTCCTTGTCCCCATCTTCTTTTCCCGAGTTAGAAGATGAGTGTGAATGAACAGCATATCCTGATCCTCCGAATCCCTCATAACTCGTTTGATAAGTTGCAGTTAACAAAATATCAGCACCAGCATCCACAAAGGACTTTTGAGTAGCGAGGAGTGTTTTGGGTCCATGGGGATGAGTTGGAATGAGTAGCTGAGAAGACCAGAGAGGTTCTTTTTCTGTGAATTGTACTTGGTGGGAATCACCGAGGGTAGTGCCAAGACCTCCGTCAAGGAGGTGGATTTTACAACCGGGGGACATTTTGAGAAGCTATAAAATCTGGCGAACACAGGACAGAGGATCGACAGAACCAATGACAGTTGGAGAGTTGGACTACAATGTATGTGCGATACAGTAGAGAGTAAATTGAGGATGCAAAGTATGCGAAGTGGGGTATTCAAAGGGTTTTCTCTCGGCCCGCTCTCGCTGAAAAGATGGCGTTATCAATGGATAGCCTTACGCGGCAGATTAAAAGTTTACCTAAGAGGACGCGATGAGTAGTTTGAGGTTTTGGACTTGCTCTTGCTTTGAAACAACAACATCTACATGACGATTTTGTATGAACGACTTCATTCATGCTTATATAACCCATAAAAAATCCCTACCTACTCCCTGGAGAAAATGAAATTTATATATGATAGTAAAAATTTGGAAAGATTGATCAAAGCCTCTTCTTTTTGCAGCTGAGATAAGAAGTCAAGTGTGTGCATATTACTTGGAGCACACTGGAAGTATATTGTCTCATTTCATAAAAGAAAATGTAGAGCTTGATGTTCCAGCTGTTCTACACATATAATCAACTGCTCTCGCTCAAAATTTGGTTGCATGCACGCGAGTATCAATGCCAAGATTTTCACGTGTCAGCCACATTTCCTTACGCCACACCTATGACGCAGAAGCCACCTGGGCAGTGCAGTCAAGTGAATCCAGGTATCACTTATCATTTCTTGAATCTCGAGGTGTCCTTTCCACCTCTCATATTCATATTTGCGGTCGAATCTGCATCCCTAGAGCTCTTTTCTACATATTATCATATCTTATTGAAAACTCTAATACTACACGAAATCCTAGAATATTCTCAAGTACCACATCCTATTGGCATTTTCGAACCTGGAAGAATGACATTACCTTCAGATTATTGTGAGTCCTCCAACCTTTAGATTATTCCACTCGCCCACTGAGATAGTCAACATGCTAATAGTTTTCATTTGCTAGATGCCGTTCTTGGCGTACCATCCACTGCAACCCAGCAACAGATCCGCAATGCCTACAAAAAGTATGAACTTCTTCTCTACCCTTCTTTCCTGAACACCAACTAACCTTCGTCACTCAACAGAGCAGCTTTAAAAACCCACCCCGATCGGGTCGCCTCTGACTCCCCCGAACGTGCGGAAAGAACCCGTAAATTTCAACAAATCAACGACGCATACTATACCCTTTCTGAACCCACTCGTCGTCGCGATTACGACGCTGCCCGTACATATCATGGGTTTGGCTCTGGGGCCTCCACAGCCTCTACATCTATGGATGACGATGAAGAAATTCCCGATCCATCTGCTGGACCCGGTGGATTCCCATGGTCTAGTTTTGGCTTCTCGTCAAAGGCGAAGAATCCAGAGGAGGAAGAGAAGTTTCAAGACGCACAATTTGGAGATGTATTTGAGGAGATGTTGAGAGAAGAGGGAATGGCAGAGAATAATAATTCACCTACCGGGAAGTTCTGGAGTATGGTGGGTGGATTGAGTGGAGGAGCTATGGGATTTATTGTTGCGAATTTCCCGGGAATGTTGGCTGGAGCTGTGGCAGGGAATAGGTTGGGTGCTGTGAGAGACGCTAGGGGGAAAAGCGTTTATTCTGTTTTCCAGGTAAGTTGAGGTTGAGTGTTGAACTTGGTAGAGGATGAAAGGAAACTGCTAATATGTGTGCTGCATAGGAACTTCCTCAAGGTGATAAAGCAAGATTATTAAGTCAGCTCGCCGCAAAGGTTTTCAGTCATGCTGTGGGTTCATAAATTACGATTTGATACGAATTTGAAGAATTATCTTTTGCGTTAAACTTATTGATAATGGAGCTGGCGTTAGAGGACTACAGGGTTAGGTTATTGAGGGTATTGGTTACAGTTGATACAATACAGCAAGCGAATAAGAGATTTTTACGATGGTCGGGTAGCGTGGATAGGTCAAATCATGTATGCAGATTTCCAATACAGCAGCATAAGGAGCTAAACTTCTGTATCCGTGAGGTAAATCAGGTGATGTGTGAAGGGGCTGCATTACTAACAAAGAAGAAGTTAGACAGATAAAACAAATAGATCGTCGGGAGTAATCTTTGAAGATGCATTTATTCGTGCTCGCCTTCAATTACTAGGCAATGGAAGCTTGATACTGGGCATCGCTTGTGGATCTCATTAAGCTCACCAAAAGCATATGGCTTGAGTCTATGCAGAGAAAACAGAGTAAATCCTACTATGTAGCCGAACTCACTTATTGATTCCCCTCATCTAATCACATCATGAAATTCCATCTATATTCCAAATCTTTTGTATTCAAAACCAGTCACACACTATCACTCTAATCGTGGTATCTATATCCGCAAAAAATGCAGGCTTTTGGAAAAGAAAGAAAGCGAGAAGAGAAAAGATCAAAAGGAAAAGAGTCGACCCAAATATCCAACGCCATATCCAGCCCGATCAAAATATCCTCATCACATCATGTCAACTCATCTCTCATCCAATTTGCAATCATTCCAGACTCCACATCAGATAAACAATTTCGCCAACTTCATCGCTCCTCCTACTCCTTCCATGCCACCCGCCAGCATGCCCAATTTCCCCATTGCGCCTCCAGTGCTCTTCACGCTACTCCTCTCATACTCGTAAGTTCCATTACCGCCATTTCCTCCGAAGAATCCGTTTCCCCCACTTCCTCTTCCCTTTCCACCGCCAATTAACTTGTCTAGTCCTCCAGGTAGCCTAACCCCGAATTTCTTCAATAGTCCGGCTAGCGCTCCACCTGTTATGAGAGGCATGATCACGAGCATGAATACTTTTAGCGGGTGGCGCTTCATGTAATAGATGAGATCGCGCAGGAGTTCGCGCAATTTGGCATAAATGCGTTTTAAATAGTTGGGACGAGGAGAACGCTTGTAGTGGGATGTGGAGCGCGAGATGCCTAGAAGGAGGAATTTATTAATTTATTATTCGATTGCCCGATGAGAATATGGATATTAGATAGATTGAATTACGAAAACAATAATAGATCTGTAGAAATAAATAGAAATACATACCAAAGAAACTACTCCGACTAGAATTATGTTTCGCATCTCCGCTGCCAAAAATGCTGTCGGTGCCTCGCGTACGACTTCTGGAACGCTCTCGATGGCTATGGCTTGATTTGGGAGATTTAGGAGATTTGGGGGATTTGGGAGATGTGCCTCCTAGAACGCTTCCAAGAATTCCAGAGGAATTGTTGTGATGGGTAGAATGAGAGGAAGAAGGGCGTTTTTTGCTGGAATGCGAATGTGAAGAGTGACGTTTTGAGGAGTGGGAGCGACCTGATTCAGAGGCGCCATCAAACCAACCCATTTTTGCGGGATTTTGGAGTTGTTACTTTGATGTGAAGAGAAGAAGAGGAATTGAAGAACTGATGATATAATTGAGAGTTGCGAAAAAGAATCAGAAGCAATTGAGAGTGAAATTAAAGTAAGTGAATAATGTAACCTCAAACCCTACGGATAAGCAAGGTAACCGATACTCGTCTCGTATCACCAGGTTATGAGGGGTTCAGAGCTTCAATTCTTGTTCGCCCGCCGCTATGTCCAAATTACGTCCCGTTCTTAAATTTTCCCGCAATCAATTCAATCGATAATAATCGATAAGAAGAAAGAAACTCGTGGAGGAGTGGAGTTATGAACGAACCACCAGTTTCTGCAAAAAATGCAAGACAAAAAAAGAAGTGGAGGAAGAAAAGGTGGTTCTTGACTCTGTCTTCTCGTCTGGACTCTGGAAAAAGAAAAGTAAGCTTGCACGGTTTGCAGAAGCATCTTCTCACAGCTGACAGGTGGACCAAATGCGAACTCCTCTAGGATCAGTGCCATCCCAACCTCCTGAATTCTGGCGGTGAAGAGAAGGCTAATGCATGGGTTTTGCGTGGCTACAGGGATGCATCAGTACACGTGACAATATCGAGAAGAACGGTTGGGGTGCTATTTGTGGGAAGCAAATCCGTTAAGCATATGTGGGCATATCGTGGCCGTAGTTTGTTGAGTTTTGAGTTTGAATGAGATATGGGGAAGTAGGGGAGGGGAAAGGGGGGCCGAAGGGTTTTTAGATTTGTGGTTTGCGAGGTATTTAGTTTTAAAAAAGCATTTGTTGCGTGAGTAGCGTTATCATAGTCTTGGCCGCGATGGAACAAAGTTGTGAATAAAAATGCATATTCTCATGTGGTGAGAATACCATGAATTTGACAAGACTTTGGATTTTATCCGATTAGTTGGTTACCATTGTTAAACGAAATCGTTCGGAACCCTTCTACCTAGGTAGGTACCTAGGTAGTCAAGCGGGGGTCTCATTTTATATCTGTTAAAGCTGCGTTCTAACCTTGAAGCTACTTTGATCATGGAATCGTAGCATAGGTACTTCGTCAGTTTTCGATATCGAGGAAGACAAAATGTAATTTTCACACCACCATTCGGAAGAGACTAACCATACCAAAAATCAGCCTCGCCTAGACATCGACTGTCATATCATTGAGGATTCTTACTACAATCATTTTTATCTTAGCATTCAATCGCAATTTTCCATATCAGCTCTACCTGCTCGGGCTACTAGGCACTCTGAGTTACATTTTCTCCTTTTATATAAAGGGGTGCGTGGACTGACGGGACGATTCCCAATTGCCAAAATCTGTAACATATTCAATCTCCGATTGATCAGTATCGGAACCTACCATTTCATTGTTTGATCTGTAATGAATCATTGAACCATGTTTTAAGGCCCTTCGATCAAGATTTGAAAAGATATTGCAAAGTTCGTTTTGGCAGTGTCCCGCCAATCTGCTCTTTCGGATGCTCTACAGGGTTTGCTATAATGGTATGAGATGGAGATGTAGACGCCCCACGAGCCAGAAGCAGCTGAATCATATCACTGTCTTCGTTTAAGCCTGCTGTCGATATTGCATCAATACCGGTAGGATTTTCAATATTCTCTAGAAGTCGATCCAGTAATAGTTCGGCGACCCTATGACGATAATATTGACATGCCACTGCTAAAGCATTCCATTTTTCATTGATTTTGAAGATTTCTGCCCCAGAATTAAGCAGTTTCTCGACTATTTCGAGTCTGTCACACTTCGATGCACTATACAGAGCCGTACCATAACAATTTAAATGGTTGGGTTAGCTCCGGCATACCAATGCTTCCTGTATACGCTGCCATCTGTAATTGATTTTTCGACTGAGGTGTGAATGTCGTCTTTTTTTCATCAAATCCAACTCTTTAGTTAGTGTCTCCTACCTCGACCTCTAATTCAATATTTACTCCATGCTCAATTAAGACTTTTGCAATGTTCTCAAAACCACTGCCACAGACCATATGGAGGGCAGTAACTCGCTGATCTAAGTAGCCACGATCGGCATCGAAAATTGAAGGAGGCATGCATCATTTGACTTCAACGTCCATAGAAACCCACTGTCTTATTTCTGAGTTGAGACATGTTGAGACATATTGACCTGAAGTCGCAAGATCTTTTTCTTTCTTATTCCTTCCAAGAAAAAGTTTGAATCAAATATATGGAACACCTTCGTTGAGATGAAAGGTTTTGATCAAGAGCAAGCTGCAGAAAGTCAACCCCTGTTGCGCCGTCTGTTGTGCCACTTGAAGACTTGCCTGTAAATTTTTACAGAGTTATGGTCCCCAAAAAGATATTGATCCACTTGTCGAACTATCTTCCAAGCCTTCTTTTCTCGCCTTCAAAATATGGTCCTCTCTAGTAAAATATGCTAAGAATGATTTTCACCAACCACCACACAAACAATCATACCGACGACTATTTTCATGTCATCGTCTCAAACCGCCTGCACTCGCAAGAACCTTGCGCTTTAGCAACACGGCAGGACTCTCATGCTTGGGATTTTCGGCTTCAAGCATTGTGATGAAAGGGTGACGAGTGGAAGATGGGTGAGAGAGCGGGTGGTGAGTAAAGGAAATTTTCTATTTCAAAGCTTCCACGGTTTGCCATTAGGGGACTGCTAGTGAAATTGAAACTTGGTCTCAAATAATCAAAATACATTGATTCAATCTCCAATATGATTCCAACACTTGCAGGTTTATACCTGTTCATAATTTCATCTTTTGTAGGTAGTCCTACATACCTACCTATATGAAGATCACGCCTGAAGGATATTGTGGTTGACTTAAACTGGTCTGACCAATCAAACCTTAGTAGAAAAACGTTAGCGTGTGCCGCTGCCGAGCCGCTTTTAAAGAGAAAAAAAATTGAAGCTGGTAACAAGCGACAAAAAGCACGAGTGCCTTTTCAAAGCCCTCCGTAGCCTCGTCTTCTGCCTACCTGCACATGTAATTCGAGCGACTGACTCCTCCAAAGAAATTCACCCAAACATGGCGCAAGCAACAAAAGATAGCTTTCTCGACTTGGAGAAGTATCGCCTACAACTTGAGGATAATATCGCAAAACTTCGAAAATCGCTACAGCACTGGCAGACGTGGGATGCTGAATATGATGGCTTGAAAGAGGAAATTCTTTCAGCAGATCCTACCCCAAATCGTGAGGAACTCATCTCTATCGCACGAAATTACGAAGCCGATCTGGTCAAAGGAAAAGAAATCGAAGATATACTTGGTACCAGTACCCAAAGAAGCGCTGAACAAGTTGTGAATCTGTTAGATCGACGATTAGATTATGTTCAGCAAAATATCAAAACAATCGAGAAACAAATTGAGACCGCAGAGGAGAAATTGGCGAAGGCAACTATCATCAGTACTCCAGACGTAAGAAATGAGGAAGGGCTTCCTGTAACAGAAATCATCGAAGAGTTGGATGATGAAGGAAATGTCATTTCTTCAAGACTATCAACACCAGGAAGTGTAAAGCCACAATTATTAGAGGTACTACACAAAGCTGGAATAATAGAGCCGGTATCCAAGGATGAATCGGGTGTCGTGGAAGAGGTGGTAGATGATGGACCAGCCAGCAAAGCTTCAGTACAAGTCGACACTACCCCCCGGGCGACCGAAACGAAGAGCGTTAAGGAATCCAATCCACCTACTACATCTTCAAAGCCTGGACCGAAGAGTGTGAAGTTTGCAGACGATTCAAAAACAGAGTCTGCGGAATCAAATTCAACGATCTCTCCAGCCGCAAAGCGCCTTGAAGAGATTATGCAATCTGCAAGAGAATCGGAAAAGCTTTCATTTGAGCCTGCCGTCATACCTACCGACGAATCTCCGGAGGATGCTGCTTTACGACGAGATATGTTACAATATGGAATGTCAGAAGTTGGATCTGTAGTGGCGGAAATAAATCTAGAAGATGGGAGTGATTGGGAATCTGAAGACTATGCAGACGATTCTGATAGCGATGATGAGGATCGATTTGGGAAATCAACACGTCAAGTTATGGATGATGAACTCCGTCAACATATGATTGAACTTGAAGAAAAGCTTGGTGTTAGGATGATGGAGAATGTTGGAAAGAGTTCGGATGATTATGGCATGGTCCAAGAAGGAATTGGACGGATATCTATTAGTGGCGAAGATACCAAGGATTCTGGCAAGGGAATCCTCACGACCTCCAGCAAGGGAAAATTGAAGGATTCCAATGCAGGCAATTCCGATGACTCTTCAAAGAAAAGCGTCAGATTTGCAGAGGAACTAGATGTTTCACCAGCCCCTGATAAACCAGTCATCTCCTCCTCCAAGGCCGAGATGAAAACTGCCCCTGTGGGAGACATCATTGAGAGAAAAGCTCCAGGGCCATCTTCTTTTGCTCCACCTGTTCAAAAGAAGGCTTCACGCTTCAAGACATCTCGAGCTCCGTTAAGCAATAGCACTAATGGCATTTCGCCTACCACTTCGGTCACCTCAAATCCTTCCCATCTCAAATTATTCCCTGCCACCCCAGCTACCCCTAAGCCCTTCTCTCAACCAATTCAATTTGCACCAGCCATCGAAAAGCCTCGAGAAGTTCCTACAGGTCCCGCAAACCGTACACTCGCACCCAACGTTATCGAAAGAGATGTACCACATGACACCAACGCAGCCCCACCAGATGAATTTGATCCGCAATTGTTACACCAAGAAGTTGCGACTGAATATCATCGAATGAGAAACAAGATAATCGGTAAACAAGGTGGCTTTGGTCCGGAGGAAGAAGGTGAGATTGTACCATTTACGGAAGAAGAGGGTGGTCCAAAGAAAGTTAGTAGGTTCAAGGCAGCGAGACTAGCGAAATCTTGATATTGGTAGGTGTTTTGTAGACTCGAGAATTCAAATCACGACAAAATTTCGGTGGCTAGTCAATGCACGTTTCTCTATTACTGTCAAATCTTGCTATATATTTTCTTCAATCAGCCTCTTTAGCGATCTCATTTCAGCCTGCTGCAATGAATGTTCAGCCAGTTACATGAAGGTCCCAAGGTCTCGCACATTGCGGAGATTACTAAAAAGCACTTGAAGCATACAGATCAATTGCGCTCTCATCAGTAAGTCAAAGATTTCATCTCATAATTAGTCGCTGGTATACGCCCATATCACATACTTCTCTCTGCACGACGAGGCTAGCATTACAAACATTGTCGCGACTAGTGCGCACCGTGAATTTCTTTCACGTATTCTTCTTCTTCTTTCCCCCGCCTTTGGGGCAATGATTGGAACGTACAAACATGACAATTGATGTACTTTGCAGCTTCAATCTGCTAGTACATTACAAACGTTCCTATATTAACTTTCTTGTGCAAGCAAGCAAGACTGGGCTCTCTGACGTCGCGATCTCTATTCCGTGGTTGCGGGGATTCGTTTCACCCTGGACATTCTTTTTGAATTCTTATGTTTCTCTGGTGGTATGGTTTTGCACTGTATTTTCAAAAATAATCCGCAGAAAGGATCTGAGTATTCAATTTTCATGATTTGTATGACTGGATATTCTTTGTGAGATCTCGCTTTACTTCAGATACTTTTCTTCTTTAAATGTCTCTTTTGCACGGACACTGTTTGTTGGCGTCTCTACGCAGGGATTGTTACATCTCCTGAGTTCAAGGGAGATTAATGACCGCGATTGATAGTGACTCAAAAAGGCAACATCTGGACGTTCCAGTCGCCATTTTCACCCAATATCGCTCTGATAACGTCTATAGACCACCCGTAAAGATAGAGGCCTGCGCTGCCAGCATTCGAATATCTTGCAAACATAACCATCTCATTTCGGTAAAAAAGCAGGTCGGAATCTACATTCGTATTGTATCCCAGTTCTTCTCAAGAAGATAACAAGCCCAGAGATAGAGTGGCACCAGTTCCCCAGATGAGCCACTTGAAACACGTCATGCAACTTTCGGGATCTTCGAGCTTGACCGAGTACAACATCATGATGAGCACCAATGTCGTGCCACCAATCGCCAATATATCGAAGCCCATAGTCAACCTGCCAAGGATGCTAGTAGCTAAGAGTAAAGCAATCTCAATTACCGCCAAAACTGCGCAGTTTCTTTTGGTGTTGTCTCTCCATGCCACCGCTAAACTTCTGACTCCTGCTTTCAAGTCGTCTTTTAGGTCTTGGTGCCCATATACGGTGTCATAAATCAACGTGTTAAGTACGACAAAGAAGTACAGGCAAGCAAGAGCGCAAAGGATGCGTGCCTCACTACTTTCTAGTGCATCTAATCTTCCGCACATCTCCACAAAGTCGATACCACCTGCTCCGGCGCCTACGCCAACTCCGAAAGCAAATGAGACACCAAGCCACAACTGTGGATAATCGGTGAATCGCTTACATAGAGGATACACTATCTGCGTAGCGGAAAGCAAGGCAGCTGGTGCGCGAGCCGAGTGAGGCAGTGGCGCAAGGGTCGTTAACACTCCTAGTACTGTTTGAATGGCCATGAAACCCAGAGCTGCAGGTCCACTGACAGCATTCCGTGCAATGGGTCGCAGTCTGCATCGTGCAACTTGTCGATCATAGGGGGCGTCTAGAAAATCGTTCCATGTGCATGCAGCTCCACGCAGAAATAGACATCCGCTTAAAACGTACAAATGTGGAACAAGGCGCTGCTCGAAGCTGGGGCGTGGAAAAGATAAGTTGGCAGCATGAGATTGTGCAAAGAGTAAGCCAGCAATGTGAGGGAAGTAGAATGCAAAGTAACCTGCTGGTTTCTCTATTCGCATAAGCTGAGCGTATGGCACCCAAGTAGCTGGTAATAGTGAAAGAGGTCCTTTGGTTGGGGGGACATAATCTGGCAGAGAAGGCATAGTATTTGGGTTAGTGTCAAATTTCATACCAATTGCCATGGTTTGATTCCTTTTGCGTGTTTAAAAATCGAATGTATTTGGTGTCAATTTTTCAATACTATGATTTGAATAGAGGTTCGTTCTCATATTTATATACATGCTCTAGTGAGATTCATCGCCAGGATTTACATTTCTCACGTGCCAACCTTCATTTGCTAACCTTAAAGATCGACATTTATAATTTTGTATATCATTTTGGGATTCTGTGGCTTCAATCTGGCACTCCAAAGTTACGATGCTTGTTACCTTAGCGATAGAATCTGCACCTGTAGTTTCTACGATCTTGTCAGAATACGCAACAACGTTGCATTTCGCTGCATCAAACTAGTGAAATTTAAACCGGCTTACCACATGATCAGAACGTCTTAATATAAAAAGTGCTGTAGCTCGGCTCGGTTGACTAATTGAAGAAATTTGGCTTCTATTAGCAACGGCTGCAAAACAGTAACCCCCTGGGGTCTTCAGCTCCAAGCCAATAATTGGTATAATTGGTCGATATCAATCGCCTAATAGACAAGTGTCATTATTCAGGTTAGTTTGCGCACTTGAAAGCGGGCGTCGAGCTCTTCTAAGAATCTTCGACAGCATGTGAACGATACACTCTGCAGGAACCCCACATCTTTACATGAATTCTAAATCTATTTGCAAATTTGCGATTGATTATCATATTGCTCAGCAAAAGAAGCATTGTTGAAGATACACGTACTCGCGAAATTTCATCTCGGGAGTTTTAGAAGTATGTCAGTATTGACTCAAAGTTCCTTCTATCACATATCTGCATTACATCAGGTCGTCTATTAGGTATCTCATAGATCCAGTCCGATAAAAACTGCTTCCGGTCAATTCAAACTGGCCACTATACCTCTCTTTCTCTCAATATCTCCATCTACGAGAGCAGCCCAGGAATCAAAAGAGTCAGCAAGGACTTCCACAGTATCGTTTTCGCATCATCCGCTCGAAGCCCTGAAGATGCCGAAGATGCCAGCTGGATAGAATAGCTAGCGCTGAGCACCGAGCACCAATCAACTTCCGAGTTTCGATTCAGCTCAGGAAAAAATTCACATGGGTAAAGTGTCGTATCTCCTCTTTGGATAGGTACTCGCTGTAATTTCAATCATCTTCTATCGCTCTAAAGCTTTGGGTTTGTAGCATCATAGAAATACTTGGATCCGAAAACCCTCTTGTATTTTGTTCGTGGGTAAGAGGGTTTATCTCTTGATACCTACTTGTACTTATTTCCTCCTGATAAATTCTTTAGCCAAATCTTCCCTTCCTCGCGAGATAGCAATCGTGTCAATAAAACCCTGCATCGAGTTTTGAATGATCTGGGTTGTACTTCAACAATATGTAGCAATTATAACTCCTGAAAAGCTTGAGATACTGAATTCATTCCATATATCGAATTGATTGCTTGCGAATATCGAGACATTGTATCTAGTCTGTCGATACATAGTATTAATACCCTGAAATCGCATAGGCGGATAGGAATCTATTCAACATAATCTAAGTATCATTTATGTCTTGACCCGAATACCCGAATTCTCAGCTCAGGGAGGTAATTTCAACGAAATTCAATGTTTTGTCACGGCAAATCTCACAAGCGATTACGTACTCACACTCTGCCCACCCGCTTCACAATACCAACTTCAAGTTCGATCAGAAGAATCTGCACATTATTCAATAATTTGATTATTCTAGGCGATCTTTTACGGAAGTGAATAGGAAATGATTTGGAGCGTCTCTCGCCAATCCAAATCGAGTACAATTTTGTACCTACTCGATTTTAAATTCCAATAATCGACATTGGCTACAATTCTCTCAAGAACTCCAAGTATACGGATGAACCTCATTCATTCTTCTATAGGTGATGCGTCGCCTTCAATCATTCCCCATTAATCAATACCCAAGCTCCCTCAACGAATTTCAATTTCAATCCTCGATACACCCCTCGCCTCCACCACTCTCGCCAAATCCCCACTCGCCACAGCCCTCTCCAACCACCGTCTATACCCTATCGATGATCTCGGCCAGCGCGACTGTAAATATTGGTACTGTTGATTTTGTAACGGTTCATCCTCATCATATTCTCTCTCTGGCTTCGACCAAGCTGCCGGCATGTCGACACCCGGACCATAAACATCTTCCATGACCACATCACCATCTTCATCATAATTAACACTTTGATAGCTCCAGCCCGAGCCTCTTCGTGCTGTGATGATTGTTGATATATCGGGAGATATTTTACCATCTAAATCTGGCGACATTGCTCCATCGAAAGATTGTTGTTCGAGAGGTGACCGATGTTGAAGGATTTCTGATGAGAGAAAATCGCTGTTCATTTCACCGTTGGCATAATCGTCCGGGACATTTTCGCGAATGGTACCATCTCTAGACACACTTAACTTTGCGAAGTCTCTATGCTTGCCATCGTCCAAATGCCAGACTTTGGCAATTCCATCAGTACTAAAAGCCCAAACTGTGATACCATTGGTTGAATCAATCGCAAGATCGACTATTCCAGAGCATGTACCAATTCTCTGACCTCTTATCCTAACTGGCCACATATTTCCCGCAAGAATACCAGGCACTGGATGTCGAATAAGATTGAGCCATTCTTGAAGTCCCTCATCAGGCCACCAGTCCAGCCATTGCATATTTTTAGAATTTTTGGGAGTATTTCTTTTATGCGTTACAGAGCTCTCCAAAACATTCTGAGAACTATGAAACACATCTCCGGGAACGGAAAACATCCAGATGCTCTGTTCTGCCCAACTTCCAAACGCTGCCACGACTCTTACTCCCCAGCTCAGATCAGAGCCTCCAGCATAAACCGTTGGACTACCTTTGCCTTCTGGTCCCTGAAACCAAACTTTTCGAAGTAATTTGGTAGGTCCTCCGACGGGGGCATCGCTGCCTAAACAAAGTGCTCCTGTACTTGGATCTGTAAACAAAATATGATATCCATCACTTAGTGGTATGGCGCGATAGTGATCTGAATGATCAACCCTTCGACCAGAATCACTACGGAATCTTCCCACTGGTGTTAGTACCTGCTGAGTATGTTCTATTTCCTCGCTATTGTCCCCGTGGCTTCCGCTCCACCCAATTCTTTGCCAAAATGAAGCACCTCGTGGTCTTCTTCCATATGATCTTTCGTGTACCGCTGTACATTCACTGGGTCTAGCCGCACCTATAAATTAATTAGTGTGTCTTGCGCGAAGTTGGCTATTCAAGTGAAAATTCATGTCCAGTGTTTATGCTTAAGTTGAGGCGCTGTCTCCTTCGGGGTCTACAAGGTGATAATAACTTACTACTAATAAGCCTCAGCTTCTTCGCCGAGTCTATACTTTTTCGTGGAGGCAAAAAGAACAAGAAATCACTTGGAGCAGTAAGTGGAAACCATCTATTCAGATCCTGTCCGGTCAAAGCGTCAACCCAGTGCAATTCAATACCAGCCGAGCACCCAAAAGCCACACATCTTCGTTGAGGACAAATTGCCACAGAGCGTGGAGGATCTTCCTCAGAACAAAGATTTCGATATATTGAACGTGGGCCAGTTTCTACTGGCATTTCTCTCGCATCCGCGTTTGAGACTCTACGAGCTGGTAGCTTGCTTCGCAATCGACTTCCTGCTCCAACAGAGTGGGGGCTATTTCCTTCTCGAGGATATGAATCTCTCACGGCACTAGCTGACCGAAGCCCTTCGTGGTATTCTGATCGTTGTGCGATCCCTGAAGAAGTACCATCACTACGAGTTGTAGCTATTCCGGGGAAAACAAAAGACGTTGTAGATCTTCCAGCCCTTTGTACAGGAGCCGAACTATCCAAGCTAACGCGATCGAGAAATGAGACACCATGGTGAAAATCGTTTGCTGGAGAGAGTGAAAGATCTGACCGACTTGAATGAGGCGAGGAAAGATCCGAAGTCTCGGGATTCGAAGAAACAGGGGGAGCAATATTGCTGAGAGAAATATCACATACAAGACCCATGCGCCCATCAAGCAAAACAGCAATTGCATATCTATGTGAAGAAGTATCCATACTGCATGCTAATACTCTGTGTGGACATATGATACTAGTGACTGGACGCAAAGAACCAGCTTGAACTTCATACCAATTATCCACATCGCGGTGGCTTTTGTTTAGTTCGTATATATAGACTAGACACCCATTCGCAGCCATCAAAAACTTCCCACAACTACTCACCGTGAAAATGGTTCCAGCAGGAGTCGTTTCCTTGTATTGGACCGCGACTTCTGTGAAATCCACAGTCGAAGCTTGCAAAAAAGGTGAATCCTTTGATTCTAGTGGAAAGTGATCCGGGCTTACCGGTACTCCAGATCCCGTCCAATCTGGACCAAGAGCACATTCCCTTGAGATTCTTTTGCTCATGAACCATTCGTATTCGGAGCTACGTCGAAAAGTCGAGCTTTTTCTATCGGAGATTTCCTGTTGACAACTAGTCACCCAACCTCCACGCCGGATCATGTTTTCAAGAAGGGAGCGATCCATACTAGTAAGAAGCCATGCTCGGCATGTATGTCTGGCTGAATTGAAATCAGCCGGTGTGAGGTAATTGTATACTTGTTGAATGATTTCTGTTGGTAATTTCGAGAACGTGAATGATGTTGATTGACGAGCAGATTCTTCTAATCGAACAATACTAGGTAGACGATTAGAATATGATTCAACTGGTAAAGTTGGTTCAGGAGAAACAGGAGAGGATGCGCTGTAAAGTTTTGTAACTGTCCGTGTGAGTGGTTCGATTGGAGATATAGTGGAGCTTATAGAACTTCCTCCAGAAGTCCTAGATCGAAGTCGACTCTTTAATTCTTTCGCCTCAAGGGAGCCATTCAAACTGCTTGGAGACGTATGTCCGCTAAGTACCTCCGAAAAGCTATCCTGCTGAGATATCCCTCTTAATGGCTCTAATACCTGGTCATCCAATATTGCAGCAGGATCATCGGGGTCATCATGAAGAGTATGACTTCGATCGCGCCTACGTATGGGCCGGCCATCCACCTCGATGGTTGTTTTGTTTCTTCCAAGTCGAGATTCAGCCTTTTCAAGAGGATTGCAGTATCTTGGGACTCTTTCTAATTTTCTTCCACGTTCGACTCCTTTTCCTTTATCACGTTTCTCCTGGTTTTGTGGGACAGCATCGAGTTGTGAAAGCTCCCACGGGTTGTACGGAAACTGAGGATCGACAATTGTATCATCAACTGAAGTGATCTACAGGTATATGAGTTAGTGTCCAAGTTCTGTGACCCTCATCGGAAGATCCCAAAGCATACGCATTGATGATATACGGGCATGGTTGCTTTGGAAAGGTCGGCTTACTAAATCTGATAAGCTATGGGACACGGAGGCTTCATTCACTCCTAAAGCCGATGAGCGCCGCCTGCTCGGAGAATCTGAATATATATGAATATTAGATCATTAATTCTCCTCTAATATCAACCAGTCACAATCGAGTCAGTACTACGAACCATTACATTGCTCCATTCTCTCACCATCCAATCCTACATCTTTCGATGTGCTGGCTGCGTCTCCAACGGTCATGATATGTCTTGTCGGGGATTCGTAAAGAGATGTGACAGCAATCGAAGAGTATATTTTTCTAACAACTGGCGGACAAGATGTTGAACTGTGATCTGCGATCGCTCTTGATAAGAGAATCTGGGAAGACGTCGTGTCGACAGCCCCCGGCTGGGCGGCTATGTTATTAATAATAGTTGAGTGATAGGATATAATTGGCATTACTAGGAGGGTGCCTTTATGTTATGCTACTTAGGATCCTCACTGATGAATGTTGAAAAGTAGAAGGTTGATTTTTAGGTGCAGAATTTGGTGTCATCTCTCTGAAAAGACGATGTTGAACATTAAGGATAATTCACGAATGTTATGGCTGAAAATATCAGGAAAAGATAGAATGTCCAGGAGATCAAGCCTGTTGCAATGAGAATTAACTTTGTAGGAAAGAACACTGGGTATATATAATTAAAACAATGTCAAATCATGAAAGGAAGGCCCGACCCACCCCTGAATAACACGACCAGAAACGCCATTCATGCCATCAACTTGAAGACCATAACTAACTAACCACTATCTCATGCTAACAATAAGATACACGCTTCATTTACAATCATATCATACATTTTCATCGCCAACCTCTCTCCAAATGTGGGTATCGCCAAGACTCAGCGAACTTGCGGCAGATTCTTCACGATTTAATTGTGGAGTGCTACCATTCGGCTCGCTATCTGGGTCCTTGTTGATCCAGATCTTTTCTAATCTATGTATGGTCAGTATGGAACAGTAAGTTTGCTCGGGAATAACATACGGTACAACGAGACTTGGGTTTATATATCTCATCCCTTTTTCCCTTGCTTCATCAACTGTGCTGCCTCTCCTCTGAATGTGTCCCGGAGGTCTGTCGATGCCAATATTTTCGCCAGCAATATTTATGTCTGGATCGCTATCTCTTCTAATACTTCTCAAAGCGATGAACTTAATGAATGGCTGGAATGTTCGACGGAAGTAGTAGCTGTACCAGATTGTAAATGGTATGAGAGGAACAACAAGTATGGCTGGAGTGAAGGCTTTCCTCAAAGCAATCACTCCGGCCATAGTCAGTTGGAAGAAGCCTAAGCCAACAAGAAGACGATAAACTATCATAGGCCAAGCACCTCCAGTAGCATGTTGTGGATGGTCCATGGCATATAAAAGCTGATACTTGTATGTGTAATAACCGAGAGCAAAGTACGCCATTCCAAATAATAGAACTAGATATCCTGCTGGCTGTATACTATAGACCATGCATAGAATGTAGATTAGAAGTGCCGAAGGAAGATAAAACCCGTAACTAAAAATAGGTGGCTGTACCAGCTCAGCATAATCTCTAGGAGTCTTGGCACCCATAAGTGTGATAGGGTATAAAGACACACTCCCGAATTCCAGCAGCCTGAAAGGTAGAAGACCAAGAGCTTGTAGCAAAATGAAGTTGGTATAAAACATGGAGAGATCAGAGATTGACTGGGCTAGCGTATATGCAATCTTCGTTGTGTCCTTCAATGTTTCCTGTAAGACTGGCCAGAACTTACTCGCCGCGCCAAAAACCGTGAAAACGAGGAACACATTGAAAAATGTAAAGTAGAAATTTTTGGATATGACGGAAAGCTCCACTTCGCCTTGTGAGATTGATCCTTGCCTATTTGCAAGGTAATCATACAAGAATGGAATTGCCAAATTGAGTAATGAGACAACAAGTGTAGGTAAGCCAGTCTGAACCAAAGCCTTGAGTATATCGTGGCTTTCCAAAACATCCGCAAGACCCGGCCAAACCTGTCGAATCGAGCATAAACTGACAAGACCAGCTAGGGCAGCCACTGGAATAAGCCAAAAGATGGTGAGTATAAGAATGAAGATAGTGATCGCCCAAGAACGAATCATACGGTTTGATCTAGGTAGATAAGTATTTGTCCAAACGATATCTGATGGTGCAGGAGCTGGCCTTGCCATCAGCTGCATTGGCGTTGGGTCCAGGAGAGCTTGCACCGCCATTTGACAAGCGGGAATGGAGTCCATGGTGACAAATGCAAGTGCTGTAGGGTTGTACTCCTTTTTTCTTGCATCATTGATCATATCATCTAGCCTTCGCAGCTGTTCTTCGTAGTGGTCGATTGCATCTACTTTCCTGCTTTGAAAATTAAGAAAGCCGTACCAGATTCGCGTAGTCGGTCTTGGCTGATCGTACGAGGTAATGTGATCGCTTCCTAACAGATTATCACCCTCATGACTTAGCGATCCATCCTCAGCATTCGCATCAGGTGCCGAGTGTTGTGTACGTATTGGTCCTACACTCGGACGTTGTTGTTGACCAAGGTGTACAGTCCATGCCTCTTCAAGCCTCCTTACGACTTGCACTCTCTTGTCCATCATATCATCAAGTTTTTTCCAATTGCGACATAAAGTCACACTCTCCACTTTCCCTATCTGAAGTTTCTCTAAGAATTCTGTGATCTTTCCTTCAGACCTCAAATCCTCCGGTATTCCAGAAAGTTTGATTGTTCGGTCGGTAATTGTGGATTGGCTTCCCAGGTAGTCCTGGCGAACCCTTATTACGCGGTGGGTTTGTCTATTCATGAAAAATATTGCGAGTCCAGTGAAAACGTAGGTGAAGACAAGGTATGACCAGAGATAGTTGGTATCAGGTAGTTTGTCGTCAGAGTCTTTTGGTACTTCTAAAGTCAAAGCCCCGTCCCATCCACCATGCCAACCCTCCAACTTTGAGTAATCTGGAATATCGGGAGGACTCGTTGTATTTCCAAATGGATCGAATACGTAATAGTAGTGTTGATTTATTGGGGCAAGAATGGCAGCTGCCATGATAAACATGACCCCGAATAGTTTCATTGACATCTTGAAAAATGATAGGAACTAATTGAAGTCAGTATTGTTCATTCTCCAGGTGAAGTAGGTCCTCAAGACATACAACATATGCATCCAATCCAGCAGATGCAAGTACTTGTTCTTCTGTGACTCTATACAAAATAGGAATCCAGCCAAAAAAGGTATCCGGAAGCTCTGGCAGATTTGCAGCAGCATCAACATGTCGTTTGCGCGCAGCATATAAACTCTTCCATTTTGGTCGCAAAATCTATAAACATCAGCAAAGTTCTATCAATTAGGCGTACTCTTGTCGTTACTTACACAGAATCCAAGGAAAGCAGACACACCGAGAGTTAGTGAAAGGACCAGTTGAACATATATCGCAGTCTGTTGTCCTTCAACATGTGTAGGGTCGTATGTTGGGCAATCCTTTTCCGGGTCTCTGAGGGCATCCATAGTGGAAGCCATGATAAGTTTTGGCAGACTTTTGGAATTATTGAAAGAATAACATTACCAACAAGGTAAACAATTCATTTAGCTGAAGAACCCAGGCCAAGATCCATCTTTTGTTATGGCGGTGATGGATTGCCAAGCTATGACGATTTACCAGTACAAGCTTATTAGTCGTTATGTAAGCGGGTTAGCCAGGAACGTTAGTACATTCAGCCACTTGGGAACATGGATGACCGGGGGGGGTGAAGTTGAAGCACCGCCACATCACCATCAAACTTGGAACTTCACACTACATCACTTAGAAGCCATCTCTACTGCAAAGTGATTGACATAGGAGGTTGAATTGGATTCAACTTACTCTTTTTTGGTATCAAGAATGATGACATCTGTCCTCCTCGTTTTGTTGATTGAGGTCATGCCAAACAAGATTTGCTACGGATCTATTCTCACTCCTGTGGATAAATCTCCCTGGAGAGATTTGAAAGATCTTCTAGAGCGGAGCGAAACAGTCTCCACGGCAGTAGCATCGCGGAGCTTCATATTCGTATTTTTGTTTCTCGTGTTTCTTCTTCACATATCTCATATAGAAGATGATAATCATTTAAAGGAGCCCCGATATTTTGAATTAATTACGATTTATTCTTTCTATCATCTACTATGCACCGAATGATGCTTGAGATACTCATATTTTACATCTGAGTTGCCATGTCAGACGGCTATGGCAATGAGACAGGAGCGTGATTCAACGAAGCTTCAAGAGGCATTGAGGCTTATCCTATGCTCATATCAGACTTGAGCAATATGGTACTCAATTCATGTGTTGGAGATAATTTCATGCATTGAGGTGATATGATCTCACCGTACCCACCACGTAATGGTTGAATGATCAAATTCTGTGTGAGCGTCGGAAGGTTCTACTCTCACCTAGTGAACAGTTATGCGATATTGTTGAGTATGGATCTTTTGATGTTCACACAGAATCTATTACTTAGTACACATGATAGATACATGGTCGATATTTGAGTCAAAAATTTCCAAAATTGGATTATAACCACGAATTTTGAGTCTTGAATACCTAGTAGTATACTAGGTACCTGATAAGGGCTCCAGACCTCCTATTATGTAGCAGTACCTGATTTGAGCATTCAAGCATTCAAGCTTACCTAAGTCAAAATTTCCACTGCTCCAGTGCTCCTTCCATTTTTGTTCCTTCCCTCATCTATCCTACTCTCCCTAGCGTACTTTTCTCTTCTTGTGCATTTCATCTTTCACCTTCTGCCTACAACTTCGATAAATTCAGATCTATCTCCATACATTTCAACTATTTTCCTTCTTCTCTATACGTCTCCATGCCATCGACTCTTCTCACATCCCTCGGTTCAATTCATCATATATAAAACAGAACTGAAAATAATATTGAAGGGTCATTATGGAGATTGTTCCGGATCAGCCAATTCTTGCGAAGCCGACCGTTGTCTTCGAGGCAAGGCTTCGATCGTTCGTTGAGGATGATTTGGGAAGCAATGATTTGAAAGCTGTATGGAGACGAGACAATTCCAACTTTCTTTCCAAGAACCTGACTGATACTTTATACACTAGACTCACAAGGTTCTTTCTGAGTTTATACAGAAGCCAGAAGTTGAAGACATTATTTGCAGCATTGACGTTGACATATTGCCTCTTCTTGCACGTGGGTCTCTTTGCATCAATTATCTTTCTTTGCTGGAATCAATACTTATCAAGAATCAACAGAACGTAGTCTTGAGTGGGGGGTCAAAGGTATAGCTCTAGACATAGAGTCTTTAGTCCCAGTTGAAACCATCGCCGTTGAAAATCAAGAAAAGCCTACCCACCTCACACTTCGAGATGTATTAAGCCGTTTCTGTGTCTACAGGATGCATGGTACTCCGCCACCGCCACCATTGACACGTTCGTCTGAAGACCCGGATGGCGTTGATTCGGATTTTGAATACGATGAGGATCCAGAGATACCATCGGCTGAAGTTTTTGACATGCCTCATCATGATTTTGATGGATGTTGGGAGGAGTAAGTTGCAAAATAATTTCCATCATATACTTTTTAAACTAACGCTTCACGCAGGCTCATCTTTGATCAAAATCATAAGGAAGATTTGTCTTGGATGATATCGAATATGCGTACGAACAGCTTTCCAGCAGCGTTGAGTTTATTTGGTAGCTAATTGGCTGTCAACAGTGTTGCTTTCTGCAATCGCAGTACCTGCAAAGAAAAAAATGAGTCCAATGGCTCTTTTTCATGGTGCGTCTACGCAATCTCCTAATCCTAATAATCAGAATTAAGTCTAATGTTTATGGTGTTACCGATGTCCATCATTGCTATTACTGCAATGATGGCTAGGTAGTGCCCCACTCAATCTAGGTCCTCCAGGAACAGGAAAGACAACACTATGCCAAGCAATTGCACAACGATTAGCCATTCGGTTGGTCGAACAATTTCCACATACGAAACTTATCCAAGTCAAGACAGCGACGCTTTTATCGAAGTACTATAGTGAAAGCGCTAGTCAAGTCGATGATTTGCTTACCAAGATCAAAATAATGTGCCAAGTCAATCCAAAACGCATCATCATTGTATTGATTGATGAGGTTGAATCTATTGCCGTATCAAGACACTCGGGTGTTATGCATGGAGAAGCTCAGGATTCACTACGAGCTACCAATGCTCTACTCACTGGTTTTGACAGGGTCAGAGCTTGTCCAAATGTTGTTTTCATGTCGACTTCAAACATGATTGATTGTCTCGATGAAGCATTCGTCGATAGATGTGCTATCCAGATTCCATTCCAACCACCTTCTAAGGAATCTCAATACAAAATCTTAAAGGCAAGTGTGTTAGAGCTTGTGAGAAGACAGATTATCATAGCCGATGTGTCTGCACTCATAGATCACACACAATTGATACAATCCTGGCAGGAGGCTACTCTCTACTCCGTCTTCCAGAATGAAACTCCTACAGGAAAGCTGCTCAGCATCATTAATCAGTTGAACTCGTCGGCTGCAAAGGGAAAACTTGGTATATCTGGTCGATTCCTAACACAGATTCCCGAGCAGGCTTTGATGAGATGCGCCAGGCCAAACAAGATTTTGCATCTGGATGTCGCTTTGGATTGCATCAAAAATTTCGTTGAAGAGCTGTTGAGTTCACGGGTCCAGAAACGAAAGCCTTCCGAACTTGAAACACAACCAGATACAAAACACCACTGCTGCTGTCATTCCAAGAAAGATGGATGATCTTACACTGATGAGATGGATTTTAAGGATGTAAGATATCAATTGAGGCTGATTGATACTTGAAACGCGAAGAAAATTTGCATGTCTGTGGAGTATATTTAATTGTGTACTCATGGGGAAAAACTCTAGCCGAAAGCTTTTTCAACAGTCATCATTTAGAATTGCTTTCCTTGCTGTATCATCAAATAGCGGAATTGCAGAATCAAATACTTTGCTGTGTTTCAATGGACTTGAATATTGCATTCCTGGGATGATTATGCTTCCATGTTGACTGACTCATGTGAACAGAAAATGAAAATATAGTATTCGAGTCTGCATGCCTTAGAATTCTGGTTTATTAAAGTTGATACTTCATTTGAGTCTCGAGTCTTGAGTTCTATAATCTGAATGAAATGCGATGCAAATGACGTGAAGAAGATTGAGAGTGACAGAAAGTTGGTGCGTAATTTTGCATAATGTTGAATGAATGGTGGTGTAGTTTTTTCTTTGCAGCAATATCAGTATCGACAGCTTTGAATAATTAATGGAATGTCTTGAAGAGATGTTATACCTACTAGGTATCTATATCAAGCACCGGATACCTAGCCGTATATATATAAGATCTAGCTATGAGATGAATAAATAAATATACAGTCCCAAATTGCAAACCAGACTTTTTCTCTCTTCAGATTTTGGGTTCGAGTTGTGGTACGATGGGATTCGTATGGTATGGTGTTTTGGAAACTGTTTTGGGGGTTCTTGGGTGGGGTGCTGGTATACTACTAGGTATGTACTGTGTTTTTGATTGTGGAGAGGTTGTGGATGGAGATGTGGATGTGGATGAGGTTGTGGATGAGGTTGTCGATGTGGATTTGGATGAGAAGGGATAGGGAGGGTGAGGGAAGGTGAGGGAGGGTGAGAATGTGGAAATGCAGGGGGAGAATAAGGGGATGTGAGTATTGAGTTGGGAAGGGAAGGGAAGGGAAGAATAGAAGATATGATTACGAGGAGATGGGTGACTTGTCTTGTCTTTTCTAGGTAGGTAGGGAGGAAGGGAGGAAGGGAGGGAGGAATTCCCACTCGCGAGGAGAGGGGTGAGGTGTTAAGGTGTTATGGTGTGGTGTAGTGTAATGTAGTATAGTACAGATACTTAGGTATTTTGATAGTATACGAATGGGAATTCAGAAATGATTGATGTAGTGCGAACTGAGATCTAGCTAGCTAGTTATTGGGATATGGTATTTTGGAGAGAGGGATGGGATGGGATGATTGTGTGATTGTGATTGTGATGGGATGGGATGGGATGGATATGTATGCATGGAGAATGGGAATGGTAGATAGGTGTACTAATACGGTAATACCATCCGGCTTTTTTTCTTTTCTTGGATTTTTAACTCCGAAATGCGAGAGGGTGTTGATGATATTTTGTATATGTGTGTGTTTACTTGAGATGAGAAGACTGGGACTTTTGTTGGATGTTTTATTGTAGATTGCTGCTGCTGATGATGATGATGGTTAAAAGACTGATTGTGAATGCTGGGTAGAGAGAGAGTAAGTCACTTCTTGAATTACGGGCCGGGCTCTAAGACATACGAGTGATAGTCATGGAGAGTGAGGAGAAGGGAGAAGTGAATATGGCACGCTTTTCACAATGATAAAGCGAGTGGATAACTAGGTACGGAGACCCAGGAGGAATTGGAAGGGAGACTTATGAGACGCTAGAAACTTGGATTTGGGGATAGATTTTGCGCGATTGCTTCAAAAGCTTTGAGAAATTGTACAAAGACTCATTTTCGATCAAGTATTTAGATTGTAGGTTTTTGTCACAAGTAATCGATGTTTGGATGGATTGTGATTTTTCCCACTTTGAAGAGTTCCACAAGCCCGTGCACCTACTGTTTGTTGGAGTATAGATTTGTGAAAGGATTTGGATAGAACTTGGTTCGGAGATGGAAAATTGCTGTAGGAATGTGTGAATGAAAATGATGGGAGATTGAGTTTCGTAGACATGATGGGCTGTTGGCAGACTGTGTAATACTGAGCTGAACACTAATCCCATTGTTGTCTCTTGAGAACGGAAGAACTCGAGGTATCGATACAGCCTGTTGTCGGCAAAATGAGCAAGTCGATGGTGGTGAGTCGAAAAATGGTGATCGTATCGTCACCATCATTCTAAACACCGAGAAGTCAGACAAAGTTGAACTCTTGCGAACCAACCAGCGAAAGGCGCTGGTGGTTTGACTCAGAAGATTGGTAGATAAGGATTGATGAGCTCATCACTATAACAGTCATCTTCTTCACTACATGCGCAAATCACCGTCCTACATCACTAAATAAGGCTGTCGAATACAATAAGAAGATAGAGTTGTACGACGAGACTTCTCAGATGTAGAACACAAGCTCCAATTTCCTTCCTTTTTTGTCTCATCGGGCCATCCTAGTGGGAGCCAGTGAAACCGGCTGGACTGCGAGACAATTCTTTTTCAGCATCAATGATGTCCATTCGATAAGTGCTGTAATTGACGATTCAGGATGAGTTCTATTGTTGGAAGGTTACTCTCACATCCACATGTCCGAAGAGAAAATATCCCAATCATTTCGAGATCCTGTGGTCCGGACTTGGCCAAGTTGTGTAACCGGCAGGCCTCGACGGGTAAGAAATGCGACATTAAAACCTGGAAAACTTCCGGGAGAATGGTTTCCATTTCATGTGTCTGTATGGTTGGTTTCCGTAGAATCTGAAATTGAGGTATTCGCTATTAGGCAGCAAAACTGGTATTGCCTGCAAATACCGGTATAGATTGATAAGAATAAATGATGTATCGCGTTACATTGCGTTTGCATCACTGCATAGAAGGAATCTATTATTGTTCCTCGTCTTTTTGAAGCCATCTGGAGAAAGTTCTCCTCGCTTGGGTCTTGACTCATCGTGTAACCACAGAAGCTCCAAACCCTGAAACATATCAAGATGAAGATGGTGGTTCGTGATTCGGAGACGGATCAATTCGTAACGAGCATGATTGGCGATGATAACAATTATCAAGACGAGGTTGCAAGCGGCCCGGTTCGTACGGTGCGAATTCTGAGATGTGATAGGATTTTGTGCCCAACGCTCATTAATGGATGAAGATGACCTTATTTTGATCTGGATATCAAAATTTCCCCATATGCCGAACGAGGTAGTAGATATTGTAGATCATGCCATCTACCGGAGTTTTTCACCGCACCAGCCAGGAAACGAATTTAGTCGGGAAAAGTCGGTTCAAAAAGTTGAGCATGTTCATTGTACAGAGAAGGTAGCGGTAGATTGCTAGAGAGGATATGGACGGGTTGATATTGAAGGGATTATTCCATATTGAGCCATGGTTGTAATAACCATTCCAAGTTTTGTGTGTGGTTGAGCGTTTAAAAAGGATTAAGAGGAGCATACGACGCACGCGTTTGTATGGAGATTGGTGAGTGGTCGAGTGAAAGCTGGCGTCGGTTTTATATCTTACTACTTTCTACCTAGTCTTTGGTATTTACCTGAAGAAGAGTAGTATTATACTTTGAACCGTAGTCCTCTTCCAAAAAGCGGAGCGAGCGAGCGAAGTATACTTACTGCACCGAAAGACAGCCCACCAGTAATTAACTTTTCAGGGATTTAATGATCAAGCTGTGGCTGATGAGATCGTTTTTTGACACACCTGGTGCACATTCTATGTGTTCTAGCCCTTTCAAGTCTCGACTAGAGCGCCAAGTTTCCTTTTTGGCGGTGGAGCTCCTCTGCCTTGGAAATAGATATAACATGAATGTTGAAGTCAAGGAAGGAAATGGGTGAAGGAATTAACAAATGATAAATAAATAATAAATAATAAATAACTAAACAAACAAACAAACAAACAAACAAACAAACAAACAAACAAACAAACAAACAAACAAACAAACAAACAAACAAACAAATACATGGATAAATAGAATGAACCATTGGATATCTGAGAATTGCATCTTCTATGTCGCAGTTATTAAGAATGCAAACCTCGAAACAATGCCAACTACCTATCGTACAGATACAACAAAAGTGTGATAGTCCTGGTGCCAATGCTAGTCAGTCACACCTCCGCATGGAGCTTTGTATTGACAGATATCTTTGAGTTTGTGAAGACCAATTCAATACGAGTCCGAAACAGTGGTTGGCTAAGAGGAATTGTTGAGTAGGTAAGAATGGTTAGCTACAGAGGTCCTGAGCACATCACCACCATCCACCGCCATCCACCACCATCACAGGCTTTCTTTTGATCGAGACAGCTGTGGTTTGGATTGGTTGAAATAGAGTTCTCGATGTATACTTGGGAGAGGCACAGAGTAGCGAGGGAGTTTAGTCCCTTGCCGTACATACACATTACACGCTTCATGCCAAAGCTAGCCAGATGGCGCGTTCGTCTTAGTCGTGAGGGGTCTTGACTGTTGGGGAACTATGTTTCCACGTATATGCTAAGGGACTAACCTTATATCCAAGAAGATCGTCCGGACTGAGCTATAATTATCCAAAAATGGCTCAAGTATACCGGTGTCTAGGGAATGTACCTTGGTATTCGTACATCGTACAAAGTATCGCTTCAATGGAATCGGTATTGAACAATGAACAGACAGACCGTGAGCGTGTTCCCCTGAAAGAGGATGTATATACCGGTACTCAACATTTGATAGAGAACAATTGCGGCGGGATGTGGATTCACATTGCATACCTAGGTACTTGCATCTCTAATCCATGTCATGATTGTCATGATTGTCATGTTATATTCGATTTCTCGTGCCTGACGTAAACTCAATGGATAAAATGCTCCGGCTATGAGATAATGATTTTTATGAAGAAACGGAATTCTCTAGAAAGTACCATGTAAGAACTTTTTAGCTTTTGATATATAAGAAAAGAAAAGAGGGACATGAGGAAATCTTTTTTCATATCACATTGAATGAATACCACCAGGACTGAGAGATAGATATATCTACCCGTCTCTGCTTTCCTACTCTGTACCTCTCTCTCTCTCCCTCTCTCTCTTTGCCATAGTATCGACTGGTACCACGAAGAAGTATACTTACTACTACTTCATTTCACACCTTACCTCATCCTGCTAGCATTGCATCTCTCCCGCATTTCCCCCAAACCCAAAATAAATCATTCGACTGGTTGAATCCAATTTCAAACTTTCAACTTGTAAGTTTAAACAAAGCATGCGTGCTTCCTCTGTTCTTTTACTGGTCCGGCAATACCCTTGTGTCCCTTGGAACTTTCCTATCCTTTACGCCTTTTACCACGTATTGGCCTCAAGAAAGATTTTACTAACTTCCTACGTATTACTCGTGGACCAGATCAAACTTCAAATACAGCTCAGCCCCTTCAAACAATCACAATCCCTCTTTTTCTCCATCGACACTCATATCTATCTATTGCATTACTTCTTGCTCTGCTTTACACATCTACCGGTATTCCTGTCTTCACTGATTCGAATTCACACATCTGCCCCACCATCTATCTATCTACCTATCTATCGATTTATTTACTGCCCCTCCTTCGACCTTGCTCTCCTCAAATAAAGAAAGATCTTGTTAAGCTATCAAGCTACACAACACAACCCAGCATACCCTCACGAAGCTCATGATTGCGCGATTACCACTTTACAAAACAAGTTACTTCGAATTTCATTCTCCTTCTTCGTTCTTGAGGATCTCGCCAAAAATTTCATCATGACCGTCTTTGTGGTCTCCCTGTACGTGTTTCCCTCCCAGGATCATTTCGGTGCTAGGCATATGTCTATTGTCTCTTTCGACCATTACAGTTGAAACCCAACACTATTTTGTACTACAATATATGCTTTCAGAGCTCCGCAAGTTTTGCTATTAAACTTGGCAGGCTTCTGGCTATTGGCAGGCTTCTGGCTACAAAGTCACAAAGATTGGAGACATTTGTCTGGTTGCGATTTCATCTCCCAGCTTTTTTTTAATGATAAAAACTAACATGAGTATTTCTAATATAGTTTTCTCCCAAACACAATCAACTTCAAACTTCCTTCCAATAATTCTCGTCCTCCTACCAGATCCAAGCTTCACCCAGATTCCAAACTAGACGCTTCCCGCTCTGGGCGTCCAGGTGCTGCTAGAAGAACTACTACCAGAATCGACACTGGCAAACCGAGTCTTTTTGGTCACCAAAGAGATATTACACCCCCAGCAACACCAATACACGATGTTGATCATGAACAATTCTTCGCTCAAACCGACCCGTTAAACCTAAAAGCCTCCCTCCCCATACAAGAGAACCAACATTCCATAATCGCGCCCAGCGATCCCCATTCACCAGCATGGGGTGCAGGAAAGATGTTCAACCAACCACGCTCCCGAGCCAGTTCCCCTCCTCCCGCAGATATTCTCAAACATAATAAAATGAAGGAGAAGGCAGAGCTTCTTGGAAGCGCTGGAGTTCGTCAACCACAATATAAAAGAAGTGACAGTCATGATAGGGTTTTCGCAAATGCCGAATGGGAAGTTGAGCCAGCGGAGCAAGGTAATGGGGGTTTAAGAAATGCTGTGCAAGCTGCAGTCAGAAGCGGAAACCTTGAGGATAAGATTTGGGTCGGTACCCTAGGAATGCCAACGGATGCTCTCGAACGTCAACAAAAGCAGGACATTGACGATCGTATGGCTACGGAGTACGATTCTTTGACAGTTTTCTGCAAAGATGGCGATTTCGACGGTCATTACACGCACTATTGTAAGCAAATTTTGTGGCCCGTCTTCCACTACCAGATTCCCGACAATCCCAAAAGCAAGGCTTATGAGGATCATTCTTGGGTTTACTATGTCAAAGTAAATCAAGCCTTCGCAGACAAGATCGTCAAGTCATGGAAGAGAGGCGATGTTATCTGGATCCATGATTACCATCTTCTACTGGTACCTTCAATGATCCGTAAAAAGCTTCCAGATGCTAAGATCGGGTTCTTCCTTCACGTTGCATTTCCATCTTCAGAAGTATTTCGATGCTTGGCAGTTCGCAAGGAATTACTTGAGGGTATGTTAGGAGCAAATCTTATCGGGTTCCAGATTCAAGAGTATGCACGCCATTTCTTGCAAACCTGCAGTCGTATCTTGATGGTTGAAGCCACAAATGATGGTATTCAACTCGAGGATCGATTCATCGATGTTATTAATCTCGCAATTGGAATTGATCCCGTTGCTCTGGATATGAACCGCCTGGACCCTAAAGCTACCCATTGGCTGAACACAATGCAAGAGAGATACCGTGGCAAGAAACTTATTGTTGCGCGAGATAAGTTGGATCATGTACGAGGTGTACGACCTAAGCTTTTGGTGAGTTTTATGTCTACTTTGTTCTTCTGAATATACTTGATGATGCAATTTTCTAATGAAGTCCTTCATGAACAACTACTAACTCTTTTCCTCCAGGCTTATGAGCTATTCCTGAATAAATACCCTGAATGGCGAGACAAAGTTGTTCTTATCCAAGTAGCAACCTCTACCACAGAGAATGCTGAACTCGATGCGACTGTTTCAGATATTGTTACTAGAATCAACTCTTCATGGGCAAATCTCGCTTATCAACCAGTCGTTTACCTGAAGCAAGACATCATCTATCCACAATATCTAGCTTTACTCACAGTCGCTGATGCCCTAATGATTGCAAGTCAGCGTGAAGGAATGAATTTAACATGTCATGAATATTTGTTTTGTCAAGATGGCAAGTTTGAAGGCCACAACAAGCATGGATCCCTTATTCTTAGTGAATTTACTGGTAGTTCTTCTATCTTCGGTGGTAATGAACTATCTGTTAATCCTTGGGATTATCGCCAATGCGCCGATGCAATCAAACAAGCTCTTGAAATGGAGGATGAAGAGAAAGAAGAACGATTTACAAAACTTCATGCAGCTGTCATGCACCACACAGGTGAACACTGGTTTAATGAATTCCTTCATCGCCTCGACAAGGTCTATGATGAACAGCATAAGAGGGAGACCACATCTGTTCCTCGTCTCTCGATCAATATACTTGGCCAAAAGTATCAGAAATCGGAGCGTAGGCTCTTCATTATTGATTATGAAGGAACTTTGGCATCATGGGGCTCACCGAGCAGTATCATTTTAACAAGCCCGCAAGTAAGTGATTTTAACATACTCGATCTCAGGTTAATGCTAACAGTACATAGCGCACAATTGATACTCTTAATGATATTTTACAAGACGAAAGAAATACAGTCTATGTAATGTCTAGCAGACAACCAGAGGAGCTTGACCGTTTATTCAAACGAGTTCCACGTCTTGGTCTCATTGCTGAAAATGGATGTTTCCTTAGACAATTTGGAACTTCGGAATGGACCGAGATGGCCGACCCCGAAAAAATGCGCGCCTGGAAAGATTCAGTTGAAGGTATCATGGCTTATTATACCGAGCGAACCCCAGGATCTTGGATTGAGACGAGACATTGTAGTTTGATCTTCCATTACAAGAATGCTGAAGACTTCGAAACTGCAACTCGACAGGCAGGTGATTGTGCAAGCCACATTAATGATGCATGTGTTGAGCAAAGAGTTAGAGCTCTTCCTCTTGAAGGTACGTATTCCTAGCTTTTGATATTTACGAAAAACCTGCTAACGTCTATTATAGGAGCTGTTGCAGTAGAACCAATTGACTGGTCAAAGGGTACAGCTGCCATGAAAATATTCGAAGGCCTTGCAAAAGACATGTCACCAAACGCTGAACACACTTCTCCTGTCGATTTCTTACTAGTGATAGGTGATGGTAGGGATGATGAGGTTATCTTTAGATGGGCGAATGATTTGGGTAGAGCTAAGAATGTTGATAATGTTACAACTGTTAGTCTGGGTAGTAGAAATACTGAAGCTGGGTATACACTTACCCAAGGTGTTACTGGTATGTCTCTACTCATCATAATTGTATGATTGATCGATTGCTAACGTTTCAATAGGTGTCTTGACAGCTTTACAAAAGCTAGCTCAATTGTCTTAGAATGTTTTTATTGATGGGTTGCATTTCTTTACGAGAAGAAATGATTGAAATGGGATAATTATCGGGAACAATACACTGAGACGATGATATAGATGATTTTATGAATGGTTCTAATTTGGCGGCATAGCGAGGGCGTTTATTATTATTTTTCCTTTTCTCTCTCTCTCTTTCTGTAATGTTTTCATTTCTTTTCTTTCCTTTTTGGATTGGATTGAGGGAATAGAATTAAACACATATACATACAGACAGAACATACATACATACATGTTATGAGAAAGTACTCGGAAATTGAGATATACAAATATACGTACATATACGCAGATATATCATATGATATGAAATGACATAATAGCGCATATTCAAAATGGTCTTTTTACCTTTAGCCTCTGATGCTAAATATGCTAGATCCCCAAAAAATACTCTGTTTTTTAGTATTTTTGGGGGGAGGGGGAGGGAGGAGGGGGAGGGATCTTTCGCTCCTTCGTTCAGGATGTATAAGTGAGTACCTATCCGAGCTACATATCTACCTACCTACCTACCTACCTACCTACCTACCTACCTACCTACCTACCTACCTACCTACCTACCTAGATAGATAGATAGATCAGTAGATAGGTATATGTGAAGAGAGCTGATAAAGTAGATTTTGGAGTGGATGGGTGTAGTGGATAGCGAGCGGGTGGGTGAGTTGAGTAAGTAATAAGTATTGAGGTGTGAGATGTGAGATGTGAGATGTAAGATGCGAGAAGAGAGAAGAGAGAAAGCTAGAAGAGAGATGTAAAGATGACAAGAGATGAGCTATACCTAGGTACACACTGAAAGATCCCAAATAAAAGAAGAGGGGGAGTTAATAGAAGAAGGGGATATATTACATAATAGGGTAATGGTATAAATAAACACAGTAAGAACCTTGGAAGATAAAAGAATATACATTAATCTATAATATATTCAGACTTAAGAAAGAAGGAGGAAGATGACAAACAGAGCAGAAAAGAGTATTCATACGATTGAAATCACCACAGCATCCTCACTCACACCAAAACTCAAAATTGATAAAATAATTATGTATTCCATTTCATGTATACGTTCAATGTATGCTTATACCACGGGAAAAGAATGTGGGCATGAGTAAAACAAACGAAAATCCAGGTCCGGATCCAGATCCAATATGTTTGGTGGTGTAGTTGCCAGTCCAGGAGGGGGGAGCTTTCATGTGAGTAGTAAGAGGTATTTTAGTCAAAAAGGGGGTGGGGTGGGGCGGGGAAGGTGAAGAGATGGGTATTGATGCGTACCTTGAGTAGCGAATGCCGTTGATATTGATGTGATTTGAAGTTGAAAGTGGCATATAAACCTGGAGTAAAAAGGTATGGAATGCTGAGTGTTGTAGGGGAGAGGAGAGGGGAAAGGGTGGAGGGGCGGGTCGATCAGAAGGTACGTACCTCACACAAAGAGAACAATAAATCAAGAGAAGAAGAAATACATGAAAGACAAAGATATCATCGTCCTTGACCAACCACTAGCCTTCAAAAACACAATTTGTAGAAGAATGCAAATGCAGATATACTCCATGCATGAATGTCCTAATAACCTTCCAGATACTCCTCCAAAAACAAAAACAAAATCCATGTAATGTCTCGCCGAACAATAATAACTTTCCCCATATTCCATGCCTAATATGCTCATCTCTATAGAAATGCTAACTATAGCTACCTAGAGTAAAACGTATTCTTATTTACAACATCTCCTCGTCTTCGCCTCCATTTGTGTATCCACCAAACTGATAATTCTGAAATGCTCCATACCTGCAATGATCGAGTTAGTAAAACCCACGTGTGCAGAAAAGCTATTCAAAGGTGGGCAAGAATTTGGAAAGGTGGGGTTGTATTCGGAGTGGGGATCGTTTGAGGTGGGGTTAAAGAAAAAGGGGAGAGGGGAAAGATCAAGGTGCCAACACATTAATTTGAGATGAAGGGAATACTCACTGGTTCTCCATCGCTTCAACATTTGGGTATCCATGAACGGCTTCGACATTGTTATAGACTGGGTCTGTAGACTGTTTGTATTGAGGTCCACCAACTGCCGATCCAAAGTGCGAGTAGATATCCTTTGAAGGACCAGTCGATTGTTCGTATTCTCGTGCAGCTAAAATTTCATAGCCAGATGCCATATAAGGTTCAACATGCTCAACATGATTCCAACGGGCATCCCCACCTTGAATTGGTGTCAATGGAGCGTGGCTACTACCATCACTCATAGTGTCATCGTCCATACTTGAATCTTGTGTTCGAGACATTCTTTCTTCCATCATTTGACGTTCATATCTCAACTTGGCCATGGACTCTTCCTGCTCCAGGCTAGTAGAAGGACCAGTCCACAGATCTTGTGCCAACGCATGTCCTCCATTGTATGGTGGGCAGATTCTCCATAACTCAATCAAGCGCATCTGCTGAGTAGCATCTGCAGTTTTGAAAAGTTCGATTTGGGTAGGATATAAAGAAGAAGAATCGACACCATGTCTGGCAAGTATAATATCTACTGTAAGTTGATCTGTTTGAGGTGGTTCGGAAGCAGGTCTGGATGCTTGCTTAGCAACGTGTGCGGAATGGGTATAATGTTGAGAAATTGAGTATGTGTATGTTGGTTCAACTTCCTTTGGCTCTTCTACGGGGGCAGGAGGAGGAGGAGGGTTGTGGAGGGAAAGGTTACGAGCGAAAAGCATCGCGAGCTCTTCTTGTGTAGCCATGACGTATATGTGTGCAAGTAGTTATTCGATACTATGGCAGATACGTTAGTTGAGTGATTTGGAGGAGAGCAGGTAGAAAAAGGAATCGCATACCTTATGTTGTAAACGAGATGAGAATCTGCAAGACCAATCTTGCAAATGAATTTAACTGTTGCGGGATGTTTCTGAGAACGCAGAATGTTCGAATCGGATGTTGATCTGATTTGGAGTAAAGGCTAAAAGTCAGAGGAACATGCAGGTATGTATGCAAGAGAATGGAGCAGCAGACTTTGTGGACAAGTGCAAAATGATTTTGCTTGTTATTATTGACTATGCTATGTATGTACTGAGATAAAGGGGTACTGAAGTAAAGGGGAGAATAGAATGACTCCTGAGAGAAATTGAGGGAAGGGAATCCTGAGATGGATTGATTGATGGAATAGAAGAGGTGGCGGTGATGGCGGGTAGGAGAGCAGGGAGGGAAGAAAGATGGGAGACCTTTTGGTTTTGGTAATGGTAATGATTGATAAATGAGCTTATTTGGAATGGTTCAGCAGAGTAGCGGTACCCAATAAGCCACCGAAGTTGGGATGAATCTGAATGTTTCAAGTGTCTTGTAATCTCGTGTGTGATTGTGATTCTTTTCCAAACATTTATTAATGGCAAGGCAATATAATCTTTGTGAGTTGAAAAGGGATATGAGAGTTTATGAGAGTTTATAAGAGTTTATAGAAAGTTGAAGGAAGGAAGGAAGGAAGGAAGGAAAGAGTCGAAGGAAGAGAGATAGACAGATAGCTACCTATATAGACACAGATCTACCATCGATATTGATATGGATATTGATTGATATTCCCCCTCATCAATGTGCTCCGTACTAATACCAATCAATGTACGATAATTATCGTATCAAAGAGAGATAAGCACGTGCTGGGTAGAGATGTGAATGGTTAACCCCTCTTTGTTAAATCATCAAAGACGATAAAAGACAATCAAAGATGATATTCCAACCATAAAAACCATAAAAACCTTCAAATCCTATTAAAAGTATCATTCAAAGTGTCAAAGGTGGTTAATTTTCTATTTTCGAAACATATTGGGCTGCTAGCGTCACACTGTTCATTGCTTTATCTGCCAATTGTTCCATGACACGAGTATCACCTGGGTTCAATTTGCGGGCTCGACTGGATCAGGATTTTCTTTCATTTCAGATCTCCATGCTTTATTTACAATGCAGCGTGCACATAAAGAAAGAGATGAACAGTTGTTTGTAGATCATTAGGTACCAATAAATTAGATAGAGACTGGGAATGTATGAAGGGTACTTACTTATACTTGGGAAAGTATCTCCTGTATCTCCTGTGTCTCTCATGTCTCTCATGTCTCCCTTTATTTGATTTGAGTAACAAATCTACCAAGTACCTACTACGAAATATCAAAGACGCTCCGCTGGGCCACTGCCGTGGAGGCTTCTTCGCTTCGCTCTAGATTTTCCAATCTACTATGTACATCTTCTGGTTCGAAAGATTCATATTCATTCAATTATCTGATCTGATGACTGCCTGACTACCAGGTATACTGGGCAGGTATTAAGATACATCCATCCGTATGTAGACGAACTGGAGCGAAGCGAAAAAGCCCCCACGGCAGTGGCCCAGCGGAGCGTCACCAGATCTAATCCAATGCTGTATTCGTATATTCTTCGTATATTACTCGTATCTTATTCGTATAAACTTTGAGAACTCTCTATACTTTTCCTTTCATCACACGCAGGTATAAGATGGACGTAAAATGGAAGCATAGCAACTTCAAGGCAAAAAATGATAATGAATGAAATTCAAGTGACCTGCTATGTGCCTGTATGAGACATCTCTTCTCTTCTTCTCTTCTCCTTCTCAGTGACGCCCTCTCCCCCTCAAAGCCCCCCATGTCATTATTGTCATTGAGTAGGTATCTCGGTATCACCTACGAGGCTACGAGTATTGAGTATCACTTTCTGTCAGGGGGGTTCATGACCCTTTGACTTCTTTTAACTTTCTTTATCACCCACCACTTGACCTTATCCGATCATTTTTCCGATCGATATTCTTATCATCATGTGATTCATATCCATATCCAATGAGCCAATCTTCTGCCTCGTCTGGTAGATATGTTGACACCTTATCATTAAGGCTTGAATTTCAAAGATGACGCTAAGAGCCGCCCTCCAACCTAAACGCGTTTCGTGGTGGCCTGGAGCTCTAAATATACAGAATCTAAAGAGCTTCATTAATAAATCTCCCTCAAATTACACCACCCCATCTCAATTATTTGTCTTTAAAGCTCTCGAATATCTTCCATTAAAATCTTGAAATCATGGTAAGCTTCAATTTATCCAAATTGGCGGTTTGGATCAAATAAATGAGCTTCTTAAGCTAACTTCCTGCCCTGTATTAGACTTCGATAGGTACAGGTTATGATCTTTCGAATTCCGTCTTTTCCCCTGATGGACGAAACTTTCAAGTCGAATATGCAGTAAAGGCAGTTGAAAATGGCGGAACTTCTGTTGGAATCAAATGTAAAGATGGTGTTGTGCTTGCAGTTGAGAAGGTCATTACCAGCAAGCTCCTAAAGGCTGGAGCCAACAAACGTATTGCGACAATCGATAGACATATGGGTGCTGTATGTACAATCCTGATACTTGGATGGTCATTTTGAAGTGATAAAATGGCTAATGATCCTTTCATAGGTATCTTCAGGATTAGTACCAGATGGTAGACATTTCGTTTCCCGTGCCCGCGATGAAGCTGCAAGCTGGCGTAACGTTTACAAAACTCCAATTACAACCGCAGATTTGGCTAGTCGAATGGGTGGATATCTTCAAGCATATACTCTCTATTCATCCGTACGACCCTTCGGTATAACTGCAATCGTCGCAGGTTATGATTCCGAACAAGAATTACCAGTTGATGGACAAGTAGGAAGTGGTCCAATCATTGGTTCCGGAGGAAAGGTTGAGGGCAAGAAATATGGAGGACCAGGTCTTTACATGATTGAACCAAGTGGATTATACTGGGGTTACTATGGAGCTGCCACCGGTAAAGGACGTCAAGTCGCAAAAGCCGAATTGGAGAAGTTGGATCTTGCAGCTGGCAATTTGAGTTTATTAGATGGTGTTAAGGAGGCTGCACGAATTATCTATGTTGCGCATGATGACAATAAGGATAAGGAATTTGAGCTTGAGATGACTTGGATTAGCAACCTTGATGGGCCAACAAAGGGAAGACACGAGGAAGTACCCAAGGATATCCTTGAGGAAGCTGAAAGATTAGCGAAGAAGGCTTTGGAGGGTGACGATGATGAGGAAGAAGAGAAACCGGCTGAGACCGCGGCTGAAGGAGATAAGATGGAGGAATAGTCGAAGAAGTATGTGTGAGAACCCCACTGTATCAACACCTGCCTTCACATTTTACATGGCTCAAAAGGTTTTGAGCTTGATCACAGCATATGATACTCTAATGATGCATTTACGCCCTGATCTGAGTTTTGTTAATGATTTTGACTATTGAATTTGGTGAATACTTTGGATTGTGCCATTCTATAACTTAGCTAGGTTGCCTGCGTTACCTGCTTCAAATTAGACATGGCATCATGATGACAATATTTGTTCACAATCACGATTGAGGAAAGGTGGTACATTTTCTATTCTACTGCTTTCATTATATGGCGTTACGTGATCCGTTACAGACAAGTCAGTCTGACACTGGAAAGTTCTGGGTGATTGAGAAGAGTTGACAGTTACCATACCTCCCTACCATTTAGCTCCAGTATACAGTGGTAGGCAAACTTTCCTATTTTTCAGATTGGCAACAAAACCTTTCCAACGTTATCCTATTGGTTGTCGTATGGAAGGCAATTTACACTTTCAATTAGCGTCTTGTCTCTAGTCGACAGTGGTGGAAAAATTCTCCTTGATTTTAAGACATGCAACAAAATTCCGCTGTATTATCTTATTGGTTGCATAGTTCTCACAATCTCACTCAAAGCCAGGAGCTCCTTTTCCATATAATCTTCTAGAAATAACAGTCGCCAAAATACATCTGAGAAATGGAACGAAGTCACAGTGCAGTAATTGACGGGGTAACGCCTCTTGGTACTCTGTGCCCCTGACTTTCCTCCCACTTTGCAATTTTGTGGTGACCAATTGTCAAGTCGCCATTCATTCAGAACTTCATTTGCCATCATTGCAGTCATTTATCCTGGCACTGAATTTCCATGGGATTCAAACGATAATGGCGGCGGCGGTAGGGATCCACATACTCATGGTTGATTCGTATATCCCCTGGAGAAAGAGCTGAATAGCTTGAAAGTTCTCCGCATTTGGCTGATAATTTTATCGATCATTGCCTCTACAGTGAGTCGAATGGCCGTTTTCAAGACCTAGCGATTGATACCTGGTGAAAACTTTATGGTTGATCATCGTGTGGAGATGGGAGAGACTGCTCACGCTTCAGGGGATGATTCTCGTCACAGTATCTGAATTACCTTGATTCAATTATCTGGAATATGTATACCTCACCTACTGAGAAGAAGCACGATGTACCCAAAATGCTCACATAAAGAATCGATCACATTGAAAGAAATTTTCCTTTCCTTTCCTTTTCAAGTTTTCACCCCCGACCGATCTCAAGACCCATTCCATCCATCACCATACCCACGCCTCCGTGGCCACTTCACCCCCGCTCTCCTCATCCTTCCTTCCCTAAGTTCCTAGAGAAATAAATACTCTTCCATGCACGTGGATGCGTAATCGCGAAAGAGATAGTCGGAGCATCTCAACCCTTGAGGATTTATCACCTAATACATTCACTACATGGTCCTATATGATATACAACCCCCCCCCCCCAGTTTAGTAAACAAGTGACTAACTCGTTGGGCAGAAATCTAAATCTATCTCCGTGTAATACCGAGCTAGCCACCACTCGTGAATGAGTACCTAGTAGTATCTATCGCCTTTCGTTAGCATGGCTTTTTCTTCCAGGATGACTTCATCTTTATGGGGTTCTCCTCTTCCTTTTCCCCTGGGGATTTCTTGTTACTGGGGTTGTATCTTCTTTTGATGTATATATAGATTTAAAGAGACGAGAGACGAGAGACTGAAGCTCAAGATTCTAGCTCTAGCTCTAGCTCTAGCTTTTTCCTCTAATCCATACACGGGTATACGGGTTTCGGGACTGATATACATCGCTTCGATTCTCGAGTCTCGATTGTATCCGTCACTTCCTGAGCTTCTAAGCAAGAGCAAGAGCAAAAGCAAGAAGTTGCAGTTGCAGTTGCAGTAAATAAACTATGGGTTTCTGGTCGCGAAAATCATCTCCTCCTCTCCCGTCACCCCCCCACCGGGAGAATGTTAAATCGAAACATAAACCTGCTTCGAAGAAAGTGGCTTCTCCTCCTCCTCCTCCTTCTAAACCCAAATCAAAACCAAAACCGAAATCCAAACCCAAACCCCGTCCTGGAAGAATAATCGTACATTTTGTTCGTCACGCTGAAGTATGTATCCCCCTCCCCCATTCAATCCTCTCCATCCAATCCTCTGCTAACCCGCACCCCTCAGGGCTACAACAACCTACGCACGCGCGGCGCAGGAGAACTCACCGATCCCCCGCTGACCCCCCACGGCAAATCCCAATGTGCAACCCTGCGCAGACAATTTTCGCACCTCCGTCCCCAACACATTCTCTGCTCTCCTCTGCGACGCACACTGCAAACCGCACTCCGATCTCTCTCCCCCCGCACCAAGATCCCTATCACGCTCGATCCGGAGCTGCGCGAATACGGGTCCGTGCCGAATTGTACGGGGACGCCGGTGGCGGAGCTGAGGAGGAGGCATGAGGGGGTGGGGATGGGGATGGGGATGAAGGTGGATTTTGAGAGGGTGGGAGAGGGCTGGGAGAGGAATGGAGAGAGGGATGGGGGGTTTGTGGGGGGGAGGTGGAGGAGGAGTAGGGAGCAGAGGGAGAGGAGTCGGAGGGTTTTGGAGAGGTTGTGGGAGCTTGGGAGGGAGGGGTTGGAGAGGGAGAGGAAGAGGGGGGAGGGGAGGGATGTGGAGATTTTGGTTATTTCGCATGGAGAGTTTTTGCATGGGTTGACGGGGATTGTGAGTTTTTTTTTTTTAGTTTTTTGTTGTTGTATATACCTCCCTATTCACTCCCCTTTTTTTCACATTATTCTCTCCCTCCCCCTCCCCACTCCAAACCCAAAACTAACCAACTCCCCCGGGGACCTTCACCAGACTGGCACAACGCCGACATCATCTCCCTTACCATGATCAAAAGTCGTCGCGGCTATGGATTTATCGATCCGCCGATTCGGTTTGCGTATCATGATTTTACTTTGGTATTCTTTATTATTTCTTAATTCTTATTTCTTTTTCGGAAGGTGGGTTGGATTGGTTGGGTTGGGTTGGATTGGTTGGTTTGGTTTGTTTGTTAAGATAGTTAGGGAGGAACTTGGAATTGGAACTTGGAAATTGAAATGGCTATGAACTTGGAATTGGAACTTGGAATTGAAAATTGAGATTTAAGATGTTCGATGTGTAATTTGAGGGTTTGATTAGGTGTAAAATGAAAGATGTAAGATTCCAAATCCCAGATTATCTATCTATTTTATATAAATATCAATATCAATATCAATATCAACATCAACATCAACATCAATATCAATATCAATATCAATATCAATATCAATATTAATACACAATATACAATAAAATTCTCGGGGAATTTACATATACGAGTTATAATTAGATTAGAAATAGATAATATTGATATATTAATATATATATATATATATATATTATCTCTCTTCTCTTCTCTACTCCTCTTACTCTATATACTCTATATACTCTATATACTCTATATACTCTATATACTCTATATACTCTATATACTCTATATACTCTATATACTCTATATACTCTATATACTCTATATACTCTATATACTCTATATACTCTATATACTCTATATACTCTATATACTCTATATATATATAATTTCATTTCTCCCCTTCTCCCCTTCTCCCCTTCTTCCCTTTTTCCCTTCTCCCCTTCTTCATACAAACAACAAAAAACAAAAAAAACAATTTGATTTACTTCATATACCTAATACAATATATCATTTATACTTCTATTGATTGATATCTCTATTCATCAACACCTTATTCATCAACACCTCATTCATCAACACCCCATTCATTTCATTTCCCATAGCTATCTAGATACAGATACAGATAAAGACAGAGAAAGATAGAGAAATATAAATATAAATAAAATAGTAAGTAAGTACATAAGTATACTACTCTATATACTATTATACTTCTCTCCCCTTCTCCCCTTCTCCCCTTCTCCCCTTTCCCTCTTCCCCTTTTCCTCTTCTTCTTTTTTTCTCCCCTTCTCCCCTTCTCCTCTTCCCCCCTTTCCCTCTTCTCCTTTACCCTCTTCTCCTCTCTTCTCCTCTCTTCTCCTCTCTTCTCCTCTCTTCTCCTCTCTTCTCCTCTCTTCTCCTCTCTCCTCTCTTCTCCTCCAATCTCCTTCAATCTCCTCCAATCTACCCACATAATCAATTTCTAACATCGCCTACGCATCCATTCATACATTTTGAACAAGACATGTTGATTCGATATTGATATCAAATATCAAATATCATTCTTATATACAATTCATACGTACATATACTATACTACACTACACATTCACATTCACATTCACATTCAATTCATTACCATGCAATCCAAAATAATCAATGAATCAATCCATTCAATTCTCACTACACCACACCACACCACACTACATCACATCACATCACCTCACCTCACTCTTCAAACTACGAGACTACATACCCCTCACCCTACACACCCAAAGAAAGATGAAGAAAAGAAAGAAGAGAGAAAGCCAAAAAAGGAAAAGCTACCTAATAAAAACGTATAAGAAAGAGACACACACACACAAATGAGCGCTAATCGTCAACCAACCAATTACTCCCCCAACGCCATCCATCCATTCATCCATCCATCCATCTATAATTTCATGTTCCCCCAATTTCATGTTCCCCCAATTTCATATCCCCATCCATCCACCCATCTCCAACGTGTGTAGTCGTCATAACTCATATCATAGCTTCTGCTCTGCTCTGTCTGTTCTGCTCTGCTGTTCCATCCCATCAAATCTCGAGATCCATCCGCCTATCTTCAAGCAACCAAAGTTACACTTGATAGTTATCAACTCCAATCCAAATCAATCCAAATCAGCTCTGTTTTTCCATCATCTTTCTCCATCTCTCAAAATAGTGCATCGATATAATACTACTCAACCATGTATCTGCTACATCTTTGTGTCTCTCCATCCATAATGAAGTCCTCCTAAATGGGAAAGAAAGAAACATGTGAAATCTAACGTCATCCCATGTAATCCTAGACAGTGACTGACTGCACCAGCAAAAAAAATCAGGCTATCAAAAAAAGAAAGCATTTGCTACTTGATAGAACCAACTTAAGATCTTATAGTCTTTGCGAAGTGACATTAAGAGAGAGTAAAAGAAGAAGGGTATCTTTTATGATCGATTGCTCCAAAACCAAATCCATCTCAAATACGAGGTATAGAAAGGAGAGAAGCCGTTGACCTCGCATACAAAAGTGGAAGAAAGTCTATCTCGCTGAAAGATCATCATCATCATCATTATTGAGCGCCGTTATCATCCATTTGTCTTAACATAACCAACATCTGTTGTACCCACAGACAATCATTGACATAGGAAGAAGAAATATTTCGTGGTTTTCTTACATTCGAAAACATGAGTACCGTTGACATCTCAAGATGCTGTTTCTTGTTTATATGCCATATCTGTCATACCACTTGCTCGTTTTTGATCAACGATCTCTCGAGCATAAAAATCCACAAGCATTGTGCCATAAGCCTCTAATACTTCAACGGGAACAGATAATCGGAAGTCGTTTAATAATAGAAATTGAAGCTCCAAATGGTTCAATTCATTCAACGGCAATCCACCAACCTAGACAGACGTTAGCACGAGGAATGAAGTATTTCATGATCAAATTCACCTTGGCGTATCTCGAATTTGTGTAAAAAACATCAGAGAAGAATTTGCTGGCACAAGTGACACCAGCAATAACCAAACGATGAATGTTAAAACTGTCAACTACAAAGAAGTGGGACAGGGGGAACTGAGCCAATCCAGGTTCAGGATCTTGTGAGTGAGAGTATTGAGCATTTTCAAACTCGGATTTGAGCTCCGGAACGCTTCTAGCTCCTGGTGGGGTATCCGCCAAATCAGAACCCTCTGCAGAATAAGTAGACGAAGGTCGAGAACCATCCAGATCCATGGCTTCTTGTCGCATGGCATTTATGGGTTCCGCATTAACTCTCTCCGTCATTCTATCAAAGTAGACTAACAAACTCAAGAACACCTCGTATGTTGTTGGGCAGTATTTGTGTATTCTAGTTAAATAACTCAAGATGGTAATGCTAGGCACATTCTTTCCGTGAAATGCGAGTACGCTCGAGGATAGTCCTGTAAGATTGGCTGTATTTTCGGCAGATGGAATGGATCTTTGTAAAGTTTCGTGTTGACGATCGTTTGTGGTGGTGATTTTGGTTAAAAGTCCAGCTACCATTTCAATAACATCTGTAATAGGCATACCACTGATCTCGTATTTTAATCCAGGCTCATCTGCTGTCCGTGAACCTCCAATTTGACCTCTGGATGAGAGGAATTCTGGGCTGGCGAAACTTTCAATATGTGCCAAATCTCTAACTTTGATCGTGTTACCACCATAATTCTGTACATCATCGAGAGACTTTGCCGATCTTGGTACTGTCCGCTCAGATGTCCCAGATGTCATTCGAGGCCTTAAAGGAGAATCGGTGCTCAAGGTATGCGAATGCTCGGCTCGTGCATGATGCGCTGCAGATGGAGGGAAATTTTGCTGACTTGTAAATTGTTGTTGTCTATGTGAATTCGTGTTTGGACTGGAGCTCGAAGGAGGAGAAATAGGTTCGGACTTGATATGAGGCTCGGGTTTAACTCTTGTGCGGTGGTCTACATCATGAGAGTCGCCATATTTGGCTTGCATATTTGCGCTTGGAGGAGGGGTACCATCAACTACTGATGTGGGGTGGGGGTTCGGACTTGGTGGAGGCTCGACTCTCGACCGGGAAGGTTGTCGATATGGTGAATCCTCTGAAGAACCATGATGCCCTGCAGCGGGTATCATTGTATGGGGGTGGAAGCGTGATGAATCTGACACAAAATCAATCACCGCAGCCATATCAAGTGAATGTGATGGTCGTGAAAACCTGATCAGTCGTTGCGATTAGCTCTTTGATTCTGTCCCAAAACTGCGATGGCTGGAACAATGTGGAGAGACAGGAGAGAATATAATAATGATAGGAATGTCTTCTTTCCAAAGAAGTGAGCGCCAACTGAGTCCTTGCTGTTGATGAAGGGTGGCTAGGATGGCCAGAAGGTTCAGAAAGTCTTATCGTGAAGGTACTTTGCCTATCGATCGGTCTTTAAGTACCTAGTAGGTACCGGATAAAAAGGTAAATGAACAAGCCAACATCAAAACAATCCTTCCTGACTCTTGGAACATCTGCCGACTATCTCCTGATGCAAACTTCCATTTCTCGAAGATTGTTTATGAATTGTGAGATTGCGACCACAAACCCAAAGGTTGACAAACGACGCGCCATTTTCTGGCCATTTTATCAATCTTTCGTGGGGGTAACGAGAGATTCCAATATAACAAAACAAACAGACACACACGCACACACACTGGGCACTGATTGATGACTTGAATGGGCATGCACCGTATTGGCACAAATATACAGATATAAAGAAGATTATTAAAAAAAGACTTACCTGCAGCATTCCTGATCAAAACAATTCAACGATTATGGGAGAAAAGAGGACAATTTCTCTCACGAGAATCGAAAATGTTGATATTTTAATTGTTGTATTAAGAGAAGTTGAGTAAAGAGACAAACAAGTGTAGATAGGTAGAGAGAGAGGAAGAGAGGGAGAGAATAGGTAGTAAATCAGTTGTTAAGTTGATAAGTTGATAAGTTGATAAGTTGGGGGGATTTTTATTATTATTATAATTATGATTGAGGGACGTGAATTATGGAAAAGAGATTTGGACGGAGAAGGTGGTTGATGGAAGAGTACTGACTGGCTCGACTGGGTAGATACTGGGTATGAAGGTATGGACTAATGGACTAATACATATGTACTGACTGGGGCGGCTGGGCTGTCGGGTTGAAAGAAGATGTGGAGAGGGCGCTGGGTGTGGTACAATCGATTCACTACCACTGGCCGAACGCTGGCCGACTGCAGTAAAAGGACCTGGGAATCCGTGGAAATAAGTTACCTATGACGAATACTTGGAGATCGATGAGAACCCTGAATTGGCAAAGGACGAGGTAGAGGACGAGTATTGCCTGAGGTAATCATGAATAAATCATTTAATCAACATGATCGATCAATCGAAGGAGATGGAAAGAGAAGAGAAGAGAGAAGAGGATTACGATATGATAGAGTATGGAATTATATAGTAGATTTAGACTGATAATTACCTAGTACCTGAGTAAGAGATGAATAGGAAATAGAGAGATGGATGTTGGAAAAAGAAGGGAAAGAAAAGGATGAATGATGCATGATGAATGATGAATACTAGATAATAGATGATACCATCACCTAGGAGGTACGAGTTTGTAGTCCAAATTCTATATCCTAATAATGACCTCGAGCACTTGAGTATCTATCTCTCTAGTAGTATCTATATTGATCATCTACACTATAATTATTATCAAAGTAATAGTCCGTCGATTTACCTAGGAGGTAGTAGATACCTATGTAGTTCCAACAGTCTATCTAGATACCTACCTAGTAGATAGTAATCAACAACTCAAATATAATATAAGTAATAAATCACTCCAAGAAAAAACAAGAGCAGGTAGAACTAATAAATAGATCTCCGTAATCGACCAAACACTACTATAATACCTAGTAAATCCATGAATCTATCAATCATATTAAATTCCATTTAAATTCCATTTAAATTCCATATATAAATCTACAGCTTCAATCAATATCTCCCAGGCCCTAGGAAGAGTTCATCCCGACATCCTCAACTTGATACATCCTTCAATACTAGTCTATGTATGAGCATCTTCCAACTCCTTTTCGCTTTCAAAACTCTATTCATCTAGAGCGAATCAACAAATCCTATCGAATGAGTACTTATTAGATACCTATGCAGATGTATACCTATACCTAGTGTACCTATATATATATATACCTACTCTGCATTCGATTCTAGACCGGTATCGCTCTGGAAATCTAAAAGGAGTTGTTGGAGTTAATTAACGCTGGTATTCCCTTCAAATTCATACCAAGAGTACCTAGTAACTACTAACCACAGGCACATCCATCCACAACTCAACACCCCGAGATACCCTTAATTTCACATCATTAGAAGCATAAAGATGATCCTATCGCTTCTTCTTCATTTAAAATTGCCCCGTAGCCTATAACAATCACACATGTTGTAACACGGAAGAGTATCAAATCATACTCCCACTAGAATGGTGATACGATTAAAATTCGGAATGGAAGCCACACATGAGAATCTTCCTATTCTTAATCTCACCGCTTCAATCAAAATGCAAATTTCCCTGGATTGACCGTCATGAAACCTTGCAAATTAATCCATTGCGTAAACTCCATGGTATTATGGTCGGGTTCTATTCGTACATTGATTCATCATCTATTGATGACGGACGGTATAATTCGTGTCTGGCAAGTACAGATGCCTGTTTGCTCCCTTGGCCGTCAAAACCACCATTCTAATGACACCTCCGGAACTCCCATCCCATTTGATAGCCTCCTGCAGTGCGCCCTTAACAAAGTCAACAGCATCAGCCTCTTCCATACCTTCCTTCCAGTTTGCATCACAGTATCCGTAGATGTATGTTGAGCCGGAACCTCCAATGGCATAAGATTGCTTGTGTAACGATCCTCCTAATGGTATCGAGTAGACTTGACCTCCATGTCGCTCATCCCAACCAGCAATAATCAAACCAGCACTAAATCCAAATTAGAACAAGAAACTCGCGGAGCTGAACAACATTCATACCTCAATTGATCCTTGTTATCGTAGCAAAGTTCCTGGAACATAGCGGCGGCCGTTTGTGTGGTTGGTGTTTTGCCATTCAAAACTCCATACATTCCCAACTGGTAATGAACAATATCCGCAACAGCTTGAGTATCAGCCGCAGAACCTGATCGACAACACCAAATTGTATCATGTACTTGGGTGAGCTTGTCTGTAACTCGATTTGCGATATATGAGCCGGTGGTTGTTCTACTGTCCGCACCTGTCCAATATATCCATCAGTAACTCTTATACCCCGCAGATTGTGAGCTAAAGGAACTGACCCAAAATGACACCATCCTTAAAGTTTATGGCCATACTGAAATCAATGTCAACGCTGATCTCGAATCGAACATTATTGTTATCGTGGTCTCTAGGCTTCTTACATGGAGGTTCCTAAGCTATCATATCAATCAGTAAAGCTCAAAATATAAGGCCAGGCTACCTAGGTATCTTACTTGACTTCTCCCTTCTTCAAACGATCCATATCCACATGAATACCATCTTCAAGAAGCTCTCGTTAGCTATAATTCCACTGGTAGCTGAGTTGGATACCCAAATACCTTCATTCAACATTCCTGTGTTTCCAAACTCCATCTTGAAAGTTTTAATATTGGTCTTCTTTAATTTGGAATATGTAGAAAAAACAAATGCGAATCGTTAATCGTTATGTTCGTCGGGGTGGAAGATGAGCTACCGATTTGAAGCTCTCGAACAGGCAGACCTTAGACGCGAGGCAAGGCAAGCAAGCGCGAAGGTGAGATAGATCACGTGGTGATAGTGATTTGAGCTTGGGCGGTTATTCCCGTTTCTTAGGGTTGCTCCCGGTGAGGTTTCTTAGGCCTTGTAAGTTAGGAGGTAGCGTGTACCTAGTCTTCTTATATACATACATAGCAGTGAAAGTTTCGAGTTCAAGAAATAAATGATTACGCTAATAAATGCTATTTACAATTTATACAAATGGATACTGGGCGTAACATTTTGAACACCCCCTGCCTATTCCAATCCAGATAACAATATCCCCAATAGTCCAAAATCTAATCAACGCCCTCTTTCGATAAGTTCCTGACCTCGATTCCTAATCATACATGATCTTGTATCCCCATAGTTGTAAGAGAACTGAGGCAAGCTTTTTCTTGTTCTTGAGAATTAGAATCAGATAAACGTGCTTTGTGCCAGACGAGAAGTTCCTTTCCTGGACTAATACTAAATTCCAAATGCTTTAACCTCCCCGAGTCAAACTACACCCATTTTATTAGCATCACATCATCCTCTCAAGAAGACGCTTAAGCTCAAGGAAAACCTACCCTTCCTTATCCAATTCCAATGGCGTGAAACCCTCTCCCTCCCCCTTCTTAACCTGAGTCTTTGCCTCGCCAGCTTTCCCCGGCTCACCATCCTCGGCACATCCACAGTCGTAGAAGTCTCCAATCTTACTACAATCGAATATCTCTTTCTTCAAACGCTTATTGACTTCGTTATGGACATGGCATGCCCACGCCGCTGCCGTACTCCTCGTTGCCACTTGAGGTGGATATTTCTTCAATAGCCCTTGGAAATGTCGCGCACAGTCGCCACATGGATAGAGGCGCGCAAATAGATGGATGTAGGATTTCAAAGCCGAGCTGTCTTCTTCTGTAGGCTTATCGGGGAATTTGGCCATCATCGTGTGTAGAACTTTCCAGGCTGCGTGGCCGAGTTCCGCTCTAGAGGGTGAGAATGTTAATAAGTACAAAGATCACATCATTCCAACCGTATTTTGCAGATGGGTGACATACTTTAACGTGGCATTTTCCAGCTTAGGGGCAGTGGCTGCTCCATGAAGAAGATTGTCATCGACGAGAATTGGAGTTTTATCCAGAGGGAATTCAGCGTTATAATCGCTCTCTGTGCCATAATCGACAGCTCTCGTTCCATGATTTTGATTGCGAAATGTGAGCACAAAGAATATGCATAGAAAAGCTGCTACAGCTATTCCCGCAAGAGTAAAGTGCGGCTTTCGAGCCATGCTGTATTATGACCGAAGAGGAATTATTATTTGTATTGATGATTGTGATCTGGTTGGCTAACGGTACAGAATAAGGGCCAACTTCTTGAATTGAACTCGGCTCCGAATGTTTCGATGGATACTTCGTAGCGTTGTTCGAGATGTCAGCAACAAAGGAAAAAGAGAAGCATCAATTCAAAGTAATGAATGTTAATGTTAATTTGAGAAAACGGCCTCGTCGAACATTCGACAAATTCATTCCCAAGTACCTACCTACCTACTTAGGTACATAGGTACATAGCGTGATAAATTCCTATTTTAGCAATCGCCGTCCCTCGAATAAATTAATTCCAAGACTCTTATTCGTTCTATTTGATTGTTTCATATTCATTCAAGATCGTATCTTAATTGGCTACAAAGCTGTAACATTTCCTTTTCTCCACCCCCATTTCTTCAGGTACATCTCGGAGCATCATTCCTCCCCTTCCGTCATTTCTGCCCCGCGTTCTCCGAGCTCGGAAACATGAAATATTTTTTGAGCTAGCTGACTGTGTTATATTTACTACATCTCCGTGGAAACACTGAACGACTCAATATTATCAATCTTGAATCCTTCACCATCTTAAATACTTGCTGTGCTACTTCCAAATTTCTGGATATCTTGACTTTCAAAGCAATTCCCATCAGATCTTTTTTTGCAAATCAATATGACTTTCCCTCCTCCCCCTGTTAGCACAATCGACTGGAGTGACATTGGCTTCAAATTCCGTGAAGGTAATATCAATTTCTCTGTCTTGGCCTTCCTATTATTACTCAATTGACTGCTGTCAAAAGTCTCGTCCACATAAAGCTAATTCCTCCTTCAGTCAACGGTCACATCGAATCCCACTACTCAGTTAAAACCGGCCAATGGACCCCTCCAAAATTCATTACCGATCCCTACCTCCGTCTTCATGGCATGTCCCCCGCTCTCAATTATGGCCAACAAGCATACGAAGGCATGAAAGCTTTCCGCACTCCCGGAGACTCCTCCATTACCATTTTCCGTCCTACCAAAAATGCCGCTCGTCTAGCCCACTCTGCAGAATTCATCTCCATTCCTCCTGTTCCTGAGAATGTCTTCATGGACTGTGTACATGCTGCTGTCTCTTTGAATGCAGAATATGTACCACCTCATGAAACAGGCGCTGCCATGTACATCCGACCTTTGATCTTTGGTTCCAGTGCTCAGTTGGGATTGAGTCCCCCAGAGGAATATACTTTCTGTGTTTATGTCCTCCCAGTAGGCGTTTACCATGGTGTACACCCAGTGAAGTGCTTGATTCTCGAAGAATTCGATCGTTCTGCACCACACGGAACCGGAAGCGCAAAAGTGGGAGGAAACTACGCGCCAGTGTTGAGATGGAGTGATAAAGCCAGAAACGAGGGATATGGTATAACATTGCATTTGGATAGTCAAACGCGCAGCGAAATCGACGAATTTTCTACAAGTGGATTCATTGGCGCGAAGAAGGAGGGAGATTCCATTACATTGGTGGTACCGGATAGTAAGAATGTTATTGCTAGTGTAACATCTGATAGTATCTTGGAAATCGGAAAGAGTCTTGGGTGGAAGACGGAAGTTCGCTCGGTTAGTCAATCCTCCCCTCATTTTTTTTTTTGTGCAATTCCCATGTCCCATCCATTTTATTACCTCCATTTCACATCCAACCTATTCTAACCCTCATCTTCTAGATCAAATACGAAGAACTCCCCACTTTCACCGAAGTAATGGCCGCCGGGACTGCCGCTGCTCTTGTCCCAATTCGCTCCATAACTCGTTACTCCGATAACAAAACTACAGAATATATCCCTTCATCCTCCGAAGAACCCGGTGCTATCTGCGCGAAGCTTCTCACCACCCTTAAGGGAATTCAAGCAGGAAAGCTCAAGGATACATTTGGCTGGAATAAAATTGTTGAAAAATTGGATGTTAAGGACTTCACTCCAGAGGCAAATGATACCAATGGTTTGAATGGAAATGTGGATGAATTGCCTTAGATGTTAAAAAGATTTTCAACTGAAATAGTCTAAAAAGAATGGAAGCGGCGTTGAGTAACTGGGCATTAACAAATTGTACTATCTACTAGGTATTCTTCAATAGAATTTAAAGTGCGGACCCTTAGGAGTTAAGACTTCTCCCCGGATTTCGTGCAATTGATTGAACAGCGGTATTACGTCATAGCCCCCAAGCGCCCGTTTTCTCGCTTAGTCATTCGGTCTGGATCTTTCTTATTATTACGCCTCTTCACGACCAACCATGCTTCGCGAGACACGAAATCAAGAAACAAGTAAATGAATGCAAATCATCCATTCATTTGGCACCAGCACAACATGATTAATATAACGAAACGATGTGAGATGGGGGCTTCTTTTTGGGTGGAGGTTGCTTGCAAGGTTAGTGGGGTCGGGAATCAAAGTAAAAAGGTGAATGTATGGCCAAGGGTTCTCCGGATCTTTTCTTTGTACACCGGTGAGGCAATGCTGGTCATTTGCTACTTTTTTGTCCTTGGTTTACACTTTCCAGGCTCGGAGTTATAGGACTGATGAAAATTGGGTTCCAATCAAAAGTAAGAGCATATATGCGAGGACTTACAGGACTTGGGGTGAGATTTATATGATGTCGATGACCACAGACTTCACCTCACTTTCATCTCACGACTTTTCTTGCTTCTGACGCGAGGGTATTTGCTATATATATTTGTGTATTCTGCTGCGACGGTGTACTTTTTTGCTATCACTGTAACGTTAGTTCTTTTAAGATACTCTTGTTTACATAGAATCACTTTTACAAGCCCATTACAAAACCACATCTCACAATGCGTATCCGCATACCCATAAATCTGCTTTTCCTGATACCTCTGGCGACCGCGAAAACCACAACTGTTACAACAGTCACGGAATCGGCAGCCTCTCAACCAACTTCTACATCATACACCTCTGATTCTCAATTCCAATCCGATATGATCGCGGCGCATAATTTCTATCGGGGAGAACAAAATGTTAGTAACTTGGAGTGGAATGATACCAGTGCGAAAATAGCGAAGGAATGGTCGAAAGGTTGTGACTTTAAACATTCTGTACGTCAAGTCCTTCTTTTCTGTCTCCCGTCCCCTTTCCCAAGTTGGACACTTCATAAATTCAAGCCTCCAAAATAATAACAAATAACTAATACCCATTACCAGGGCGGACCGACAGGCGAAAATCTAGCGGCCGGCTATCCCAACGCGACCTCATCCGTCGACGCTTGGGGTCTCGAACGCCTCAAATATTCGTACTCCTCTCCAGGTTTTAGCGAAGATACAGGTCACTTTACACAATTAGTCTGGTCAAACACCACATCTGTCGGTTGCGCGCGCACCAATTGTGCAGGGGAAAATGATACGCCGGGATGGTATGTAGTGTGTGAGTATTGGCCAGCGGGGAATGTTGTAAATGGGGGGAAGGGGGATAAAGAGGAATTTTTTAGAGACAATGTGAAAGAGCAGGTTAAAGGGGAAGCGAGTGATACGGTGGAGAGTGGAGTTACGAGTGTGGGAAGTAGTATTGCGGGAGGTAGTGTGGTGGGGTGGAGGGGGAGGGAAGGAGAATTGAGATGGGGTGTTTTGATGGGAGTTGTGGCTGTAGGAGCTGCGGGGTTAATGTTTTAAGATGTCGGGTGTATTTGATTGGGATTTTGGGACGAAGAAAGGCGAATGGAGGAAAGATACCTACGAGAAGGCTATTTTGCTTAAGCGCGGTGTTTGGGGTTCTGTATTTAACTTGGGAAAATGGATGCAGATATGAGATCAGGCGTAGAGGAACCAATTTGGCATTTTATTTAGTCCCAGGAATATACCCCATGATATAGAAAAATGGGGCTAAGTAACTCCTCGATGGATTTGAAAAATCACAGGCCAGAATACATCTCTGCTGTTTCTGTTCTGGAATACATTCGATTCATCCATTGATCATGGAAGTGACAATATCGATTTTTATTTCTTGACAATAGCTAGATGGGTGAGCAATATTTGCGTTCGGCTAGAGTGGAAAATGGAGAAATAAAAGGGGGGAGGGGAGAGTGGGGTTCAATTTAGCTAGAACGGAACTTACTTATGATTTTTTGTTTGCTGTGGGGAGAAGATTTGTGACTCGCAGATGAAGTGTTTGATGAACACGATTAAGTTTGGGATGGAATGTTTTGGGAGTGGATGTGATGTTGTGTTATTTAGGTAGGTATGCTTACCTACTTATCTACGTACAAAGAAAACATTATTTCGCCGTGGGAGGTCGATGTATATCTAGATACTACTGTTTTCACGCATGACAATTTGGTAAATAGAAAGAATGTAGTGAGTTTCAATGTTCGGAGCATAGATTCCAAGAGTATTAGAAACGTAGACTAGAAGATGAGGAAGAAGTATGTGGCCTGGGATGGATGTTTATTTATCTTAGCTGGGGTCCATCACTCAAGTTGAGAAACACCTGCACAGATACCTGGTTTTGAGTTAAATGGGTGTTGGAAATTATATTAGGTTGGAATTGGGGACTTGATAGGTCTGAGTAGTAATTTTATCCTAGGTAATGGGCGAGGAGGTATTGTAAAGTTATCTATATTGTGAATTACCTGGAAAATTCACATAGGATTAAAGCTCCTACTCAACCCCTCCCTTTTCATTTCTTGGCAAAAATTAATGCTCTGTATCCTATGGATGTGTACATGTAACAATCGCATGCTGTCTAGCCTTTGAAAAGGTGTACACATCCTCATTCTGACCATTTGAAATGGTGTTCTCCTGTTCTCTTATCTCCGGTCCTGAACCCTTCAATCCTTACTAGAGTCCCCTCCCAAGAAAGAAAAATAGGACCTTTCCATCTCAAGATGCGTGTTATAAATCGACACGAAGAATCGATGCGTAGTGTTCTTGAAAGTCGGAAATCAGAAAGCTAAATTATGTCAATTTTGGTGATTCTAGAGGTGAGCATACGTAGTAGTTTGTGGGAATTGAAGAAGGTGCGTCTCACCTGGTTGCCATTTTAGCCAAAATTTTGGTGTAAGTTTCTGTCTCGAGTAATTATGTTTGATGTGAATCTTCTGGTCATTATAGAAGCTTAATTGATGTAGCACGAAGACTTTTCAAACAATGTTAGGCCTGCAATCTTGAATAAAAGGAAGTATCATCATAGTCTTCATCATGTATAGTTCACCGAAGCATCAAACTCCTTGGTAAAACAGGTCAAGTTCACACGAAAAAAGCAGAAAATATTGTCGGAAGAATACATTCTTAGCTTAACTTTACTTTATTAGGCCAACATACATGTGTGTTGCCGCAATGCGTGAGGAACAGAATACCTATTATATCTCCTCCTACCTCCAATGGCAACCCATATCAATCCACATGAGCCTGTGTACACAACGAACTCACAGCTGAAAACATCCTTCAACAGTCTCTCGCGTCGAAGTAACCTGTGTGCGCTATTAACGGAGCACAATACTGGAAGTTCGTCGTCCGAGTCTAGTCAATCGACCAGAGAGAAACCCTTCGCAGCCATGCTTCGCAAAATTGCCGATTCGGATACAATTCAGGATTCTATTGTTCAATTAGTTATGATATCAAATGTTACAGAGAGAACTGCTTACCGGTAGTTGGATTCTCCTCAACCAGATAGTTGTCCCCAATCATCTGAGAAAGCTTCCTTGCCCTAACATTTTCAGGTAATTGTCTTTTTAAGGCCTTTATTATGTCACCCAACGCCTCCACTGGGTAAGAAAACAAATATCCGTCAAGGAAGCTAGGGTTTTTGCACCAGCAATTATGCTCAATCACAAAGCGACGAAGAGCACTGCCCTTAGCAGTATTATCATAGACGTATCTACAATCGTAAGAAGTCAGAGACCGATTGCAAACTAAGGCTTTGTTACAAAGAACGCGCATAGTATAATTCTGAAGTCGGTGAAGTAGGAATTTTTCGGCCAAGACCCAAAGCTGTAGCAGCACATTATCTTCGTCGACACACTCGACCGCTGAAAAGAAATCGTCGCTGTGGCTGACATCCCAGTCTGAATGAATATGGTCGAACTTCTCTTGGTAAACCCATTGCGTCAATAATCGAAACACCTCAGGGCCAGTGTCTTCAATACGATAAATCTGCGTTTGTCCCTCGACAAATACGCTATTGAAAGCACGATTCCAGACTTCCGAATGTTCGCATGCGATTTGTTTGTGGATCTGAAACGTCTCTTGTTTGTCGCCTGTGCCAACGATAAAAGTGACCATTTCGTTTGGTGAAGAGAACGGCTTCTTTGAGTTTGTTGGAGGAGGAGTTGTGGTCTTCTCAGCCGGCGGCTTCTCTGGTGAAGACATTGTTGTCGTTAAAGTGGAAATCAGGGAATTGGCTTGTGAGGTAGATTTGATGTGATGGTTTGATCTGGGGATAGATCGAACAGAATTGGTTGTAGAAACGATGAATAAATTATGATTTTGGAGGACGAGAAAAGTTTTTTATGGGTTTAGTACTAGTCGAGTGAATACTTCAGAACTTATTATCGTTTTTGAAGATAAAAAATAAAATGTGAAAGCAAAGTGAATATTGAGTTGTTGAACTGACTTCAGTGGCCTAGAAAATGTTGATGCTTCAATCCAATAGTGACTTATCACTCAATTCGATGTTCCAGACAGATTCCATTCATAAAGACGCCTCGAAAACCGAGTTTCTTACTGTTGCATTATTGTAGGTACGATTTAGGAGCTCCTTAGTATAGAATGTGAACCTCCAATTCTCTTTCAAGACCGGAGCCAACTAACAACATCCCAATTTGCTACGCCTTCAATCCAAAAAGGCACATGATTCGCTAATACCGACTACCAGAATTCTCTGCATTTCTTCCTGGAATATCCCTTTACACCAATTCGCCTATACCATCCCATTGAAAAACTAGAAAGATAGAAGCTCATCATCGTCAGAATTCTCACTTTCTTCATTTCTCCCCCTCGATTTCTTCCCAATCATTTTAGATTTCGGACTTTTCAGCCACCAAGAAACCACTGTGATTTACCGCCAATTTTCTCGTTATATGGAGATGTTGCAGCTCCCTCTTTGCCCTGATCTTCCAGAGCTTGCCTACATCCGAAGTCTTCATATGCGGGACCTACTTGTATGCAGTCTAAGTCTGGACAGCAAACTCTGATGCCGCTTATGGGATTGCATTTCACTAGTTTCTTTTTAATCTCAAATTTTCAAGAAAGTCAAGAAGAAAGAACTTACTGTTCATTGGTTTACACTTGGGTAATGCGGTGATATCGTCTAGTCTAGGGGGCATTTTAATTACTTCGAGAAAATCCCACTTCTTTGCTTCTTCTTTCTTCTCTTCCTCTGGCTCAAGACTTTCAGAATCCATATTCGAGTTCAAGTTCGAGTTCTGTTCAAGTGACAGATATGGTTTCCGCAACACATCCAGAGTTTCTTCATCTTCAGACTTTACATCGGAAGGTGGACGGCATTCACTCATGCTTGAACTTCTGGACATGTAGCAAACAAGTGAGGGGCAACAGTGTTCGCCTTTGTGAAAATCGCATGATGCTATTTTCCCAGTCGTGAGTTTTTAAGAAGTGTTTGAATTCTGGAAGGGTCAATACGTACAGCCGGCTTTACTACAAGATTCCTTCGCAGTAATAGTTTCACCACCTAGTCTCAAAGAAACCTCTATTTTCATCCCAAAAGCTTCACCAAACTCTTGATGTTTAGACTGATGAGCGAGATTATTCAAAACCGTCGCAGCCCTTCCCCCAAATGCTAGAAGAATCTCATAGAAGGTATCTAATGTCGATCTTGTAGTCGGAGTCGCATTATCTTTTTCGTATTTGCAAAAATGGATGCCATGACCGTCTAGTTGACATTCTAAACCCGAGTCTTTACAACAGGGTGCTTGGGCACAGAGACCTTGTTTCACTTTAGTACGGAGCGACAGAACGAGATAAGAGGAAGGTTTTACCGTCTGGCTTGATACATGCTCCATCTTGGGCGGTCGCTTTGGACCCGATACTTCCAGCTGGATTTAAGACAGCGAAGGAGGATGCGATCGATAAGAAAAGTATGACTTGTAATATTGGGGCGATGAGTAGCATCTTAAGTGGCAATCTTTATCGTCTGTTATCGAGCTGCTATCTAATTTAAGGGGGGCGAGGGTCAATGAGTTTTAAGATCGTTGGTCAATGTTGATATCACGATTCCCCGCATTCTTTGGATCCCATAAATCGGGAATCGCATTCCACGCACAACTTAAGTTTTGATGTTTTACATTCCAGACCGTTGAGGCGCGGCAATTGGTAGTGAATCACTAAAAAATCACGAGTTTTGTAATTAAAAATGGAGTATTCATATTTGTGTTGAAATTTGAAATAATGTTCTCGGAAGGTGTTGACATAAATTTTTGGTGTGGCTTATACGACGCCATTTAGCCAGCGAATGATATGTTGCGCTACGGTACTGTACAGATTTCTAGGTTATCAATACCTCTTTTTGGGGTGCGCTTGAAGAAGTGACGTTGGAGGAAAGAGTGAATGGAATTCGATCGATCTGAAGCTTGAATGATGAGTGATTGAAGAATCTTGATGTAATTTTTAGGATAGTTTTTGTTCAATGCGGATGAAAGTTGAATTCGTAAGATCTTACATCAAATATTCGAGCATTCGGTCAACCCAATATGTTCAGCTCTGAGTTCAAATATGATCAGAATTCAGAAGAAAACATGAATATGATGAAGATTGAAAGGCAGCAAGGGTTTCTGCCACTTACTGGCGTCAGCTATGATGAATATATATTGTTGCTTCCTTTTTGTCTTCTAGGATGAAGTGGTCCGGATCTCCAAAGGATAAACTTTAAATGGAGGTCCGAGTGATAATGCTAGGTAGGAAGTCAGCTCCCCAGACCTACCTATCGGGAAAGGATCCAGCGAAGGAACCTCCACACTGTATGGATTTGGCCTACCATGATTGAGTGGATTGTGAAAGTGGATCGCACCCCGAGAGAATTGGAATGTGGAAGTTTCTGCTGAGATTTCCATTTGAAAATAGGAAATAGGAGATGGATAATTTTTGTTTATTTGTCGACCGAGAGCTAACCGCCAGAAACGGTGAGGTTACAGCTGGATTTGGTCTAACGGGCCATACCTAGAGCCTGGCTACTGTACGTAGGTGTTGTTCTACGATGCGATGTAGGTCTGATAGCTTCTAGCCTAGCCTTGAATATCGGGTCACATCGTACACGGTCATACATGGATCATCTTGAAAGGTCAGCATGGGTAGAGGTACTCTGGAGTTTGTTTACGCAGAAGGCAGCATGATCTAAATGGCACGATCTTCAGAGCTCTTTCTCACTACTTCCTCATCGAAATGTATTTTAACCATCTTATTCACCAGTTTGATGATATCCGTCTACAGTGTGAATTTTTTGAGCTGACTATCTAGAAATCCAGGCAATCTGGGCTGAGTTTGATTTCTTTTTTTGATATGTACGAAGTACCACTTTTGATAGAAGCCCCTGTAATAACAATAATAAGTAACAAATCTTTACTCTAATAGACTTTGGAGAGTGCATTTACCCCATTCACGGAGCACGGGAAGATTTGTACCTTTAGGTCTAGCTTGATTTTCATGATCCTCCAAAACTTGGAGGTTGATAGATATCGTGAAACTTGAAACCATTACTTGGGAAAAGTAACGTCTCTATGACAGCTAATGTCAGCATTATAAAGATTTTAGATTCAATGTCGTCTCAAAAGCTACGCAGAATTTGGAATTCTACGCAGCGAGTCAGGAAAGGATTAACCGATACCGATGCCAATGGCAAATATTGCACAATCCCATCGCGGCTTCCCGTTCGCACGGGCCACATACGTCCTGTCCTGCTGCAGTAGTATTATTAGTAAGCTTCAATGATAGGCTTTCTAGAAAGTAAATGGCAAACACACTGTGATACTCGTATAATCTTCCCAATTTCTGATCCTGCTCTACGCGGTTATCTCCTATGTGATGAATGATGAGTATGAATTATACAGTGACGTCTTCTTTGGCTACACAATACGCCGTTGAAGTAAAGATCAATAACGATTCTCGTCAAAAGATATGGAGTAGGTTCGTTGTTGGTACAATGAGGCAAAATCTTAATCTTCCATTATCAAAATTCAAGATGATAATGAACTCTCGTCTTTGTCACGCACGATCTTAGCCTTGTCACTTTCCACCTTTCATGAATACTTTGGTATGCTTTGATGAATTTGGAGGAGGGGTAACTGAGATATACTGTACAAAATTTCAAATTGCTCCCATCGAGCCCATTTTTAAAGATTTGTTTGCTTCTCTACATTCTAGAGCTCCATGCACTTCACGCATAAAGTTTTCGGTATCCTTGTCATTACGGAGCATTTTCCGTGGCTGGTGTCGATAGGGATTCACTTCGATCTCCATACCATCGCGACTAACCATGGGATCGCTCGTCGAGCGGTCTCTCTAGACTTCAAGCTAGACCAAGACTTTGCTCAAATAAAATTAGCCCCCATGCACCGATGGATCTCAGTTCTATATTGATCACAATTTCTTTTCTACACGTCAACCAAGCGTTTAGAGATGGACACTTTCAATATTCAATATTCTGCTTGGTAGGATACAATATGCTGAATGATGTCCAACATAGATACAACACCTTCCAAGTCGGTGGTTTACCCATCGGTTGAAGAGTTTCAAGTCGAACGGATATTTCCCATTCGAAATCTTGTCAATGGAAGAGACCTCGATACAAAATTAGCCTCGCAGAATACCGAAGGTGTTTCATCATCAAATTCAAGCTGTCGAGGTCCTAATTCGGCTCAAGAGCCTTACGATAAAGATGACATTTTGAATGATGAAAGCCATTCCGATGGCTCTAGCGAAACGAACTTCTTGCCACCGCCTTACCCACCAATACCTCCCGATGACCAAATTCGCAGATTACCAAAAGATTCAATACATGACTACTCAACAGAAATTGGCGGTGGTGAAGGCCCAGCCGAGAATGAAGATAGGAAGATATCGCAACGTTCACAATTGATCCCTTCGAAATCGGGTCCCCCAGGCATAGCCCCCGGCGAACCTGTGAGCACTGAGGAGCGGACATTTTTCAAGTGTGAAGATGAACCTATACACATTCCAGGAGCAATTCAACAGTATGGTGCATTGCTAGCTCTGAGATACAATGATCAGGGAGATCTCATGGTTCGGATTGCCAGCGAAAATGCGTTCAAAATATTGAAATATACTCCAGAACAGCTTTTCTCGTTAAATTCTTTCCTTGACCTTCTTGGCGTTGACGTTCGCGAAGATTTTATCGCACGAGTCGATCATGCTCTTCGGGCTGTCACCAAAAACCCATGCTCCGACACAAAGCTGGATGTCTTCTCCATGTCGGTTGTTGCACACACAGGATTGGTAAATCTTTGGTGTGCGATTCATATATCTAAAGGCACAGATGATTTGATCATCTGTGAATTTGAACCATTTTCTGACGAAATGTTTTTTTCTGATGAACCTCATAATACCACGAACGATTTACCCAAGTTGCCGACGCGAACTATCGACAATGAAACAGTACTTGGAGAACGACTGAAAAGTATCTCCAGTGGAAGCCAACCTCTTCGCGTCTTGCAGATTGCAAAACGAAAGGGTAGGCATGCTGTCGGTTCTCTGGAAGTGTTTAATGCTATGACACAAGCACAAGAACAACTTGCTGCGTGTACTTCGGTTCAAAAGCTTCAAGACGTCTTGGTGGGCCTCATATTTGACTTGACCGGCTTTCATCGAGTCATGTTTTATCGATTCGATTCCACCAAAAATGGATGTGTGGAGGCTGAGTTACTCAATCCCAAAGCCAGTGATGATATATTTAGAGGACTGCATTTTCCAGGTTCGTTTTTGGATTAATTCCCCCTTTCATCCCCCCTTTTTAAACGGATTAGTGATAACTTATAATTGATAGCTTCGGATATCCCTAAACAAGCTCGGGATTTATATAAGATTAACAGGATCCGAATGCTTCATGACCGAGATGAAGAGACCGCACGACTGGTGAGCAAGTTTTTAATTACTTTGTTGTTTTTTTTGTGTAGATGGTGGCCATGTAACCGTTTTACTTTTTACTTTTTCTTGCCATGCGCCAGAAGCCACAATAATCAACTCCGCCGAATTCGAACATCAAGTTCAATGTGTCTCAACAGTTTGGACACGTGCTCCTCAAATACCCCAGCTAATAAATACGCCAATACACTGCTCGAAAATCGTGAGAGAATGTTTAAAGTCTTGATTTTTCTGAAGCAAAGCTGAACTTCGCCTTACTAACAATACGATAGGTCTGTCGTGATCAGTCAGATTTTGAAAAGCCCCTCGATCTAACGCACGCTTATTTACGCGCCATGTCGCCACTTCATTTGAAGTATCTTTCGAATATGGGAGTACGTTCGACAATGTCAGTTTCCATTGTAATTGATGGCGATCTCTGGGGACTTATTGCATGTCATGGGTATGGCAGCCATGGCACCCGCGTAACTTTACCAATGCGTGAACGTGAGTATTCTCCGAGCTGTCATATTCTCTTTGAGATTGTTTAGCGAGATTGGTTATTGTCTCTAGACGCATCAGATACATGTTGTGTTCAAAAGAATCATTTTCCACTTTACTTTGTCTTGAACAAGAAAAGCTGACTGTGCTATCCCTTACATAGTGGCCAGAAATATTGGAGAGTGTGCTTCAACAAATATTCAGCGATTGTTGATGCATCAACGCATTGAAGCTCGCAAAGCACCACGTCAGAATCCAGGAAAGACACCTTCTGGTTTTATTGCGGCATCTTCCGACGACTTACTACGAGTTTTCGATGCCGACTTTGGTCTTTTAAATATTCAGGATGAAGCACGAGCTATTGGAAAACTTCGCCCCTATCGCGAGGCATTGACAATTCTTGCATACCTACAGTCTCGCCACTTCACTGAAATATACTCCACGCACAATATTACAAAAGACTTGCCGAAACTGAAAGATTCTCCAGGAATCAGCGCTGTAGCTGGGATACTAGTCATACCTCTTAGCACGGGAGGGAATGATTTCTTGGTTTTTTTCAGAAGAGGTCAACTTCGCGAAGTCAGATGGGCGGGTAACCCTTATGAAAAGATCAAGCCTGCTAAAGGACAGTATCTAGAGCCAAGAAGTAGTTTCAGTCGCTGGACACAGACTATCAAAGGCACTTCTAAAGTATGGAACGCTGATGATTTCGAGACTGCGTCTGTGCTAAGTCTTCTGTATGGAAGGTTCATCGAAATCTGGCGACAGAAGGAATCAACAGGACTCAATCGAATGACTCGCCTTCTATTGAAAAACACCAGTCATGAAGTTCGCACTCCTCTGAATGCTGTTGTCAACTATCTCGAAATGGCCCTTGAGGACAAAATCGAAGGTCCAACCCGCGAGTTGTTGGAGAAAGCTCACAGAGCTTCAAGATCCTTGGTTTATGTCATTGACGACCTCCTGAAGCTCACCAAAGCTGAAGTTGGCCCGGTGAATTCCATGAAAGATGTTTTCGATCTTTCAGCTACAGTTTCAGAAGTCATGTCAGCTTTCCAAAAAGAAGCTGTCCGAAAGAATCTAGATTTAACCGTTACTATTCAACAAGGCATCCCGGAAATGGTCAGGGGTGATGCTACCCGGTTGCGGCAGGTTATATCTAACATTACAAGCAATGCATTCCAAAACTCCGTCGTCGGCGGTGTTAAAATCGACATCAAACCCATACAGATATGGCCAGCCAGCACTGTTATTTCTCTCACCGTTCAAGATGTGGGAATCGGAATGTCGGAGTCACAGCTTGATGAATTGTTCCAGGAGTTTGAACAGATATTAGATGAGACTGATTGCTCTACAATTAAAAAGCCGGCACAACCACTAAGTGATGTGAGAGAGACACTTGGTATCGGCCTTGCTGTAGTTGCGCGATATGTTCGTAACTCCAATGGTCAAATTCGAGTACATAGTGAGGTAGGCAAAGGGACTATATTCGGTATTGAGTTACCTTTTGAACACGCTACAGCTGCTTCAAGTGCTCAAGAAATCCCAACCAGCAGTACTGCTAGACAGATTCGTCCATTTTCAGATTCCGGAAGCAATTACGATGAGAGTGAGAAAATGAATTCTAGTTATACGATGTCGACTTTCGGAAGCACTCCGTTAGCTACACCAATCGAAGAGGGTTCATCTATTACTACATCATTTTTCGATCTCGCAATGCATTCGAAAGAAGAATTTGTCGAGCCACCATCCGCACGCCGAAGATCAAGCCTACCTTTCTTAACTATGATCGATCTTATGTCAACAAAGAAGTCGCTTTCTATTCTAATCGCAGAGGATAATCCTATCAACTCAAAGCTTTTGCATAAAAGACTCAGCAAACTTTTACATAAACCTGAAGTTACAGCTGAGGGGCAATCATGTTACGATTACTACACGTCTGGAAATAATAATGTCGACGTCATCTTGATGGACTTACAAGTACGTCATCCCTCTAATCCTATTGAAGGTTAATATGTGATAGCTAACATTTCGTAGATGCCACTTGTCGATGGTACGAAGGCAACGAGAATGATACGCAAGTTTGAGAGGGAATATCTCGAATTACATCAAGTTAGGAGGAGAGTTCCCATTATTGCTGCTTCGGCCTCACTCACAGAGGAACAACGATTTGATTATATCGAAGCGGGGTATGTCTATTCCCCTTATTTAATCTTCCCTGAATCACTTTACGAAAGAAACTAACGAACTTTTTTTTTTTTTTTTTTTTTTAGCTTCGATGGCTGGATAATGAAACCTATCAATTTTAGTCGACTTGACTTTCTCCTACAAGGGTTAAATAACCCGCAGCTCAAACAACGGGCTATTTACATTCCGGGGATGTGGGAATTGGGTGGATGGTTTTTCGCTTGAACATCATGTTCTTGTTGTACAAAAGTGTTACAGGCGTGGCACAGGTTATTCTGGTTGTTCTACACATTTCATGCTTATGTAGAGCGTCAGAGTTCAAATCAAAGGTGTTTCGGGCGTTGGTTGAGTACTACTTGTGAGTCTGACCATGGCACTGCAATTATCTTGCCGGCAGCAGCAAAGGATTAAGAAGGTTTCGGTTTTGTGACTTTGGGAATTTGCCAACAAGAAGAGTTCTTTAGGCTAATAAAGGGGTGGATTTCATGAATGTATAATATAAATTTCTTTGAATGGCGAATTCAACAACAGGGAAATGGAGGCGAGAATGAAGGAAACATAGATGTGAAGCGACTTATGGGGCTTGAGCCGGATGATATGATGCAGGATTCGGTTACAGGATACTCGACATGTCAGATCGAAGATGATTGAAACTATTTTCAGATTTAGGAATGAATAGGTCTGGAATTGAACGTGGGAAGAAAGATAACTATGGTACTAGAATTCAAAGCTTCTTACGGTCAGGAAACTTATATTTTGGCTGGTGATGAACGTGACCTTTGTGTGAATGTAGGTGGTGCATGTATGCCCTCTTTCGGGGAGCTTAACAACGAATCAGTATTGATTGTTTGATAGAAGTCTGGAATTTCTTGGAATACTATGTAGGTAGTGGTGGTTTGATTTGATTTGATGTGTGAATTGTGATTTGATATTTCCTCGAGCTCCCTGTTCTTCAAATCCGAACTAATTGTCATAGCCTCTCGTCCAAAAGATAGGCCGTGAGTCTCAATTGTAAAACTCGGCGTCAATTGTGGTGAAGTTTTGGCATGTTGCCTGTGGGTCAATGATGGGATTGTAGTGTACTGGTGACTGTGCGTATTTGATAGGTAGTCACTGTCACTGTGAGTCGAAGAGTTATGCCTAGTTATTGTAGTGATTACCAGTGAACAGAACCTTTTAATAAGTGACAATGCGAACTCATGTAGATAGGAATTTCGATCGTTCGTTGTACGCGAGTTTTTGGTATCGGTCTGTTACCAGCCCCTTCGTTTAACGGTCAGAAACTAAATTTGAATATGTAGATATTCGATCATGTGAATCTGATAGTCTTGACAATGAATAGGTGTGGCAGGTATTATAGGGTGGGCTGGGAGTGCTTCATGTAGATGACGTCATGAAGCTAGAGTTCTAGCCAACGATTCTCCATACTCGATATAGACTGGAAGATTTGATATATGATGTGCTTAGGATTTGTAGTATATGGATTGGTGAAGTCCTTTTGCTGAAGATCTCTCTAGTGGGCATGTTATTTCTAGTTAATAGCGATAATTGCCAAGTATAGTAAGTCCTCCTGCTTGGGTGCGAAGTGCTTCCTAAAGTCTTGCAATTGTTTCAAACTAGGTTAAATGCCTGTCGCCTTTATTTTCGACCATCAACCGTGAAACATAGCACAACACCACAAGGTTTAACGGGTCTTCCCTCAGCCGCATCTATTCAGTTAACGGTAACGGTCCATTTGATGAGGAGTGTCATGGGATCAATTTGTTCAAGGGGTTTGTTCTTAGCCGTTGTTAGGGTACTTCCGAAAACCTAATCATTTACTAAGGATTTACTAGACTCAATACTAGATGCTCTTCAAAACTTCACCACTCATTACTATCTATACAAGAATTATTCCCAACAAAAAAACTTCTGATATCTGTCATACTTGATCACTCATTGATGAAGTATCAATCACACTCCAGGCGAAAAGTATAGCACAGTTGTAGCATATGTTTGAGAGCTCTGGATGGACAATTGATAGAAAACCAATCAAACGCTAGAGTAATAAGATCTTATACTTGATACTATATCTTGCATTACTCACTATAAATAATAAAGAGCCAACACCTGAACAGACTCGGGATATTGAAGAGGGGCTATGAGACCTGGATATGTATCTGTGACGCGTGAAGGGTTTGCCATTGAAAACGCCATCTAGTCTAGACATCTGGTTATATATCACCATTTCATGGCCTGCTTTGTTTGAATTGGAGCATCCCAAAGAAACATATATGCCAACTCGGGGTTCATTATCCATAGAGAAAGTTTTTTAACACTTATCAGAGAATGACGCTCCGCTGGCCCTCTGGGAGCCATTGCCGTGGAGGCAAAACAAATATACTTCATCGGATAGAATGTCCAGATGTTCAACCCTCAAAGTACTATTTGATTGTCTAATCTAAGCTAATTCGGATATCAGAAAGACATACCCTATGTCAACTGCTAAGTTTGGATTGCGATCTGTTGCTCATTGGATAGAATGCGTATAGACGTCTAGTTCCAAAGCGCTATTTTATTGTCTAATTCCAAATCAGACATTGAGAAGAGCTATGGTGTAGATGATGTAAATGATATGTGAATAGCTCGTTGTCATGTGCTTAGTAAATGATCGTTTCCTAATTCGGTTAGAGCAAATAATTTAGTGGGCGATAGTCAGAATCTGTAGCGCACAGGGATTTCTATAATACTCGTCTCCCGCCCGGTCCCTCTTACAACCTTTTGTCGCGTTCTGATTGTTTACTTTTGATTCAAAACATTAAAATCTGTAAAATTTGTACATTGTACCTTCTCAACAATCAATTAATTAATTTACGACATGGCTCGCAATAACTACGAGGATACTTTATCCTCCATCTCCAGTTCTCAAAATCTCCCGCAACGACCCAAGAGTCGATTTCAATCCAACCGCTCCATCAGCTCCTCCTCATCTTCTCGTGATCTCAATTTGAATTCAACAAATACTCAACACCATACCGTCAGCGACGACAGTCATAACACCCTCAATTACTTTGATCCCGACGATTCCGCAGAGCAATGCTTCATGTCAACTGAATTGGATATCGAAAGACTGAAGCGTAAACAAACACAACGTCCGGATATTGATATTCGCGATACCGCAAAAAAATACGATCGATGGAGCCCTAGAAGAGAGCCCGATATTTCTGCCAACATTGTGGATTTCAACAATTTTTTCGAAGACTTCACAGGAGGATCTTCACAAATTAATGGAACAAATAACAGTTCTAGATTGGCATCCAAACTTCAAAGATTGGACAGATTAGACCAAGACCACACACCTTGCCGAATTCCGAAATCGAAAATGTCTGAACGATCAAATTCAGTCTCGAAAAACAACTCCAAAATGAACACTAGAGCCCCTGAGTATGTCCAGCCTGCAAATACACCAAGACGAGTTGTCAAGAATACACCTGACGACCACGAATTTTCCTTGGATCTATCACATCCAATCCATAACAAGGAGAACATTCTACCTAAACAACGAACACTTATCTCAGCAAGCTCCCAGCATGAGAAGATTGCTCAAGCTGATTACAATGAAAGACAAGTACTTGCAGAGCTCGAAACCCTCATCAAGGACCATCCAGCAAACGCTTCCATCAAATCTGGCAGATTTGCTAAAGCTGCCAGCCCAACCTTTACAATGTCCACAACTGTTAATAACTCATTCGCAATTCCGGAAGTCCACAACATCACCAAGCTGGTAGACACCACATCAACTTCATTACTTAGAAAAGTTGAAATTCTTGAACAACCCACCCATCCTATGGGAAAAGAGGAGGTCGACATCTATCGCTCCATTGACGAACTTCAACAGCAAGTGGCTATATTGTTGAATGAACGCAAGGAGCGGGATTTTGTTATAAACTCTCTCCAGAAGGAAAGAAGGGAGCGGGATTCAATTATGTCTTCTCTTCAGAAAGAACTGAATGAGAAGAGCGAGCAAGATAATATCATATCTACTCTTCGCAACGAAAAAAAGGCACAAGACGCCATCATATCTACTCTTCGCAACGAAAAAAGAGCACAGGATGAAGTCATATTCAACCTTGAAGACGAAAAGCGCGCACACGATGCAATTACAACTACTCTTCGCACACAGAACAATCACATGAACGAGACCATCCGAGAACTCGAGCGTGATGCCCAGACACAGCGCCAAGAAAATGAGCAGATGATGAAGTCCATTTCTAATGTGGAGGCTGTGGCGAGATCACACCAGACAGAGAAGAAGGCAATGGAAAAGACCTTGGCCGAGATGTCTTCCTCAAATGAGGAACTCAAAGCCGATATTGAGAACATTTCAAAGCAACGGGATATGGTTCTTGCTCGTTACAAGAACCTTGTCGAGCGATTCGACACTCTACAACATTCAGCATCAGCCGAGACACCACAACGTCCAGTAGATGCTGAGACATCACAGTCCAAGGAACATGACAACATTGAACTATCACCAAATCAATTACCGAAGACGAATGAGGCATCCAATGGGCAGGAGAAAAAGGTCCAGCATGATGAGGAAGAGGAGGAAGAAGATTGCGATGAGGCTGATATGACCATACGTCCGACCATGGAGCCCCAACTTGCGCTGGAGCAGATCATGGCAAATGTACGCAAACAAATTGAGCAATTGAGTGCTCAACATGCAGCTAAATCAGCCGAGTTACGTACCCTGGATAAGAGCAAAAATCTTAGATTGAGAAGATCACTTGCGGAATCCTTGAAGTTGCTTGTCGATCAGATTTCTTCACACAGTGATTTCTTATATCGTCTGAAGGATGTTTCTTATGCATTCTAGTCCGGAATGAGAATCGAGGATGGATTAAAGTGTTGGATTATAATGTTTATAATGGAGTTGGAGGTATCAAATGGTATTCGGTATGGAACTTGGTGTTTTTCTTGTTTTTGCTCTTCTTTTGCTTGTTTTATATTCAATGGAGTAACATGAAACACCACTGGGCTCCGAATGAGAGCTTTTTCTCGTCTTTTTTGTCTTGTACTTGTTATTTTTGGACAGGAGTTTTCAAGGGATAGGATAATGGAGTGGTGTGTTGAGATTTTTTGTTTTTCGAAGGAGTTATTTTAGGAAAATTCAGTATCGATACCACATCATGAGGGACTTGGGTTAAAAACGGGACAAACGGATTACAATTAGCATTGTTAGTATAGAAATAACAATGAACATTAAAATGAATAAATAGTCTTGCTAATCATTTGAGGTGATTCATTTTGTAAATCTCTGACCCTACCTTCCCCGAATGATTCTTGAGGTAAAAGACAAGTAAATTGGTGCGGATGCATATAGACATTCAGCTTCGCTGACCTAAGTATTAAAGGATGAGTTTGCTCATGCTAAGAAACTTGCGATGAGATATTGGACTACCCAGCAACGTGACAGACGGGTAAAATAGGCGGGAGGGAGTGTGAGGAAACGGAAAAAGATAGGTTGGTGAGTGGGTGTTGATCCGGTGAGATGAGATGAAACGGGATGGGATTGGGATAGGGATAGGGATACATATTTTCATGAGCAGATAGCTTGTTCCCGTCGCTAGCGAGTCGACATGTGGAAATATATGGACTTTAGGGTCGACATGAACATGAACAGAAATTCACACGAACTGTGGTATATGATGCTAGACCAGATATCCATATATCAACTTCATGTATTGTGGATATTACTCTACAGGAAATTCAGAGTTCGTAGGTAGGCAAGAAGCAAAATATACAATTCATTTCCAGGGGGTATCAAAATCATTCAAGCAGCCTTCTTTCCCTCCAACGCCAATGCAGCCCTTTCCATAAATGCATTGAATGCCTTGATCTGTTTGAGAACGCCTCCATCATCACTTGCACTACTTGCTTCAGAAGCGATGCGTTTCAACATGAGCTCTATATTTGCTTTCCCGTCATCCGTATGATCGGAAGAAGATTTCCCTCGCTCGACTGCAAGTTCGATATCATGAACTGTTGTGTTGAGAACTTCTCGTTGCTGTGATGCAATGTTAGTGAAAGGCAACTTTAACAAGACGGGGGAGCATTACCTGAGCATCATGAGAGTTTTTCTCGTGAGCAATTCGGATTCCATCCATGCGTAGAGCGACTTTCTCTCGCTCTGCTCTTACACGAAGGATTTCCTCTCGCAAAGAGAGCTTCTTTCTCTGGCCTTCGCGCAGACGTTTCTCAAGAGAGTACGAATTGTCGAGGTTGATTGTCTTGGAAGACGTTAGCGGAGAATGCAATTATTAGTAGTGGAGTACTTACATGTTCTAGAAGGCGGACTCGCAATTCTTTACCAAAACTATCTACAGCTCGGATTTTGGTTTTATATTCAAGTCTTTGAGCAGCGTCCTGAGTTTTAACAGCATTATCCCCAAGAGTTTCTAAGCCAGCAGTAACTAGCTCTTGGCAAATTTGACCAAGAACATCCACCGCATTGACACCTGCTCTTGTCGCACATGGTATTTCGGAATTCAGAATCTCAGCATCCGAATCGTCATCATCATACACAGGACCTTTTGTTAAACGATGTACAATAACAGGTATCGGGCTTCCTTCGCGAACTTTCTGTTTCTTGATCTTCTTCTCTGCCCTTTGAGGTTTGGACTTCGGAGGTGCTGGTTGACGTTGCTGTACTGGACTAGTAACTTGTCGAACCCTACCTCGCTTTTTCTTTGCGATGGGAGATCTAAGAGGTGCAGCATCTTCTGGAATAGATTCATCGGAAGCAACAATATTTCTGGATATTCTCCGTCCTCGACTTTTCTTCAATGTTACTGCGGCTTCATAATCGTCTATCGCTTCCGCTTGCTCGGTATTGTTTTCAATCATTTCTTCCTCGTTGACTCCTACATCTTCCTGCAAAGCCGACTTTCGACGAGATCGTCTCGGTTTTTGAGGTAGAACTTCCTCAGTATCGTCGTTAGTGGTATCCAGTGTGTCAACTGCAGCAAGAACCGATTCTTCTACGGCTAAAGGTTCGGAAGATGGCTCGTCTCTCTTTCTTTTGTTCCGTGATGGACGTGGTAGCTTTCTGGGAGATTTTGTTGCTTTCACTACAGCGAGGGCGGCTTCTTCTTCTAACGACGTGTTTGCGTCCACCAACGAGTCTTCCTCGACCTCGACCTCGACTTCTTCCAATCCAATTTCATTTGAAGGATCTCTTTCGATGGACTCAATTGGCTCAGAAGGTAGATGGGTAGGTGATAAGGCAGTCTCTGCCATTCCTGATTCTGAAACATTTTCCTTGGACGCTTCTAATATTGACAAATTTGAATGATCCGTCACAGGTTGTTCTAGCTCTTCATCTTCTGGTAAATCATATACATCTTTCCTAGCAGAGCTCCGAGAAGACCGCATACTCCTGGTAGAAGAAGATGGTGGCTCATCAGTCTCCAACTTCCTTCTCTTTGCGGACGTATTTGCGTCATTCCCAGTATTAGATCTTGTAACGTTATTCGATTGTAAGCCTAGTATATTCGAGGATCTATCGCGACTTCTGGTCGCAGTAGCAGGTGTTTGATTTATGGGCTGTGAAGGTAATTCGGGTTGAGGAGTTTCTGGATTTGCTGGAGCTTCTGGAAGTGAATTTGGAATTGTTGGCGCTGGAGTTGGAACTGGAGATGGTTCTGCTGCTGGCGGGGGTGCAGCAAAAGCTGGTAACATAAAACCGAAGTCGACATCTTTGACTTGACGTCTACACAATCAATGGTCAATTCCGCATAACGAAGAGGGGTTAATTCTTAAAACTTACTGGGCACCTCCTCGTAACCGTTGTTGCATGCGCTCTTCTCTAGCTTTGAATCAATTAGCATCAATTTTCTCCAAAAGCCAAGTATCTACTTACTGGACTCCATTTCTACTTGATTGGGAGAGGAAGATATCTCTCTCTCGTCATTGATGTCGCGTTTGTCACAGAGTTACGCGACTGTCTAATGTTTCAATAGATTGAGGTTGTAATATTATAAATACACACTATAGCCTGCTTACCCCACACCCCATCGCGCTTGGTTGCCCCAGCAATGTATTCGTATCATTCGATATATTACTATGCACACGACTCCTTCAACCAATCATTCAGATGCTCATACAATCCTTTGAGGTGGCGTAGTGAAACTCGTTGTAAAGGTTGCTATTGAAATGCTTACTTCAGTGTTACCAGGTTGGTTCCCTTTCATAATATTTCAAAGTTCATGCCATTTTGCAATTCAACGGATGGTGCCATAATGGATTATATACCAATTCCCTCCTTCATCAGCAAGGCTCTCCAAGGAAGAAGCCAACCCAGGAATCAAGATGTATCATCAAAAACTCCCAATCCCTTGAGTTATCCTAAGAGTTCTTTACCTTATGATTCTCAATTGTTCAAGAATCCATCATCGGAGTATCGAGGTTGTCCTTTCTGGGCATGGAACACAAAGCTCGACAAGGGACAACTCCTCCGTCAAATTGATTATTTCGCAGAGATGGGGCTGGGGGGATTTCATATGCATGTTCGCACTGGTCTTGATATAGAATATATGGGAACAGAATTCATGGATTTGATACGTGCTTGTGTTGACTATGCCGAAACTAAACATATGTTGGCTTGTTTATATGATGATGATAGATGGCCTTCTGGAGCTGCTGGTGGAAAGGTTATTGAGAAATATCCCGAGCATAAAGGGAAACATCTTCTTTTCACACCTCATGCTTATGGAACAGTACCACTTGGAGGGTAAGTTATGAACCAATCAAATTCCCCTCATGTTCTGATTCAATTCATATACAGAGGTGCTCCCGCGTCTGCCAGAGCTAGTAGGAGTGAGAATGGACACCTCATAGCAAGGTTTGATATCGAGTTGGATAACAATGGTACACTTAAATCAAGCCGTATTCTGAAAAAGGACGAGCACGGGGAGAACGTGTGGTATGCCTATGTTGAGACGAATCCTAATTCATCTTGGTTCAATGATCAAACATATATCGATACTCTTAGCGAAGATGCAATGGCTCGATTTATTGAGATGACGCATGAAGCTTACAAGAAGAAGTGCGGCGACAAATTTGGAACTGTTATACCCTGCATATTCACCGATGAGCCCCAGTTCGCTACCAAAATACGCCTTCCTCATCCCCGAGCTAACGAAGATATATTTCTTCCGTGGACCACCAATTTGCCGGAAAGTTTCGAAAAAGAGTACCATGCTGACATTGTGGAATCCTTGCCACAAGTTATATGGAATCTTCCGAATGACAAACCAAGTTTATCAAGGTATCGATATCATGATCATGTTTGTGAAAGATTTGTCTCTGCTTTTATTGATCAAATTAGTGGTTGGTGTCGGAAAAACAACTTGTACCTGGATGGACACATGATGGAAGAGCCAACCCTTTATTCTCAAACTACAGCTCTTGGTGAAGCTATGCGATGTTACCGAAACATGGATATGCCGGGCATAGACTTACTTGTTGATGGTGTCGAATACAATACAGCGAAACAAGCTTCTAGTGTTTCTAGACAAATGGGTCGTCGAGGTACAATGTGTGAAATATATGGTGTTACTCATTGGTATTTCACATTCGAGGGTCATAAAGGTTGTGGTGATTGGCAAGCAGCTCTTGGTATCACTTTCCGTGTTCATCATCTTGCTTGGTTAAGCATGGCTGGAGAAGGGAAAAGAGACTATCCAGCGTCCATAAATTATCAAAGTCCCTGGTACAAAGAGTATGGTTATGTTGAAGATCATTTTGCAAGAGTTGGTGTTGCAATGACCCGAGGAAGAGCTGTCACTCGAGTTGGTGTCATTCATCCGATTGAGA